TAAAAGAAAGCCCTATGCATATATGTGCGTGCAAATAGGATTAATCATTTTAAGTCCCATCCACCTGTATTCATCTTTGAATATTTTTAGCGTTACAGTCTAATTTTCCTGTGGAAGACTCTTCATTGGTGTTAAATAGCAATGTTAAAGATGCATATATTTATATTATAATGTTGTAAAACAATTTGCTGTTTTTCAAATAGGTTTGAACGGTTGGTTAATTCCTTGCAAAACTTCATTTTCGACTTCCCGTGGACATATTCAATCATGCATACTGCAGCATTGGAATTGGTCCATATTGCTCAACCATTTTCCTAATCCACGATACAGTCCGGTGATATAATACCCAGCCCGAGAACAGTTTGACCATCCTTCTTGATCAAACGATGCTCCAACATCTTCATTATAACATGATCCATAATTCGCCGGGTGATTACCAGGTCGACAGCAATATGCTTCTGTGATTTGACCTAATTTGTTGTAACTTTTTCGATATAATCCGTTCAGAAAGTAACCAGTTGGGCAAAAACCCCACATATCGTCTCTATATATTATAAAAAAAGGAAATTAATGTATTTTTAAAAGTATTTTACACGGCGGATGCTTATTTTCATGCACTACCCAAACTTCTAATGAATTTTACTTGTATATTTGAGGCGAATGTTATGTATTATAATTATTGCGAGAGGAAAGGTTACTTCAACATACTCTCTCAAGTCATATGAAACGATTTCACACACGCCACTCTGGTTGAAAGCTGGTGTCGAATTACAGCATTTTGCCTCTTCAAGGTGACTAATGAGGTCGCTACGATTGCCAGGGGGAGGAGAGCTTCGATAAAATCCTGTGATGAAAAGATTATCCTCTGCGCATTTTGACCAACCTTTCTTGTCGAAACTGGTCGTCCAATTTGCAATTAAACACGGTGGAAGCAAAACTAAACATTGGCATTAAGGAATCATTGACATTAAGGAATAGACAACATTTTCACTTGTATACTGCAATAATGCAATGGAAAACGTGGAGAGAACAAAAACGTTCGGCACTAGCACTAGCTGGAAGCGAATGGTGTAAATTTCTTGTTCTGAACACGATATGATATTAACAGGTATAGTGACTCAGTGTCTTTCAACAATGCAAGATGGCCTTTTTCAACTTTATCAGAAATTTCAGAAAGTCAGAAATTTCTTCATATTTTCTTATCCCACGCTATATATTTGTGCATTTAAACTAAAAATAACATATTTGAAAAATCAAGTGTTTAATTTAAAAAATTGTAAATATTTCCTCTCATCTCATTTGACTCGTTTATGTTTGCTGCTTGTTTGGGATCATCATAAACACGCAACAAACCACCTAGCAACGCAAACATATATTGTAAAATGTTTTTCTACCTTTTCAACCATAACAAGATGATTGAATTCAGGGTTCGTTTCTTCATCAACTTCTTGAAGTGTCTTAGCGTTAAGCTCACATCGACCTTTACCGATTCCCGAGGTTTTGTAATTGGCTGACGCACACGATTCTCTTCTCAGACAATACATGCCGCATTCAAACTCGCTTCCTGCCTGTTTTGTCTCTATGACATTATTCGCCAAATATTTCTTCGCGTGTTTTCGAAACAATGCTTCTTTCCTGCATTGGACAGGCTGTGGTATTTGCAAAGCGAAATAAAACGCACAAAGTATCAGCAACACAGTCATTGTGACCAGTACGTGCGGACAAATGGAGGTACAGTTTATATTTACATGTGTATTACCGCTGTGAATGTGCCTGCGGTCGGCCATATTGTTAATATATTATACACTTAATATATGCTCCCGAGGGAAATAGTGAGTTTTGTTTTCCCAAGAGCCTGAATGTTTAACCTGTCTACAATAATTGGTAACTAATATATATTCGTAAATTACCCAACACCGCACAAATGAAATTTTAATTCGAAAACTCACTGGTTCACATTTGTGCATTTATTTTTCGCCCTCAGAGAAATGCGACTGAGTTAAAACAAGTTCAAATTTCCTTCCGAATATTAGTGCTCTGTAATCTTTTGAAAACTCATGCATCAAAAATATCTGGCAGCTGTGAAATGAACATTTTGAGACTTAAGCATATATACATGCAGTGAGGTTATGCAGACAATATGTTTTTACCATCTGCAAGCTTCAAACCTTCTGTGCAAGTCATTATATATCTTTTTGCACACCAACCAAATTTAATTGCCAGCACAACGAATTGCGCCTATATTTATGAATGCAAACTAATTTCTGCAGTAGGAATGCATTATTTTCATATGAAAAATTTAACGACATATATGTCACTTCAGTAGACATGTCGCGTGCATGCAACAGACCTTTTTCATGAAAACACGAAATTTGATTGGCTGGATAGTTTTGTGGAGCCAATTAAATTTCGTGTAACATGAGACTTTCCGCGTTTGACGTTATTATAAGAAAAGTCAATTGTCGGGATTTTCATCAGGGAATCCTAACTTCAGTGAATTTGTGACAACATATCCAAGTTGAATCATTAACTGTTTTATTACTGTACGTCCCTAGCTCCCTCATCATCAAAAAATAGTAATTGCTGTGCGTGCGTTGCAAATGCGATTATATATAGTTCTTTAAAGTCTCATTCCCATGCATTTCTCCCATGTACATATATCATTATGTTACAACTACGCGCTATAGCTACTCGGCTTTATTTTATCTATGAATGTGAAAAGTTGTCACACAATTTGTTTGCAATTTGGTTCAAACTGTTGATTTCTCTCAGAAAAACTTTGATTTCTTGAGCAAATTTGCTGCCTCTCATTCCCTTATTCAGTCATGTTGCAGCAACGAAATTTGTCGATATTGTTCAATCATGGTCCATATCCGCGATAAACGCCAGTGATATAATGCCCAGGCTGAGAACAGTTTGACCATCCTTCTTGATTGAACGATGTTCCAACATCTTCATCATAACACGATCCATACTTATCAGGATGAGTGATAGGTTTGCAACAATATGCTGTCTGGATTTGTCCTAATTTTCTGAAAGGTCCCCGATAAAGTCCGTTCTCTAAAATACGTACCTTTTCAAAGTCCCTTCCCACATTCTCTCGTCACACACGCTACTCTAAGCGTGGAACACTGGCGACGAATTACAGCATCTCGCTTCGTAAAGAGATGTGATATAATCATCTTCATCCCAGGCAGAACGCCGATAAAATCCTGTGATAAAAAGATTTTCCTTGTCGCATTTCGACCAGCCCTCGCTTCCAAAACTAATCCTCCAGTTTGCGATGGAACAGTTTGGATGTATAGCTAAATTTCGAACTTGAAAATGTGTAAATTGAATTGAGTTTCCACGTTACCATGTACTTCTAATCACTAAACGTGTAATTCGCAAATATTTAACGCAGAATTGTCAAGTCTTACTTGTTTGGTGCTGTATTTTTGTTGTTGAATTGCATGACGAGGCTGGATCTGAATATTTCTATAATCATTAGCAGGAAAACAAATTAAAATTTAATTTGCTTCTCATGAAACCATCTCTAAAACTATACATGTATTACTGTAAAGACAATCAATTTCAAAAAGAATTGGCTACGCACAACATAAATATATAAATATGCCCCCTAAAATTATCATGCATTTTCCTACGCCACTGGCAATGTCAGTTTGCTTGCGTCTTAACTTTAAAAATATCAGTGGAAATTTATATCGCAGAGTGTGCGAACGAATATCTATTCAGGATGACAGGAAAGAAGTATATTAGTTGTTGCAAAGCGCCTAGCAACGCAAATATATATTCTTAAATGCTTTTCTACCTTTCCAACCATAACAAGATGATCGAATTCAGGGTTCGTTTCTTCATCAACTTCTTGAAGTGTCTTGGCGTTGAGCTCACATCTACCTTTACCGATTCCCGAGGTTTTGTAATTGGCTGACGCACACGATTCTCTTCTCAGGCAATACATGCCGCATTCAAACTCGCTTCCTGCCTGTTTCGTCTCTATGACATTATTCGCCAAGTATTTCTTGGTGTGTTTTCGAAACAATGCTTCTTTTCTGCCTGGAACAGGCTGTGGTATTTGCAAAGCGAAATAAAACGCACAAAGTATCAGCAACGCAGTCATTGTCACCATCACATGCGGACAAATGAAATAAGTATTCTATGTTTTCAAAAATATATTACCGCTGCATGTGGATTTGCCTGCGGGGGACCATACAATGTACCTGTTAATTGTTTCCAATGAAAAACGTTGCAACTTCGCAACCTTCCCAAGCACCCCCGCGCGCTTAGTGCTTTCTCCGGAAGTACTTCAAAGAGCCGGGGAACGAGGCTGTTTCATTACCCCATGATTCATCACCACCTTGTCGTTTGCATGGTGACATCAACAAGTTAATTAGCTTGTAGGTACAACATGCACGTAACTTATTTAATGCCGCAAAGCTTTCGATCCGTTAACCTGAACCTTGGTCATTGCAATTGCATGTTAGTTAAGTCTTTCTTATTAGATCATGAAAAAAAAGATCATGGAAAGGAAATAATAAATTTCTGCAGAAAATATGTCTCTCAGGTATTTGTGTTTTTCTCTATGGTAATATTATGAACGTAGCTTTATTCAAACAATCGTTTTGAATTTCATTTTTCAAAACCCAGAAAAATTATTGTGGCGTATTAAGTAATTCAGACCACGGCAAGTAAATAAAGTAATCTCTGTGAAATAATTCATTTATTGAGTTATAAATTCTTGTTCTCACCAATACATCTGTAATTTTGCTGAGCACTCTGGTTTTTCAGTTTTTAATTTGGCCGCGTAAGCCATTCGTGTAGACGTAAATATAGTTAAAGGATCATTCCATTAGCAAACCCTAAGTTCTAACACCTAAATAATTTGTAGCAAATATCAAATTAAATTATTCTCCTGATTCTAAGTTTCTAAGTATATAAATATATACATACACATATAAATAAATATATATATTTATATATACAGCGTTATTTTCCTGAAATATTAGCAGGATATGTTGTGAAACTAACGTTAGCTCTAGGGATTTCAGCTACTTTATTGCAACGTTGTTACTAAAATAAATATAAGGTATTTTAGCTGGCTTCACAGGCTGGGAAATGAATGTTATTCTGGTGGTTTGACAATAACCAGGAAATAGAACTGTACAAGCTGTGAAAACTATAAAACCCAATATTGACGTGCTTCGTTACTGAACAAGAATATATCCAAATGTGACCAAATCTTTGCCTCCATTATCGGGATTCCAGCTTGGGTGGGCATAATTTCCGCAAGTTTTTCCATCGATCCAAATTCCATAGCCAATCCATGAATCACAGCTATAACAATCATTATTTTCATTGGCAAAAAGTCCAATTCGCATTGCTGTTATTAAATTAACATTAAACCCTTCCCTGTTGCAGTTCTTTTGTAGTGAGGAGTCAGCGATCAGAGATTTCCATGCTTCTCTGCCAGCGGTCGTTGCCCTGAATTGATCGTCAGTGATCACACTGTACAGCGAACTTGCTGTGTAGTTAAAGGTCATCCATTTTCTGTCTCCGTTATACGACATACCCAGGCATATCTTTGTGAACGGAGTATTCCAGTGCGAAGCCAACTTGCTTTCTTTCTCTGTCAGTCCTTCCAGACCATCTTGTATCGCATATGTCTCGTTATTCGTCCAAAGAGGAGAATTGTAAATGAAAGTGTCCTATGGTATAAGAATGTTATAAACGCCTGATATTTATGTCATTCTCGTATCTAGAACCCCTCTTACATGTGACTGTGTCTGCAAGACTATGTGCTCAAGCGACAACCAAACTGTTACTCACAAAACATGGCTTTCAGATACTGCGCATGCTCTAAGTACCTATATATTATAGCCTAAGTAACAATTTACTAGTTACCAATCTGATGAACGTACATTTTTCCCATCCATCTTCATGACTAGTGTCCAGCCTCCTCCACCACATGCTGCAATGTTGGCCATGTGACAGTACACGTCATAGTACTGATTAGTAGCAATTGAATTTAGAGTGTAAACTCCATTGATTGCTTTTCTGAAACAGTAATTACATGATCACTCGCATGAGTGCAATATTTCTAAGACACGTGACTATTATTCGTAACAAGGTAAAAAATACTCACTGAAACCTTTGCATACAAACCTATTTTTCTTTAGCACATCTTTGCACGAAAGACGACGTTCCTCGCTTTGCGTAGGTTCTAAAATAAGGTTCTTGAATTCAAACTGAGATGTTTCTGAAGTTGAACTGAAGATGAACTGAAGTTCGTTCATGCAAGAAGCAACATCATGCTTCCTCAAGGTAACTAATGAGGTCACTATCATTGCCAGGGGGAGGAGAGCTTAGATAAAATCCTGTGATGAATAGATTCTCTCCTGCGCATCTTGAACAACCTTTTTTGTCGAAACTGATCGTCATCCAATTTGCAATGCAACATCATGGAAGCATTGTTGTTGACATTCATTTTCACTTGCAATAATGCACCAAGAAATGTCATTCAGTGGAAAGAACAAAAAAGTTCGGCACAAGCTGGAAGCAAATACTGTAAATTTCTTGTTCTGAACCTGATATGATCTCCTCTATTTTGTAAAATGTTGAAAATAGCCAGGTGTTGGTGATATACAGCCGAATCGAGCCAGCAAACTTTGGTAGCTTAAATGCGGTTCTCCACCAGGCGGAATTTTTTAATCGAACGAAATTTGTCCCTTCACTTTCTTTTAAATTGCGAGAATTCGACTGTAGCGGTTTCCCTTGACAGATTAGAATTAAAAAGAAAATCACGCGAAAAATTTCGTTCGATCGAAAAGTTTCGCCTTGTGGAAAACCGCCCTTACTTGTTGAATTGTGCACATTCTTTCAAAAATGCAGAACCGACTTAATGGGAAATCGGCAAGGCTTACCTGTTTGTTTTGGAATTTCATGCTTCGCATTGTGTGAGGAAACAGGTTCTGATAAGCCCTTCAAATAAAAAATTGAACTTTTGCTATGATACAAGCTTCACTGATCTAAAATAATAAACTGAACCGCACGAGCCCAAACACCTCACCGCTTTTCGGCCTGGGGGCGGTTGTATCAAGCCCGTTTAGCTTAAACGGTGGATAAGTCAAAATTAAATAGCGCTCTTAGATCTTTCTTGAATGAGTGAATTTGAATATTATGCACAGAATATGTAGTTGTAAAAAGTATCTTTGTATTGAGGTTAAAAAAATTTAGTTCGCTTGTTGAATAAAACGATAGACTTGCTTTCTGTTTTGAATTTAACCACCGTTTAAGCTAAACGGGCTTGATACAACCGACACCTGCCCTTCTGGCCGTGTTGTAAATTTACACTAAAGATAGCATATTTGAAACATCAAGTGTTTGATTTGGAAAATTGTAAATCTTTTCTCTTATCTCATTTGACTCGTTTATGTTTGCGCCTTGTTAGAGTTTTACATTCGGCGATACCTTAGTGTTGGCACGGGGTTATCATAAACATGCAACAAACGACTTAGCAACGCAAATATATATTGTAATGTTTTCTACCTTTTCAACAATAACGAGATGATTGAATTCAGGGTTCGCTTCTTCATCAACTTCTTGAAGCGCCTTGGCGTTGAGCTCACATCGACCTTTACCGATTCCCGAGGTTTTGTAATTGGCTGACGCACACGATTCTTTTCTCAGGCAATACATGCCGCATTCAGACTCGCTTCCTGCCTGTTTTGTCTCTATGACATTATTTGCCAAGTATTTCTTCGCGTGTTTTCGAAACAATGCTTCTTTCCTGCATTGGACAGGCTGTGGTATTTGCAAAACGAAATATAAAGCACAAAATATCATCAGCGCAGTCATTGTGACCATGCAGTACGTCCGGACAAGAGAAAGTATTCTATCGGTTTTCAAAATTATATTACCGCTGTGAATGTGTCCGCGTAAGATAATGCATGCAAAGAACCCGTTAATTGTCCCCTTAAAAAATACGGTCGGCCACATTGTGACGAGACCCAATTTAGTATTCTTTCGTTGCCCTAAATATTCTTAGAAACACAGTTGAAGACTGAAACCAATTTCCCAAGAATTGAGTATTAGTTTTGGAGGAAAATGGCAGAAAACATGGCTCTCCGGTTTGCTTTGAATTTTGTTTTGAACTAAATTATGTTTAGGCTAACAAAAAACGTCTCCTTGTGGCGTATTTAATAATTCCAATTCATGCTGACGTCTTTGGCTAATGCACTAATGACTAATGACTATTTACACGTATTAGTAAATTGTTTTTGTCAACTTTTTTTAAAAACACAAAGCACTTTGCTAAACATCTAGCTACTTATCTAAACGTGGGTTGAAATGGAATTTAAGGAAAATCTGTCCTCAATAATTAGTAGCTAATATTCAATGGTAGCTGTAGTCAATTGGGACTATGTCCTGTGCGGGTGGCTCTTGCCAAATTGTAAATATTTTATTTCTGCAATAGAGTGATTAGAAAGAAAGAAAGAAAAGAAATATATATTCGCAAATTACCCGACGGCAGAAATTAGTGTTTATGAAAATTTAACTCGAAAAACTCACTGATTCACATTTGTGCATTTCTGTTTTGCTCTCAGAGAAAAATGCTACTGAATAAGTTAAAACAAGTCCAAATTTTTCTCCGAATACACGTACTCTGTAATCTTTTGAAAACTTATCAAAAATATCTGGCAGCTGTGAAATGCCCATTTTGAGACTTCAGCATAAACACATGCAAGTTTATTAATTTAGACAATTTATCTTTACCGTCTGCAAGCTTCAAATCTTCAATATGCAAATCATATTTTGTTAGGAATTTGCTCACTAAATTGGAATTCCGAGTCTAAAGAATTGCGAACTAATCTCAGCAGTAGAAGTGCATGAATTAGTTTAGTATGCTCGTATGAAGAATTTTGGCGACATATGCTACTTTAGTAGACATGTTGCATGCATGTAATTTTTGGAATTTTCACCAGTAAATCCGCAAATCCCAAGTTGAGTGAATTGAATTTGTGGCAAATATCAAAGTATTAACTGTTATATTTTACTGTGCGTTACTGTATTCACATCCCTCCGCTTATCATCATTATAGTATTTGCTGTGCGTGCGTTGCAAATGCGATTATTTCTTCAAAGTCTCATTCCCATGCATCTCCCATGTACATATATCATTATGTTAAAACTACGTGCTTTGGCGCCATTCGGCTTTATCTTATCTATGAATGTGAAAAGTTGACGGTTTAAGTAACTGAGTAATGAATGGTTTTCTCGGCTTATGTCACATGAATTAACTGATTTAACTTTTCAAAAAGCTATGGCCCATGCCCTTCAATGTGTTCCCCACTAATTTTTGTTCGACACAAATAATTGTTCGTTTGCATATGCGGCGCACTGCATTTTGAATTATTTCAGGCTGCTGCCGCAAAACATTGATTTCATCGATCGATTATTCTCTGTCGTAGCTCATCGAGTTAGATGCTGTCCTCCACGCTAGAAACAACCTTCACGGATCCCATCGATGTATCCCTTTCTAAGTATTAGAGAGGGGATCGAGTATATCTATTTAGCGAATGTTTTGTAGAGAAATAAAATGAATGCTTACACAAAGCCGCCTAGGGTTGTGTCAGAACATTATTTTATCGTCATACTGAATCCATACTTCATCCAAGGTATTGTGCGGTGAGGCGAGCAGTGAGAATATATTTATTACAAATCGGATCATTGAGAAGAAAAGAATATGTTTGCGGAAAACATCACTTTTATTACAGTGGCGGATTCTGGGTGAGTCAGAATAAGTTAAATGACCTATAATTTCCAATTCAAAATGTCTTGCTAATAATTAACGCTATTGGTCGTCTTACTAGCAACGCTAATTTTTTTGCAACGTTGTTAGTAAATAAAATTATTATCTATTTAACTGACTTTACAAGCTGGGAAATTTTTGTTATTTAGGTAGTATGACAATAAACCAAGAAATAGAACTGTATAAGCTGCGGTGAAAACTATAAAACCAAATATTGATGTGCTTCGTTACTGAACAAGAATATATCCAAATGTGACGAAATCTTTGCCTCCATTATCGGGATCCCAGTTTGGGTGGGCATAATTTCCGCAAGTTTTTCTATTGATCCAAATTCCATAGCCAATCCGTGAATCGCACGAGTTACAATCCTTTTCTTGATTGGCAAATAATCCAATTCGTATTTTCGAAATGACATTAAACCCTTCCCTGTTGCAGTTCCTTTGTAGTGACGAGTCCCTGACCAGCGATTTCCATGCTGCCCAGCCAGCGGTAGTTGCCCTAAATGTGCCGTCAGCTATCGCACTGTACAGCGAATTGGCGGTGTAGTCGAAGGTCATCCATTTTCTGTTTCCGTTATACGACATGCCCAGGCAAACCTTAGTGAACGGTGTTTTCCAGTACGAAGCCAATTTGCTTTCTTTCTCTGTCAGTCCTTCCAGACCATCTTGTATCGCGTGTGTCTCCTTGTTTGTCCAAAGAGGAGAATTGTAAATGAATGTGTCCTATGGTATAAGGATGCAATAAACGTCTGGTGTTTTATGTCATTCTCATACCCGGAACCTTTCTAACAGGTTACTGAGTCTGCAAGACAATATACTCAAGCAACAGGCAGACGTACTGGAACTTACAATAACATGTCTGACACATAATGAGCAATAAGTAGTATACATTCTAGCAAGAACGGCCCAAGATCGTTATGTAGAGGGGGGGGGGCGAATATTCATATATTCACGTTCAGCATTATTAGTTCCTTTAGGAATTGTTTCTTTTTATAACATGAATTTATGAATATTACTACCGCGCCACTCAAACGATCTTCCTTCTTGTAGCCGAGCTAAATAAGCAAATAAAACGCTCTGGGTGCCAGAATGGCATGATGAAGGTGATAATGTGTGTTGACTAGTTACCAATCTGCTGCACGTACATTTTCCCCATTCATCTTCATGACTAGTGTCCAGCCTCCTCCGCCACATGCCGTAATGTTGGCCATGTGACAGTACACGTCATAGGACTGATTAGTAGCGATTGAATTCAGAGTGTAAACTCCATTGATTGCTTTTCTGAAACAGTAAGTACATGATCGCTCGCATGAGTGAAATATTCTTAAGCTACGTGACTATTATCCGTCACAATGTAAAACATACTCAATGGCCACTGCAAGCTTTACGTACAAACCTATTTTTCTTCAGCACATCTTTGCACGATGATAAACGACGATACTCCTCGCTTTGCACAGGTTCTAAAATAAGATACTTGTAATCAAAATGAAGTTTGTTCATGTTGGTTTATGCATTTACTACAAAAACAACACGTCGGCACTTCAGGACTTCATAATTATGTGCTTCCAGATAAACGATAAGACTAACCTTGCAACTGCGTTTCAATCGATTTTCTTCTCTAAGGGAGAAGATAAACTTGAGAGGAATATTCAGTACAAATCGAGGTTATAACTTATAAATGATGTACATAACTCACCTTTTCAATTTCAATAACAAGGTGGTTGAATTCAGGATTTGTTTCCTCATCGCCGTTAGACGTCTCTTGAATAGCATCGTTGTTGAGCTCACAGCGACCTTTGCCAATTCCAGATATTTTGTAATTCACAGAGGCACACGATTCTTTCCTAACACAATGCAGGCCGCATTCAAATTCGCTTTCTGCCTGTTTCGTATCGATTACATGATTCGCCAGGTATTTTTTGGCGTGTATGCGAAACACAGCCGATTCTGTTAAGCATTCGCTTAGTTGAGTTAGCTCCGACGAGAAAAACAACGCGCAAATTGTCAGCAAAGTTGCCATTGTGTACCGAGCGATATTCGAATTTCAGTAGAGTGGAATCACCTGTTAGTCCCATACTAATTTGAATGGCCTCGTTCGGATGATTGTGGAAGACGCAAGCCAATTGGCTCACGTTCCCCACAAAAAATGGCTCTCCCACATCTCAAATACAATGGATATCCACGAAGAAAATTGATAGGATTTTAATCGTAATTGCGGTGAAAATGTCAAGGTGGCCGATGGAATAGAATATTTCTATGTGTATGCAGCAAACAATGACCGATTTGAAAACGGAAATCTGAAAGACAAATTTTCATCCGAACTATTCCACATCGGAGTCTAGGTAATTGTCGAGAGTCGAGAGTCGAGAGTAAAAGGTCGAGAGTCGAGAGTCGAGAGTAAAAGGTCGAGAGTCGAGAGTAAAATGTCGAGAGTCGATTTCGCGCACAAAATAATGTTTTTATTGTTATGTATTAAGTTTACTTTTACTTATATTCACTGCACGTTACCTATGCTAAGAGACTATGGTGACACTGTTTTTTTATCAATTGACGCTTTATGTTTCAACTTCCGACATGGATGCGTCAAGTGACAGAACTCGACGCACACCTTGCGCTTTTTGTCACGTTTATCAAGCGCGATCGATTCTGTTAAAGATTATATACTCATATTTCTGAGCGTTTTAGCATTTCTGACACACACGCATGTAGACCTCCACGAAATAAAATGCCTGCATCAGCTGCATGCTTTGCAAAATATGTTCGCATCTGAGTGCTTGAATACGCCACAGACAGCGATGTTTGTAAGTGTTATATAGATCTTGCCTTCCTTTATCTGACCCTTCAGATAAAGGTCAATCACAGCAGGTAAAAGTCTAAAAGTAAAAGTCTATAAAAGAAACTAGTGTGAAAAGGGCGTGTTTGTTTGATGAACAAGTCGCAGTATATTTCATTTACGTTACGTTGCTCGCTTCTAGGGCTTTCGCCAGAGCCACGTCTTCGGACTCATTTGGTATTCATTTTCCTCGCCCGAGTTTCCCGAGTTACCGCTCAAAATATCGGAATATAACCGTTTCAACATTTTTTTATATTTATGCAACACTTTTAAAGACAGAATCGATCGTTTCATAAACGAGACAAAAAGCGCAAGGTGTGCGTCGAGTTCTGTCACTTGACGCATCCATGTCGGAAGTTGAAACATAAAGCGTCAATTGATAAAAAAACAGTGTCACCATAGTCTCTTGGCATAGGTAACGTGCTATGAATATAAGTAAAAGTAAACCTAACACATAAATAGAAACATCATTTTGTGCGCGAAATCGACTCTTGACATTTTACTCTCGACTCTCGACATTTTACTCTCGACTCTCGACTCTCGACAATTACCTAGACTCTCCACATCGGTGAAAATAACTTAATTAAGAAAAACGGAACGAAGGCTAAAAAAAAACACTTCACATAGTCTCGTATCGACACTAGCCTATGGCCGTAACTTATTGTAAGAAATCATTATTCTTGTATTGTAAACCGTAAATAATTACAAAACACTATAGTCTATATGATTTATTATTTGTATCAGTATTGAAATTTAAAATTAAATTGCCAATAGTTTTTAAATGCGCGTGCATGTATTGATACTGCCAATTTACTGCCAGACGAGAGATTATTTCATCATCTCGGCGCTAGTGCACTTAAAAAAACACTTAAGGAAGTCGATGAAGAAATGATGTCGTTAATTTCCGTATTTAAATTAAAGTACTGGTGCCGCTTGTGTGAAAGCCGGATAGCGCTATCCACCGCCCGCTGTTTGCTATAACTTTAATTAAATCGTAGTATTCCTAAAAAGAGGATCCTCTTTATTAATTGTTGCTTCTAAAGATGAAATTTTATCGCTTTTCGAGCATTTTTATAACGGTTGAAAAAATCATTTATCCGGTGGATAGCGGCGCCATCTGGCTTTCGTACAACCGGCCCTAGAAGCCTATGAAGGAAATGAGTAGAATCCGGGAAGTGCGCTTGGCCAGCGTTTTTTAACTGATGTTTCTCGTTGCAAGGTTTAAGGATAGTTTAAACATTGTACATCTAGTGTTTTGATTACGTGCATGGACAGAGATACTGTGGCATGTTTGCTCTTATTTAGCACGTGATATTTCCGGGAATATCGACAACACTTTTATATAATTCTCAAAGTTGCAAAGTTACTTTGTTCAAATGGCGAGTCATTTAGTTGCGATGTCAGGACCATTTCCTCTTTCAACCACGACAGCTTAAATGAATAATTTGAGTAGTAATAATTTTAGTTTGTCAATCAATTTGTCTGAGCTGTCGTTTTTAGGTGAACTGCGTGTGGCAGTGCTACGTGACCTGAAAGTGCACACACGTTTTCTATATTGAACTCTCTGCACCTGTGTCAATGCATGGACGACTTGCGCTTTAGACTAATTTTTGATCGAAGTATAACTAGAAGGAAATCATCCTAGCTAGAAAGATCTTACTTAAGGTAGTGCGAATGCAAAGTTTTGCTGCGAAATATTGAAAGTTCTCGTTCATTTTATCGTCAGCGCGTGCGTTTATTTGTCAACAAAACATTCATGATAGTCTCTAACCTTAAATATGTACATGCATTTAAATCAAGAGGTCTACGCATTGTTATGAGCAGAGCCGATGCGCAGAAGCCACACTGTAATTTACCCTCAAAGAATTTTTAAAAGATATCGAGGTAAACTATAGTTATATTGAAAACGTAAGTACTAAAACTTTAAAAGCCTATACTGAGAATTGGTGATAGCAATCGAAACTAACAGGAGTACACGTATAAAGTAAGATATCTAGTTTATTCAAAGAAGATCAAAACAAATAAAATTACATTATTCAATGTCTAAAACTACTGAACACAAGCATAACCGACGAAGTTGACTTCTAGACTGGAATGCTAGGTTTGGATGTTTATGATCATTTGGTGCTATGTGGGAGTGTCGTAGGACGAACGTGGATAGTGGTAGGTGGTAGCGGAGTTGTAGACAAACAGTTGAAATTATCCCATGATACCACATGGTAATCGTCCGTGCACAAAGTTCCGTAACACCACCCTTGTCCGTCATTGCCACTTTCAATTTCCCCGGGGGGATAAACCTTCCCATTGTAGAAGCATCCCAGGAGGGGTGTTGGCGAAAATTTTGTTGACGGAAGTGTTGTTGGCCGGGGGGTTGCTCCGCAATTAAAGTTGTCCCAAATGTACACAAACCCGCTGGTGTCGCATACCACTCCATAACACCCATTAGGATCAGACTCAATTTCCCCCGGAGGATAAAATTTTCCCTGGTAGGAGCACCCCACGCGGACCGTGGTCCGAGGTCGTGATCGTGTGGGGCGTCTCGTGCCAGACATGGGATATGACGTTGTGCAAAGGATGACGGATACGAAAATAATAAGAAGAAAGGAATGCATTTCTAAAACAAGAAATTTAAATCAGATTTCAATATGTATACTGTACAGGGTGTCTCGAGAGAGAACGCGACCACTTAAATATGCAAGAATATTAATATTGTTCGGGTTTGCACCATAGTTCAGCTAAAATGACTTTTAGCATTTTAACTGAAGAATTAAGAGCCATTTTCAATTCCCAGAGGTGCTTATCTATTGCGCTTTAGAGCTGTATTAATGTTCTGCATATTTAAGTGGTTGCTTTTTTTTGGGACACCCTGTATAAGCATTCATAGTGCGCACTGTAATGTAACGAGGAAACCAATCATGCAGATTTTTATCTTGCGTAAACGTATGACCACGAGTTAATTATAGAAGATACTAAGTCCGACAAATACAGTAGAGATACAGCGATCAGTTTTCTTCACAAATATCAACATGAAACTTACGCAATTAATTAAGAAGTTTTTAAGAAAACGGAACTGAAGATCTCACCCAGGATTTTTTATTAAATTTTTGAAGCTCAATGACAATGTTTGCACTTCTAGAATAACGAAATGAACAATGTACACATTCAGCGATATATTTTTGCCCAAAGCCGCACGTTGGTGTTTCACAGACAAAACAAATCGATTTAGATGTCAGAGCTGCAAATTTGGTACGGGCAATTCGCAAAGGTATAATTGGAAACTGCTCTCTGCAAGAAATGAACTTATTAATCTCACAACACACAAGCTTTGAAAAAGAATTTGTTCTTTAATTAACTCACTCCACACATGTAAATCCAGACAATATTGTCGGGAGAAGCAAAACTGAATATCTCTGCGAGTGTTTTGGCTAAAGACACCGGAATACCGCCAAGATGATCGATAGCGCTTGCAAAAGTGATTTAAATGCCAAGGGTGCGTGAAACAGAATTATCATTTTCGGGGATGTCGAAGTTCGTACACTGTTTTTGTCGACGCTGCGGTTAGTAACGAAAACACGAGCAGAGTAAATTGTGTACATTAAACAAACAATAAGATTTTTTTTGGCAACTCAGCAATTTAACTAAAGCAAAGCAATTTAACTTAAAGGGTTGAATGTGAACTGATGAAACCCGTGTGGTTCGTCGAGCCATGGTAATGTTAATTTACATTTCATCTCAATTTTTAAGCCATTTAAAATTCGAATAACAAGGAACATAAACGCAATTTTCCATTGCAATCGCTGGGCGAAGCGCCCTTTGTTTTTCAGGCCAGTCACGGTCGCATGGGCAGATTTGGATGTAATGGAGAATAGCCTTAACGTACTTTCAAGTCACAGAAGTATAATTAAAGTTGGACTGTTGGCGTTGCACTGACATTTGAATGCAAATTGAAGATCTACTTATGCAAATGCCACTTTAATCGTCCTATCATTTTATCTTTCACTGTACCCTGTATAACGCAAGTTAAAAATCGATTCCTATTTATATGCGAGTTTACCTCAAAAGTTTTTTATTTTGATCAATATGATTTACGTTAGCAAACTTCTCTCAAATTACAGCAGTTAGGACGCAAGTTTGCATATGGTTTGACATTACTGTCAGTTTTTTTAACTCAATCTGCATGTTAAATTGGACTATACAATCGATCAAGTTGACAAGGGCGAAATTGAATGAAAACTACAACATAAGTCATATGCCAATTAAGTATTGACATGCATTCAATTCAGGAATACAATTAATAGTGAATTGAAGCTCTATAGGTAAATATAATCATTTGTGCTTTGGGAGCAAGCTTGATTTCTAAAGAAATTCCGATGTTTCTATATACATGATATACCCTGAACAATGAAATTCATTACAGCAGAGAAAGGGATCCAAAAGGCATGTTTAAGACGTCGTTTATGGCCTGTACATGTGGTTACATATGACGAGAGAGGAGATGTCTAACATGCATGCAGGGTAAATTATTATAATATTGAAGTCCTGATTAGTCTCACCTAGTAAACTGTTTTAATTTAAGACTAACTGGTGAACTAATTAAATTTTAATTGTTTTGAACAATTATTTGCAATCTTTTATTTTAAGTTGTTTGTTCTTGCTAATTTCGACTACGAATTTATCTTACTTCGCAAATTAAGGTCGATACCTCAGCTTTGATGCATGTGTGAATTACCGTGCGCATTTTTTTTATTATTCCCTGTCAATCAAAGCAGTCGGAGTGTAATCGAGTTTAATTGACACATTAAACTGTATAGTGTTTGTTAATGCATTCGGCACAAGCCGAGAAAGCGAGGCGTTAACTTGCATCTACAACCAGTCACTACAATGTTAGCATTACCGTTCGAAGTCCCCACTATAGTCTATCGCCATTTACAATATTCACTGATATACCCAGCAATGCAAGTCTGACTCTGATATCGGTCATATAATTGTAAACGTGGTAATAGCCGAAGTTCTATAAACTATATAAATATACACAACTTTGTTTGATTTATGATCGTTAATCACCAACTGTGCTGTTCAATACGAGTACGAATTATGAAGGGTGCTTCTGAAATAGGGTTCAAAACTTACCGCAATTCTTTATGAACAAATTCGCTACCAAAACTTTCTTTCTTCTAGTGCAAACGTGACCACAAAGTAAGCTCTATTGCAGGATGGTCCTTGACAGATATATAAATATAAGCACCGAATTCCTGCACCAAGTCTTCTTTGATTGGCTGCTTTTGTCATTACGTCAGCACATTTTTGTTGGGAGAATCTGTTTCCTACGCAGCTTGCGAATAACAGAATCTATTTATACGCTTATTCCACGGTGGGGGGAAACGCGTTAAATAGAGTCTGCGCGCCGATGTCACAAATTCCATACTGATGACGTATTTTGCCGTGGATCTCGGCAGAATTAATCAGTCATAACTCTTAAACACGTTATGTTATTGGTTAAACTATAAATTATACGAATATAATGTAACATTCAAAACAATATAGCGGACTGAGCCGAGAAATATGAAAGAATATCGGCAAATATTTTAAGTAGTTGTGTGAATAGGATAAAGAAGTTTTTAGGATAGGCAAATTATCAACTAATCAATTTGATGGGCGTTTGCATTTTTTAACGGAAGAGATGTATTTGTCAGTTTACCGACCGTTCTGGCAAGTCGTTAATTTTTTAGAATGTTGCATTATATTCGCATAATCATATCATATTTTGCATAATTTATGGTTTAGCCAATAACGTGTTTGTTACTGATTAATTCTGCGGAGATCCACGGCAAAATACGTCATCAGTATGGAACTTGTAAGATCGGCGCGTGGAATAAGCGTATAAATAGATTCTGTTATTCGCAGGCTATTTCCTACGCCAATATGGCGTTATATATAGTCTTATTGCGCGGTTTGCGATTAAAGTGAGAAAAATATCCAATTTTTCCACTCGGCTCAACCAAACCTCCATTAACTTCGCTGGATAGCTCGACCACAACTAAATCAAAGTTCACACATGTTGAAAATTACAACTTTATAATGGCATATATGTACATACACACACTGCTTTAGATCGCATTAAATCTTCCAATAATTAAATTTATAGCTATCAATATTAACGCTTCAAATGGTTCACTGCATGTTGTATGTGGTTAAAAGTTTGGGGTAAGGAAAATTTTTGAGACGTACATAACATGCATACACGCTTAAAATATCATTAAACCTCGCCCCAAATTGAAACTGTAACCTGTCGATTTCAACATTTGGAAGGTTTAAAGAAAAATTCTCGGAAATGGCTCGGCAATTAAGTCTGGTTTTTCAGGAAATTAGGATCAATTCGAAATTTAGAAGTAGAACAGAATTTAATACGAGGTTCTACTTGATGAAGAAGTAGAAGAGTTTTATGTTTGTTATAAATATAGCTATCTTTTCATTCTATTTTTTTCGCTTCGCTCTTGTTTCTATTCGTTGTTCTCGTCATGGACGACGTTGCAGCCTCCATTCCCTTGTCCAAAACTTTCTGATAAAACCTTGCCATGACCTAAAAATCAATGATGGACACAAATCAAGTAACGACCTTTCAAAAGGTTTGACATTATTAAAGATATACACATCACATGAACTATGCCTATGCCTTCCCAAATTTGACAGGTTTGAAGTGGTGGCTTGGTGTTACTGCGCAAACTTGATAAGGTTTTGAACGTGCTATTACATTCTATTCAACTTATACTTATAGGATGTGAAGACGGATGCAGTAGATTATGTACAATTGTGCATCTATATGCCTACATGTCTTTTTAACTATGCATCGTTATTTGGAAAATATTTTCGTGGTTTTTTGTATGATACGTGATCATGAGTGGTTGTTTCACTACGATGAACAATCACACTGATCTCATAATACAACTAGACATAGCAAGACCCCCGAAGAAAGACAAAACACTACATGTCCAGTGCATATTCAGATCAGTGGGATTGTTCAGATTATATTCAGATGAGTGGGATCAGTGTATGTTCAGAAAAGTGGGACTGTCCAGTGTTTATTCAGATCAGTGGGTGTTTTATTTTATTCATTTTAGCAACATGTTCACAATGAGCGGGGCAATCCAGTGCACAGTGAGATCAATGGACCTACCTCGTCCCAGACCACCTCTGCAATTTGATCCAACTGTTGCCCGACCTCCCGAAAGTCGCCGCTAAATCTGACGTATGCCCACGTGATGATCGCCATTAACGAGCAACCAATCAAAAAGTTACACAACATTGCGAATGACGTAATACCCACAATTCCAAAGAGACCCGACAAAAGATACGCGACAATCATAATCGCAAAGAAAACCGCGGGCGTTCGCGCGGCGTTGAAGATGTTTTTGCTATCGTTCAATTTCACGAAATTGACAAACGCATCTTCGATGTCTGTCTCCAATTTTTCCGCGAATTCCTTGCTGAATTCAGCACCTCCCATCTTCCGTGTCGTGTGGAACATGCCGAGGGAGCCCGACTTGTATTTTCCGTGACGTCGTTCGAGTTCCTGCGGGGCGAGGAACGGTGTGTCACCCCCACAAACCTAAAACCAAAAATAGAGAAGGAATATTGATTTTCGTTGTCCGTCACTCATTGATAATGTTGTAAAATGACATACCTTGAATTAGGTCGATAGATAAGGTCCTACATTTAAACTTATTGTTCTGTACATCAATCGATAATGAATTTATTATCGATTGCATTATTATCGATTGCAGTATTTGTGTCGAAACGATTGTAAAGATATATAAATAATTCACGTTGAATTTCTGTAATAGCTAATTCACAAAACCTTTTCCATCTTTTGTAGGTAAAGATCTTTGGCACTCGCCAGAGCTGCTAAATTGTTAGCTTCTGCGGTCGCCTGTACAGAGAAAAAAATAATGGCGTTATCTCTCACAGTATTTGAAACTTTCAGAAATACATGTGGAAGCATATTTTACCAATAACATAGACTTTGGTTCTGGAAGTTCATCTCCTTGATAGATTTTTATGTATGCCTAAAATGAAGATACTTCATGTCACTTTAATAAAATGTCTCTAAAGATAGAAATAACAGGTAAAGTTAAAAGTATTTTCTCAAATAAATTGTATACTTGGTCTGAGATAACCTATATTGCTTTATGATAGAGATAATTTAGTGGCAGAAACAGGAGGAATACGATTTCAATGAAAAGCTTGCCTTAAAATACTCCACAAGACCACGACAGGTCACTGGCATTCCATTGATTTTTTTAACAACCAGGTTTTCAGAACTGAGTAACGAAGGAATCAACCTCTGAAGATTTTGTTTGAATCCTTCGTCGATGTCTAGAAAACAAAATGTCGAAAAATTTAGTGTATCAGACAAGCAATACTATCACATGAAGAGAATCCTATATGACGGAAAACGACTGTCAAATTTCAATCATTTTTATAGTTTTTTGACCGCATACCAGCGAGCTGTCCTTCGAAAGTAGGACTTGTAGCGACTTTGAGGCCAGGATGAGGCATCAGAAAGCAAGCCAGTTGATCAAAACATGATCTTATGTGATTACGAACTTGTATCAGCTCGTTATGTTGCTTGGGTTTGGTCTGAAAACGAACAATTATCATCAGTTGAGTGAATTTTTGGTCTCATTTTGCTATAAACTCGTTTCCACGTACCTGTGACTTTTACTGCGAATTCACGTGCGATTTTCTTCTTTCGACAGATGTGAACGAGCATACAGTTACGACCGTTCTGATGTTGAAGTGTCTCTATTTTGACGTCCGTAAGTTAGTCACTCGTTCACATCCATCAAAAGAAAATCGAAAAAACGGGCCTTAGACTAAAACTCTAAAAGCAGCATAAGTAGTATAACTATATATAGTAACATCATAATAATGCAATACCTCTAAACGCCTTTTCAAAATGGCTTCTCCTCCACCATAACCATATTCGGCCTCGTATGGGAAACTCCAATCACGTACCAGAAACAACAAGCTCTATTTTACATAAAACATATCGCACACTTTTGAAAATGACAGTTACCAATTGGCAGAAAAGTACAAGAAAACTCTTAATCCAATTAATCCAGCGTTCTATATTGTAATTTACAGCTAAAAAACATTGGGATATCAGCCTTTGAATAACCGCTCCACAATAGTATTAGTAACACCAAGTACTACGTAGTCACACTTACTTGAAAAGGAGTTTCATGACTTTCTTCTATAGCAAGCTTGCCGTATTCAGTAAAGAGCTAGAATTTTACAAGATAAAAGAATCAGCAATGCTACCAAGAACACATATTAAACACATAAAAAGCAATGCTACCACAATAAAAAAACTGAGCATACACTGTATATGTACACAGTGGGGAGAATGGTTTGGAAATCCGAAATCAAATATGACAAATTCAACAAGTTGTTCAAACCTGTAGATGTTGCAAATCATCTTCTTGAATGTTTTGTGTGATATTATAAATCTAGTGAAAAAAAAATCACATTGATCAACACAAATCATATGCCTAATATTATCATGTGCAAAGGTGTGCAACACTTACTAATATTACAAAACACATTGAGTGGCAGGGGATTAAGGTGGGTTAAATGGGTATAAGGAGGGTAGGGTGTTGATGCATCACTGCAACCAAATGTAAAAAGGTGCTTTTTCAGAAAACCTAAGTTGTATTCAGCTATAATATAGAGATCAGTGTTGTGGCTGAAAGGATGAAGATTGCATCCAGCTGTTATATTGTGATCAGTGTAGCAGCTGAATGAATGATGCATCCTTCATGTTTTCTTGCAGAGGGAAGTCAATAGATACACCAGACAAATTTACTCAATGTCATATACCTGGACTGAACTCAGCATAGTGCTCAGGGCAAACACAGTTGCACAATCTTTGACAGTTGATGTGCTATCAAATGAACCTTGGGTATCCATGAGAATAACAGCAACCTAAAACAATACAAACATTGAATTAACTGGGCATTAGGCAATAATAGACCCATGGAGAAAAACCTTGAAAATCTCCCTTCACATCTCTCTTTGTTTTGGTTGTAATAGCATTTGGCATTTATCATAATTTAACCATGGTTCAAAAGAACAAAAAAAGAGTTACCTAAACACATCTAACAAAATTTTTGCTTCTATTTACCCACAAATGCCTGAACAGCTTTTTGCATGGTCTGGGTTAACCGTGATTACAAAAAGCATTGTAACATAATGCAAAAACTCTTTGATTTCTTTCACTGAACTGAATTTAAAATTGTTCGCCTACTAGCTAACATGCGACTATCAAGATTAAATATATAATATTGTGATAATTACAAAATCTTAAGACATTTCATCAAAGTAGAACTTTTTAACTTGTTGCCTAAAATATGACCAGAAAAATAATACAATATACCTCCTCTCCATCAGGAAGTGTACACAGGTATGGTTTACTCCATAACAAAATTCCTGTGGTTTCACGTTCTGATCCACCTCGCCATGAAAAGCCTGTCAATACCTCATTGTCTTCACCTAGCCATCTATCAGGATTTTCCTGTAAAAAATGCTCATAGTAAATAACTAGTTCTGACAAATAGTGCAGTTATTACCAGCTCCCATGTTACAAAACACTGTTTATAACAATATGTTTCTTAGGTATTAGTGCAACAACAACAACAACAACAACAATAGCTGCTTGTTATACAGAACCAATATCATCAACATGGGTGATTTTGGTCCACATTTTTGCTTCCTGCTGTTTAATTCTATTCTAGCTAAATATTGAGGCTAAAAGATGGTGCTTGTTTATGACAGAGCACAGTTGTTAACAATTAGAATTGAGACATCAACTGTCAGCATCATCGAGCAACAAGCAAATTTTGTAACATTCAAAGACATGGAAATCTTGTTAACTTTCAAACAATTTTCCTATTTTTCCTATAGGGGACTATGATCCCATCCTCATATAAATTTAACACTTGAAAATTGTCAAGTGAACATTTATTGGTTGTCCGGTGCACTCACTCACTGCTTTAGACACATTAAAATGAACTTAAAACATCAGAACTTGATAATCAACTCAACCGTATCTGGAAATGCCGTTGTAAAATTTGCAGTCAACCAGAAAATTGCAGGATAAAATTGCAATATTTTACTTGTTTTGATTTAGGTTTTTCGCAATGAGATTTGTGATAGCTGTTGAAAATATCTGAGAGGTTAAAATTCATGCCTGGTGTGAATAAAATATCAAGCATTATTTACAGGCCATATATCAAAACAGTTTGGAAGTCAAAACCACACTTAGGTTAATTATTAACTTCAGTAATCAAGCTCAAATCATTGCAGGTCTGAAGTTCGCTATATTATTACGTACTTCGCTGTGAAACACTGAGCTTATTATTTAATATACAAGTTATACATTTTATACGCTCTCAAAGCAAGTACTATAGCAAGTATTTTCTTTTCTTTATCAGACCATTATTATTTAATAATTCCACGACCACAGTGATGCAAAACAAAGCACTCTCTATTTCAAATTCCCTCAACGATATCAAGCAATCCACGATAGATATATAAAAAATTTCGGCGATTTTAAACAGGGCAAATTCAAACGAATTGATACTGATTTTTGTACATTATATTGAAACAAAACAAAATTGTACAGATTTGATAATTTGGTACGAAATATATTTGGCATCGCTACAATGACAATATACATCATAGCGTTGTAGCTTCCTATCGCGACAACGAAGACAACTAGTGAGATTGCATGCGTAGCTTTAAAATGATAGCCATCGTTTTGAGCTGTAGAGAAAAATTTGAAAATTAAACAAACCTTTCTGTCCAAATAGCGCAGAAAAAAGTCAAGTAAGAAGGATTTTCCTTTACGAAATGCACCAGCTACAGATATAACAACAACTTTCTTGTCTCGTACTCTTTCGTCGCTGATCAAGACCTCTTCTAAAAGTTCCTCGTTCAAAGAAAAGCTGTGTTCTTCCTCATCAGTGAGAACAATTTGTACAGGACGAGCACCCATAACGATGTCGAAATCGTTTATGTCTCCATTCATGTCACCGTTTCTTTCTAAATTTTCGGCCATCCTCTATCCAATGTCGGGGATATGATAGTCCTTGTTTAAATATACTCGTAAACTACAGTAATCGAAGCGATTCTTTTAAAATTACTCTTTTTTCGCAGCTGAAATCGAGCAAAACGAATTTTCAGTTGTTAGAAGTTTATTTAATTTTTGAGATTGCGACCCGACGTGACGTCATCGACAACACTGGGTACCAGTGTTTTGGCATTGGACCCGAACCCACCGGATATGGCCGCGTTTTTCACTTTAAAACATGGCGGGATTCGATGTATTTTAAAAATTTCAGGCTTTACCACCATCATTCATTTAGCATTTTAAGGCACTTTTAAATGTGAAATGCAAAATGCGTACTAAATACAATTTTTCAGCTCTGTGTGGCCAGATATGCGCGTAAAGTCTGTTTGTTAAAACAAGAAGTTTGATTGGCTCGTTAATTTCGCGGAGCCAATCAAATCTCTATTACATTTGCACCCCGCGTTTGAGGTCATTATGAAATGACGCCATGCAACAGTCGTAGTAGAGTCACGCTTTTTGCTACTGACAAGGTTCATAATAGGTCGAGAGATATCGCCTATGTGCGCTTTCGTATCACGCGCGACTGTTTATGATTACCATTATTGACGTCACTATGATTGTACTCGCGTTTTCGGGGATAAATTCGACGAAAAATATGCACCAAATCAAAACATTTTGAAGGTGAGTTTTTGGGTTGTAATTTTTTTTGTGACTAATTTGTGCTCCAACTCTATGATTTCAATATTTTCGTTTGCTTTTCGTTTGCTTTTACGACGGCCTGCGATTCTGTGATTAATGTTTCAGCAAAGAGTGGTGATGGCTGAGAATTCCGAAGCGAATGATTTGGTGGTTAAGCCACAACAGCTCATCGGTGGAATCAACGGTAAGTGCAAAGCAACTGATTCATCGCTAACTTTGCTCATTAGCAAAGTTATTAAATTATTAAATGCAAACTCTAAAATGCAAACTTCAAAATGCATTATTAAATTAAAAAATGCAAACTTCTAAACGATAATTGGGCGAACATTCGACATATCTTCAGACAGTTCTGCCCGACGGATTTCTTTTGTAAGTGCAATAATAGCTCACAATAGAATCCTGTCGGGCAGAACTGAATATCAACACCCCCCCCCCCCTCCTCCCGAATAATCGTTCTAGTTACGCCCTAAGCAAAGCACGTAGAGCTGGCTAATTCAGTATTTCATGTATAATTTTAAAAACCATGCAGATAAATCGATTTTATCGATTATGTCGTCACCACAATGATAAGTTTGGAGTTCAGCAGATGAGTTCGAAAAAAGCTCACCTGCTCGGAACTAACACCAATCGCTTTCAAATACTGATACGTCACGTCACACTTTTTGGGATCTAATATCGGTAATCACCAATCTTGACGTTTTGACAGGTTTGATTTTACAAATGCACAAATACCAAGTTGAGCTGGACGAATCCAAACAAAGGCAGTTAGAACAAGCAAAAAGAATCAAAACGCTCGAAGAAAAAAACGAGGAGTACAAAAACGACATAAACGAGTTGACAAAAACCAAGGAACGTTTGACAGAACAAAGCGGATTCCTACAAAAATCGCTGGACAAAAAGAAAGTAGAAAATAACGAGATTTTGGAGCGACTCAAACAAGCGGAGATAAAGCTTGGCGAGTCTGGCAGTGTTTTGGCAACTGTAAGAAGTTTAGAATCGAAAAACGAACTTTTGAGCGAGAAAATGTCGAATGTTTTGCTGAATACGGAAGAAGAGAATGCAAAAGCGAAGGAGGAACGTGGGCACTACACGAAGCTGCTCGAGGAGACAGCTGAATTGAATAAACGCAATTTAGAGATTCAGACTGAGCTGAGCAACGCGAGACAGACTGGAGATGAGAATACAAAACAATCTAAGGTACATTAAGTGAAGTTCTTCACCTGAGACAAACTGGAGCATTTGTTTATATTATGGACTGTACCCCACCTTTAAAACTCCGAAAAGGGGTGCACCTTGTACTGATGAGTGATGGATTGTTTAAGGCTTTTGTAGAAAGATCCGAACAGCTCTGTTCAGAGATTTTCAAAACCTTGGACGAAGTATTTCGTGCAAAGCAGCAGTTCACGGAATTCAACAGCGACAGAGTTAAGAACTGTTTGAAAGAAAACGCATCGCTACAGAAGGAGAACAAAGATCTCAAAGAAAAGGCTAATGCTCTGGAGGTAAAACTTCATGAAGAGCAACAGAGGGCAAACGAGGTTAGCAAAGAAAAGTTGTTGAAGATTGAGGGAGAGAAACAAGAACTGTTGAAAGAAGTCCATTTCTTGCAAAAGAAAATACAAGAAAAAGTTGCCAAAAGGTAGAATGAATCATTGTAGGCGCGTTATTGTGAAGAGAAGCACATTGAGCAATTTTACAATTTACAAAAACAACCAGTTCACATACCCTCAACATGTCAAATTCAAATGGTCCCTTACACTCGCCTTGTGTTTTACCATTTCCCTCTATTTATATAACTCGACTGAAATCGAGCAACTTGAAGTTTGTTTGTTTTTTTAATGTAGCTAAATTAATTCATAGCCTAATAAAATTTGCGACACAAGTTCAATCCATGGTGTTACAGTGAGGCTTACCACTTTTTTCAACATGTATGGTTATTGTGAATAGCTTAATTTCTAAAATGCCTTGGATCTCATCTTTCTCGCTTGGATCGAAATTTAGTCTTTGAATGAGGCTGATCACATCCATTACGAATGTCATTATAGCAACGCCGAGGCTCTTGAAAACGAGAAAAAGAACAAACAATACGAGGCTCTGCAAGAACAACTTAAAATGCTTGCTCAGAGTTATAGCGAGGCAACACAGCAGCTGGGGCAGCTTAAGGAAAGCGTCGACGAGAGTAAAGACATGTTGAAGGCCAATATCGAGAAAGGGGAGAACGCAGAAGAAGATGCAGAGAATAGTGGACACGAGAAAATTGATCAAGGTTATATTGCAATGGCTATTGAGATGCAGGGGATTTTTCAGCAGTCCGATATTAGGGATGAAGAACTTGCAAGTTTAGAAAGCATTGCAGGTATGTAGAAGTGCTTAAAATTTCAGTTAAAAACCAGGAATCAAGTCCGCTATTTTGAGGTGAAAAAATAATCGATGTAGTTTTCTACTCAAAACAAGATATTAACTTTCTCCTTACTATTTATTGTTTATGTCAGAAAGATTTGAAAGACCTGCATGATATAACATGAATTCGAAAGATAATATAACAGTGAGAAAACACATCAGTGACATACATAAGAAAAAACGACTATTTCAGGCAAGCAAAATGAAATATCTGATGTATGTTTCTCTCAGGTATCCAAGGACAGCGTTTCAGTAATGGTGAGAACAGCGAGGGATCGAGCATGGCCTCTTGTATTCGCGGACTTGTCGCGATAAAGGACAGTCAGATTGCCACATTGACGAGGGAACGAGACGAGCTCAGTAGCGAAATTGCAGAAAAGAAGAAAAACGAGTATCGCCATTTGTATCATCTCAATGAACTGCAGAAGGAGAACGACGAGATCTTAGCAAAAATGGAAGCCTGTCAAGCAAAATATCGCAAGTTGAAGGAAGATAAAGAAGATATTAGGCAAAGCTTGTTGGTGAAAAGTGCTGCAGATAAGATCACTCATTCTTACATTAATAAGTTGAAGGTGAGTGTCTGAGTAAAGAAATAGATTGTGGTTTCAAGTGAGCGGAGATTATTTCACCATTCCCTTTCAAAACTAAGAGTGTGCACATGAAAATTCATCGGTTCTGAACTGTATAGCTGGAAAGAGCATCCGAAAATTAGTAAGACTTGGTTGAGAAAATAGTCATTAGGATAAAAGCCAATGGAGACAAAGTTAGTCTTCTCCTGAAAAAGGTGGAGGAGCATATTCGTGTTGTTTACTGTAAGTGTAAAAGTTTGGTAAAATAAACCTCATTAAAATGGTCATATACGGATAATTTACCCTTGAAAAAGTTACTAAATTAAACTCGGAATCCTTTAATCCGGAAGATTTTGATAACAGATTACAGATATGTTGAAGATTGTTTTTATTTCCTGTTGCTTTCAGCACGAGAATGAGCAACATAAGGCCAACTTGGAAAAGCATGAACAGGAATTAAAGCAAAAATTTCAACGAGTAAAAGATGAACTGGAAGAAAAGATGGAGGCAAAGAACGTTTTAGTTCAGACGATGCAAGAGAAAATTGCCATTTACCAGCGTGAACGAGAAACGTTGAAGTGCGAATTGAACTCGAGACAAAAGAAGGACAACGCTATTAAAGAACAAATAATCTCGATTTTTGAAAGCTGAGTTTATGTAACCCTTTACAGATACCGATAAAAGTGCATGATCTACGAATACTGATCCCTCAGTGAACCAATATGATGTATAAATGTGACATCTTTTGATGTTTAGGAAAGTATTCATTCAATTATAATATTTTATCCTACTCCATTGGAACCATGTTATGACTGACAGTCTGATGCAAACGAGATAAAAAATATTTTGAAGTCAAAGAGATATTGTTGCTAGCGCTGATAAGAGTCTATTCTAGGTACCTGAAAAACATCACGCATTCAATGTCTCATGGACAGACTGGCAATTAATAGTGGAGAAAAAACGTACATGTTCCTGTCATAACAAAAATCATTGATACTTTGACTTGTTTACCGAAAGCAAAAAGGCGATCGATTGATTTAATCACCAGTCTGGGTACCGCTTATATTTTTTATGAAAACACAACACGGCGAAGCTGAGCACTGTTAGAGTTCACGAGTCGAATTTCGTGATATTTTTCAAGTATTAAGAGATAACATCATTATGGGACGTAGAGACTCGCACGAAATCTTTTTTTTTTTCATTCCAATACGGATAATATTGAAATCTACGGGCATTCTTCGGACGTTGCATGGTCATGTATTAATCCTATCATCATGGTAATCCTATAATTCAGCCGGAGCAGTTACACAGTATAACATTTCGCAAAATCTCTGCTTCACGAGCAAAGCCAACGAGAATCAGTTATGACAAATAAATTGGACAACAACGAGCTGTCACACACACATTGTTTCGAGAAAGGTAAAAAGATACAATCATATAAATAAAAAAATTCCATCCAACTGGCTTTCGCTGAGGGTCATGTTCAATGCATACCGAAGTAGTTTCTGTCCTTTAAAAGCAAAAATCATTTGATTGTACCGTTGTTTAAATTGCGGTATTAATTGATGAAACTGATCAACAAATTAATCACATCCCAGATGACTCTTTATTAAGACTTAAGGGGGTCCTCTACCAAAAATTTTTTTAACCTTGCTATTCATAGTACCAAACTGATACTTTAGTATGTTGTTAGGCTATGGTCACTGACAAAAAGTAGATACAATTGCAAAGTTGTGTTGCCTCGGTTACCAGAAAATGCCACGCCTAATAGCAAAATGAATGCCATTTTGCAAACATGATAACTACACAACCATTAGCCATAAAATGATGAAATAACTTTTATTTACTCAAAAATAACATGGTCTAGGAGTTGAACTAAAATTTTTTAGGTTGGTGGGGTTTTAGCAGTTTTACAGGCAAAACAATTGAAAAGGTTACAATACATTCCATTGAATTAGATACCACTTGATATCTATGCATCAGAATTTAATTTCTTTAGTTCATCTCCTAGAGCTACTCATACTGAGGCTATCCTTAAAATTTCAGCAAGATAGCTCTAAAACTTCTTGAGATATCTTGCATACAATCTCGGAAATTGCTGAATCTCGGCATTTTGAGAAAAATGCATTTAAAGTGTAATATTAAGTTCATAACACAAACAGGTCTAAATAACAAGGCTCTATTGCTATTTTATTGCTACTGTACATTTGTTACCACATTAGAAAGCTCCTGCTTCATAAGTGGTGCCCTCTCTTCCTTTATTTTTATCTTCTTTCTTCTGTTTCTGCCAGCGGAGGATTTTTCGTCCTTTCTTTACTTCAGGAGTGTTCCTATATTCAGCCTTCCTTACTCGCAAACGATCACCTTTTTCTATTCCTTCTTCAAAGAAATGTCCTGGAAGTAAGTCCATCTCTTCAAAATGTTCACAGCTGCTTTATTTCCAAGATTCAAATAAGCTACAGCATCATATGTTCTAAAATTCAGGACATCCGCTCCAACAAAAATGGTTTTCGGCAACCGGTTCCAAATAATGCCATTTAGTTACTCATTCTGGTTTTGGGTTTGTCCATCTAAGCACTTGCTCAATAGTTCATCATTGCTAAGCCTGGTATAAATAGATTTGAGCAATGCAATAATATCATCAGGAAGACCTTCACCGGGTTTGTACAGCTCTGTATTGTTTGCTTTATTTTGTGCAGAATTACTGGCACTGTAGGCATTTGAATGGAATGGAGGTGGCATGTTCATCAAGCCACAGAAACGTTTCAGTGATGAGTGTTCTTGTCCCATACTTCGCATAGCATACACAAATCGCTTGTTGATATAAAACGAGTGCTGAACTTTATTTCATGTATAAAAGGTATACACCCAACCACATGTTTGGCAAAGAACACGAAGATGAGACGCACTGCCTTTTCGTTCACGTGGGTCTTCTTCCAAAACAAGACAAGACGATGAACCACATTTACTGCAAATCATTTGCTTAAAAACATAGTTCAGGATCTCCATATCAATAAATCGATACCCTGTCACGGTAGCTGGAACTGAAGGAGCATTTCGTGGACATGGATTGCCAATCTTAAGAGCGGAAGCAGAAATATTTGGAGACGAATAGCCTTCGATCATTAGTTGAAGTTGATGGCACAACAGAATCATTCTCAAGACGCGCTTTCCTTACAGAGTCCGTGAATCTATTGCCATGAAATTTCCATTTCCTTACTTTTGAACCTTTCCTTAGCATCGTGAATATATGAATATATAATATCGGAATATGCAAATAACAAAAATTGCGCTTGACGAACGCTTGAGAGTTGAGAACACGAGAACAACACAATGAGTTTATTTAGCTCAAAAGACGCCTTCAGATCGTTAAAAGAGCTTCCAGCGGGTGTGTTAAGAAAGCAGAAGGACTACTTCATATAATATACAGAAAATCGTTCTCATTGGATAAAAAGAAGGGCTTTCAGGCGGAATTTTTAAACAAAAACACCTGTTGCTAAGGGCGTTGCTAAGGCAGAAAATAGCCAAAAGTTTAGGAATTTGCTTTTTTTTAGTGTGTTGTAGTATTCTATGCGCACTGAAAATTTTTGAGGCCATAGAGGAAGGTTGAAAGTACATATATAGACTGTCTTTGAAAATTCAAAAACTTCGAAGTCAAAGTAAAAATTTTAGTAGAGGACCCCCTTAATTGAAAGTCTGGATGATGTAACACGTACTTTTGACGGCTCAAAGGAGATTTCCTTGCTAGAAAGATCAAAGCCATCGAACACTTCTCAACTGCGCCGTGTAGTATAATTTGCAAAGGCAGAAACGCAATATGTTCGACTTGTTCGAAGCAACTACCTACGGATGGAGCACTGGCGATGCGAAAGCAGGGGGCGAGTGCTTTCGTGAAAACGCGTCGCTGTTTTCTCTCTGTAGGAGAGCGCGTATAGAGTCATTCTCATCGAAAGTCTGTTTTCCACAGCTGTGATAAATTTACATGACAAATTTTACATATTCAATCAATGTGTAAAACGACCGATGCTTTTGGCAATTGTACGGGTGGGGATACAATATTACCCAAATGTAAGCCCAACAGGCTACAATTATAACTTGTTTCTGAATATTTTTCTATATGTAAAGGTATAAATTGTTGACGAGTATGAATAACTTTAGAAATAAATCATATTATACATTTACACTCTAATGAAAAGAGAACGAAGTCGTTGATTGCACGAACTGATGGTGGACCACCCCCCCCCGGATCTATCGGTCGCAAACACGCTGTTTATTCATATTTCACGCTGTTTATTCATATTCATTATGACATTATCACATTCGCGTTTAAACCACGTTGCTCCTCAGCTCCTGGGTTTTTAATACAAAGAGCTCATCCAAAAAACTCATTCTTCTCCAATATATTACGCATTCGTATTTTGAAGCTATTTAGCAAAAAGATTGGCTATGTCTAGAAAATTTTGCACACTCTACACGAGCGAAATGCTACTTCATGCAGCGTGAAATTGAATCAAAAATAAATTGCAGAGAGAAAAGTCCATTGCATAGAGCATAACTGCATACGATATTTTGCATAGAGCATAAGCATATAATATGAAGCAAAATACCATACATTTTGACGTCAGACACTTTTGCTCTTGTCAATTACGTCGAGTCTTATAACATGTCATCAGTGATATCTGATCACAATCGGGTTAGCTCACACACATGCAGTCATAGGCACTCATTAGGCAGTGAAACACTGTTCGAATGTGCGCATGAAATAAACAAACCGGGTACAACGTAAAGCTCGCTTGTATTAGATCTCACAGCGGAGTTAAATTCACAAAAACCTCGCCAACAGCAAGGGATAGAAATAACTCGAGTGCGGTAAGTTTTAACGATCGTTAAATCCGTGTTAGTTTTACATTTTAATACAATGCCTGATCACAACGTAAATATTATTTGCGCATTTTTAACTTGTGGCCCGCAAATCCTCGCATTGTCATGAACGCAACGTTGCAAGATGTCTATTTTATATATAGCCATTAATAACTATTTTTATATCATATACGTCGTGCGGCAAATCCTATATAGCATGTCTTCTTTATATGTTTTGTTTACGTGTATACCATGCTGCGTATTCTTGTTTTGCTTAAATTTAAGCACCAATGTAATAGGGGAAGTATTAAGCGTGATCGAGAAAAACACAACGTATTTCAAAAGAGTAATAACTGCCTATAAAATAGACAAAACACTTCTCGACGTTTCGACCTGAGGGCCTTTGTCAGGAGAGTTGTTTTCGAGAACTGTTTTGTCTATATTTTTGGCAGTTCAGTGTTATAACCATATTTGATGCTGCCACGCTGCTCCCTGGTTGTATTTCAACAGAGTAAAACAATGATACAAAACTAAATTCCTAGCCAAACTCTATGTATTATATCTGTTCACAACTACACAACGCATGCTAAATTGCGCTCTGAAACAAAATAATAAAAGAGTGAAAATTTTAAATTCGAAGGCGAAGCTGAGCATGATCGTAATTTTACCCTCCAGTTTAATAAAGATAGATCGATAAAACCTCGTAAGCTCAGTATTAATCTCAGGCTTTCTCAGTAGCGTTACTACGTTTAAAATTAATTATAATAACTTGTAGGTACACCACGTAAGTATTAAATACTGCAAAGCTTTCGGTCCGTTAACCCGGACCTTCATCAGTGCAATTACTTGAATACACGTTTGCGCGTCACTTAAATATCATGTTAGTCGTGATTAGTTTGCTCGCGCTATTAATTAAACGGTTTCATTTAATTAAGTTCTAACTAATGCGCGCGCCCTAGACAAGTATTTGACTAAGAGACACCGAAAAGAGCACGCCACGTACTATTAAGTGGCTTTCCCTCTTGGACGATAGTTTGATGTTTATAAATTTCAATAGATTCTCTCATTTTACGAGAGACAGCAAACTTATCGTTTGCTAAAATGGTAGCATCGTTCCATTTAATGCGATGATCATAAGTCCATGCATGGTGAGCTACTGCAGACTTATCCAGTTTACCTTTCTCGCAGTTCGTCTTATGTTCTTTAAGACGTATTGAGAGATTTCTACCGGTCTCTCCAATGTAAACCAAACCACATTCACATGGAATGCGGTACACACCAGGTTTCTGTTGTTCATCGACGCCATCCTTGTGTGTGTAAAGAGCTTAGTTAGAACTTAATTAAATGAAACCGTTTAATTAATAGCGCGAGCAAACTAATCACGACTAACATGATATTTAAGTGACGCGCAAACGTGTATTCAAGTAATTGCACTGATGAAGGTCCGGGTTAACGGACCGAAAGCTTTGCAGTATTTAATACTTACGTGGTGTACCTACAAGTTATTATAATTACTAAAGTCGCCATGCAATCATACAAGAAAAAAAAATTACGTTTAAAATTGTTTTAGCTAAAAAAGCTGGGCATAAAAGTTGATTTAATATGATTTAACGTAGGCGTATGCCAACTTTAATAGCGTTAATTTTCATGCAGGATGGCAGACGAACTAGATTCAACTAGTCTAGCAATAATGGGTTAGCGTGTCAGCGGGCCATATATATTTAGATAGCTCATTCAACACCTCAGCTTCGCAAAAATATTATCGCACGAGTCTAATTTTTTATCAATGGGGAAGACGTTCGAGGTCCCACATTTTGCGCGTGGTTATCTTGATAAAAAGTTTAAAAGATGGATTATTTGACATGCTGCATGATTTAGTATATCTCGAGGGTTCAGTGTCATGTCTGAATGTTCTCTAAAAAATCTATACACAGACGCATGCCAGATTGCCAAAGGGCTTCACCCATCCGTTGTCGCGTGCGCTTCCGTGGGATTATTGAAGAATTACCTAATATGGCTTTCAACAACAACGTTCATTAAGTGGGCCGTTTAAGGTGCGAAGTGCATACTTTTTGGGAATTTAAGACCACGATTAACAGAGTCGAATATGAATATGGTCTGGGGATTTCACTGTTTATACAATTATACTAGGTGCACTCTGCATCTAATATGCATAGTTTTTAGCTTGCAACGAAGTTCATCATAATTTTGAACCAAACTTTTGCCTGAGACACAGGACACATGCATTTATTCCCAAAAGAATAGCTATTAATGCGAAGATTCAAGAAATGAGAAAAAAATATGCAATGTGTATATAATCAATCATTGACTGATTGTTTGGCTGTTTTCTAGAGAAGCTATAAGTGTTCGTCTAGAAAGATTTTAAAAGTTGTCAAAGATTAACTTAGTGCATGTAATCTTACTCTACTAAATCACACATTCATCACTCTGCGGTATGGGTTTTTTGTCGTTTATTTGTTTAGAATTGTTCAGTAGTCATTGCGTGTTTAACTCGCAATATTTTTACGAACCTACATCTTCACTGTTTTGAAGGAACTAGCTCTTGCTATCGTTAAACAACATTGGAGACAAACAGATAAATATCAGGAGTGCACCAAAATTCCTAAGGAAGATATAATCCGGGAAATTTTTATGCGATCTACTATTTTTTTTTTCGTGAGGTTGAATAAGCAAAAGTCTGCCTTCAGTTATGTCCGCTAGCGAGAAACTAGGAGATACGCCATAGTCTGTAGAAAGAAGAAGATCATGCATTTATTACTAAGCTTGTTCCAAAAACTGAAATCCAAGGAGCAGAGATTTCTAACAATTTCACATCGATTGTGGTAGCTATAACAGCGGCTAGACAAACCATTCTTGAAGTTTCGGACTAACTGGCCTTCGTCAGAAGAGCTAGTTAATTGCATGGCCCTTAAGTCGAAACGTCGAGAAGCGTTTTTATCAATTTTATCACACCCTAAGCAGTTTAGGATTTATCACGCATGCAGCCAAATATACCTCTTTGCGAAACAGAAAATATAACTGAATGAAAATTGATAACTTTAGCACGATCTTAATGATCACACCTTTAAATGAGCCGTTTCACCGCTTTTATATTCAATTTTGTTTTTACAAATTGACGATTTTAGTCACTTTCGTTTGTTTAAATCTATCAAGAAGTAACGATAGAAAGATGATACGAGATAATGTAAGATAACGAATTGACGTGTTTTTTTTTCAAATTGAATATAATAATCTTGGAAACCTTAATATTATTAGAAAATGGCTTTTTATAATAAAACACACAGGGATTTCGTGATATTGGTGTTCCAACCAATTCATTTGACTTTCTATGAAATCAAAATGCTACAGAATTCTTTTTGCGAACGAGATTCCATATTAAAACTCCTATGGTAAACAGTGACGTGGCACGATAATTGTAGGTTTACAGTAGAAATCCGTCGGGCAGAACTGAATATACATATGATTAAACACCCCAATTATCGTTCTACCTGCGCCCTTGATAGTAACGGTATTCACAGAAGAATTAGGTGCCATTATGAATTAATCCCAATGTACTGACAGCCAAATTAGTTAATCCAATGCTGGTAAAACCTGATTAAATTTTCTCGTGTTTTTTTCTTGGTTTTCAAAGCATTAGCCGAAGAATATGCTCTTAAAAGTTTCATTCTCATTTGTAACGATACAACAGCTATAAACATTATTGGATTGCAAACAACATTTTTAGCTTTCTCGCCATCCCTATGTGCATGCGTCTTTAATTTAAGATCAACACACAAAGGAAATTTTCCCAACCATTATTTTTCCCATCCCTATTACAATGAAGAAAGAGATTATGCTGTCAGCTAGATTCATAAAAATCCTTATATCAAATACCCTAATCGCTAGTTCTGTATAGAATAGAATATTATATAGATATTTCTAAATCTTCACTTGATATATCGGCTGGTGGCCAGTTGTATAAAAGACTAGTTAACTTTTAACTGTAGTTAAAGACATAATTCGCCAATCGGTATTGGTTTTTTCTTTTTTGTCGTTTATTTGTTTAAAATTGTTCTAGTAGCCATTGCGTGTTTAACTCGCAATATTTTTGCGAACCTACATCGCAACTGTTTTGAAGGAACTAGCTCTTGCTATCTTTAAACGACATTGGAGACAAACAGATAAACATCAGAAGTGCATGCACCGAAATTCCTAAGGAAGATATAATCCGGGAAATTTTTATGCGACCTACTATTTTTTTCGTGAGGTTAAATAAGCAAGAGTCTGCCTTCCGTCATGTCCGCTAGCGAGAAACTAGGAGATACGCCATATTCTGTAGAAAGAAGAAGGTCATGCATTTATTACTAAGCTTGTTCCAAAAACTGAAATCCAAGGAGCAGAGATTTCTAACAATTTCACAGCGATTGTGGTAGCTATAACAGCGGCTAAAAAATAGACAAACCATTCTTGAAGTTTCGGACTAACTGGCCTTCGTCAGAAAAGTTAGTTAATTGCATGGCCCTTAAGTCGAAACGTCGAGAAGCGTTTTTATCAATTTTATCACACCCTAAGCAGTTTAGGATTTATCACGCATGCAGCCAAACATACCTCTTTGCGAAACAAAAAATATAACTGAATGAAAATTGATAACTTTAACACGATCTTAATGATCACACCTTTAAATGAGCCGTTTCACCGCTTTTATATTCAATTTTGTTTTTACAAATTGACGATTTTAGTCACTTTCGTTTGTTTAAATCTATCAAAAAATAGAAAGATGATACGAGATACTGTAAGATAACGAATTGACGTTTTTTTTTCAAATTGAATATAATCATCTTGGAAACTTAATATTATTAGAAAATGGCTTTTTATGATAAAACACGCAGGGATTTGGTGATATTGGTGTTCCAACCAATTCATTTGACTTTTTATGAAATCAAAACACTACAGGATTCTTTTCGCGAACGAGAATTCATATCCAAACTCCTATGGTAAACAGTGACGTGGCTAGAACGATAATTGTAGGTTTACAGTAGAAATCCGTCGGGCAGAACTGAATATACATATGATTAAACACCCCAATTATCGTTCTACCTGCATGCGCCTCTGATAGTAAAGGCATTCACAGAAGAATTAGGTGCCATTATGAATTAATCCCAATGTACTGACAGCCAAATTAGTTAATCCAATGCTGGTAAAACCTGATTAAATTTTCTCGTGTTTTTTTTTTGGTTTTATCGCGCAGTCAGCAATAAGCGATTTCGATACAGAAAATATATAAGGACAAGTTTTCATCCGAACTCTTACACATCTGTTAAAATGGCGGTGAAGATAAACGATTTTTGATGACTACTGAGTGAAAACGTCCAGCAGGAATTCTATATTCACACCCGACAGCGGAAGAAATTAGTAAGAGAGAGTCTATAAACAATGGTAAGAGGGAATTTACGAGCCAGCTTTCCAGCTGAACAAAACGCCTACGAATACAGTTTGTTAAAGATCAAGATTAGCGCATATTTTTAGTGTTGTTAAGAAAAGTGTTATAACGATCTGCAAAACATACGATAAACTTTTTGCCGTGGAAACCTCACACTGGTTCACAAACGAAAAGATTTTTGAAGACAGAAAGAAGATTTTTGTAATAAAGCTGTGAAGGAGATCAGATCGTGTCAGTTGAATGAGTAAGGATAGAAAAATGATACGATAAACTATGAGATACTGTAAGGCAACGAATACGTTTTTTTTCAGATTGAATATGATAATCTTGGAAACTTAATATTATTAGAAAATGGATTTTTATAATAAAACACACAGGGATGATTTGGTGATGTTGGTGTTCCAACCAATTCAATTGACTTTTTATGAAATCAAAACACTACAGGATTCTTTTCGCGAACGAGAATCCATATCCAAACTCCTATGGTAAACAGTGACGTGGCTAGAACGATAATTGTAGGTTTACAGTAAGAATCCGTCGGGCAGAACTGAATATACATTATGTATATTCAGTTCTGCCCGACGGATTCTTAATACATATGATTAAAAACCCCAATTATCGTTCTATCTGTGCCCCTGATAGTAAAGGCATTCACAGAAGAATTAGGTGCAATTGTGAATTAATCCCAATTTACTGACAGCCAAATTAGTTAATCCAATGCTGGTAAAACCTGATTAAATTTTCTCGTGTTTTTTTCTTGGTCTTAAAAGTGTTAGCCTTACTGAATATGCTCTTAAAAGTTTTATTTTGATTTGTTACGACACAACAGCTATAAACATTATTGGATATCGGACAACATTTTTAGCTTTCTGGCCATCTCTATTTGCATGTGTCATTTCGCGATTAATTTAAGATCAACAGACAAAAGAAATTTTCCCATCCCATTCGATCCTGCGTGGGCAGTTGAACATCATCAAAGAATCTTCCTGGTTGGAAGACAAAAAACGATTATCATATTTTAATGAAGAAAGAGATTATGCCGTCAGATTCATGGAAATCCCTATATCAAACACCCTAATCGCTAGTTCTGTATAGAAGAGAATATTATATAGATATTTCTAAATCTTCACTTGATATATCGGCCGGGAGCCAGTTGTATAAAAGAGTAGTTAACTTTTGACTGTAGTTAAAGTCATAATTCGCCAATCAGAGTTGTGTATTTCTGAGTTAACTAGGATTTAACGATGCGAAATGTAGTTAAGAGTTTTATACAACTGGCCCAGGGTGTTTGTTTTCCACATGTCCCTAATTTGCCCGATTGGCATTATTCGAGCATTTTTTGCTGCAGTTTCCATTTCGTTGCAATTGTTGTGAATATGTCAAGGTGGTTTATGTAATAGAATTTTGCTACGTGCGCGCAGTCAGCAATAAGCGATTTCGATACAGAAAATATATAAGGATAAGTTTTCATCCGAACTCTTACATATCTGTTAAAATGGCGGTGAAGATAAACGATTTTTGATGACTGCTCAGTGAAAATTTCCTGCAGGAGTTCTATATTCAAATTTCCTGATCACATTTACTAGACAGCGGAAGGAATTAGTAGAGTCTATAAACAATGGCAAGAGCCAGCTTTCGAGCTGAACAAAACGCCTACGAGTACAGTTTGTTTAAGATCAAGATAAACGCATATCTTTAGTGTTAAGAAAGGTGTTATAACGATCTTCAAAACATACGGTCCAAACTTCTTGCCGTGGAGACCTTGCACAGGTCACAAGCGAAAAGATTTTTGAAGAAAAAAAAGAGGATTTTTGTAATAAAGCTGTGAAGGAGATCAGATCGTGTCAGTTTACATAAGCACTTAAATAATAATAATAATAACATTAGAGTTCTCGGAGCGTTTTTTTCACCCCTTATTCTGCAGTGCGTGGACTGACGATTGACAATGCTACTTAGAAAGTTCCATAACGTTTTGTCGTCTGAATTTGTGCAGAAAAAAATGAACACGGAAATTTTTGGGGTTACTATCTTTTGATTGTCAACTAGTTTCACTTGGCCACTAGGGTCAATTTATGTATTAAGCTTTTTTATGAGTGTCAGTGACAAGCGCATTGAAAGTTTAATTCAGATAAACACTAGCGATGTTAAAAATAGGAAAATCAACATCAATTAGACATTTCAATAACAATAAATTACAGCACTGAATTTTTGAATTGAATAAAAAGCGGCCGCACATTGATTCAATCCCAGAAATAGGGAATTTTTGAAAACAAGACAAAGAAACACTGTTGTGTATTTCTTTCATTTAGGGATGCTGAGAACAGCTTTGTTTTGCTTCACAATCAGCGCACTTTCCACAGCGCGGGCCAGGCCTTCGACAGAACGTCCGACGAACGGCGCACACTTATGTGAATACGACTCTAGGTTCTATGTTTCCGGAGAGATTTTCAATAAAAAATCAGCTGGAGAGGGCAAATGTTCCGGCATGCGTTGCGACAACGGTGTTGTAACGGCTTGGGATGCAGTTTGCTCGACCGTGGCGCCCACAATGCACCGGACTATTAGACGTAAAACCACCAAACGACACCGAACAACCATTCCACAAACGACCACACCATTTATCACCACATTACCAATTGCAACAACCCCCGTGGGATGCAATGTCGATGGTAAATTCTATTATCCTGGGGAAGAAATTGAGTCGGGAGCGGACAGGAGGTCTGGGTGGTGTTACGGTTCATTCTGCGATGAGGAGGGAAACGTCGTCGCATGGGACAATTTTAACTGTTTTCCAACAACGACCCCTGAAGCTACTACAACCCCAAGCCCTCCCACCTCATTTACTCCTGAAAGAACTACTGCTGAACCAACCTTTTCTGAACGGACTAGCACTGAACTAAAGTTCAGCCCTTCCTCAACAAGAAATCCCCCACCATCAAACATTCCACCTCACACTGGTTCACCGTATTCGACTGACCCACTTGGCTGCAAACACAACGGTAAATTTTATGGCCCAGGAGACGAAATTAGTAGAGAGTCAGATGGCCACGGGTCGTGTTTTGGTCTTTTCTGTGACCACAAAGGAAATATAATTCCTTGGGATAATTTCGACTGTGCAGCCTCTACCCTTCCACCAACTACCCCACCGTCCACCACTACCCCGCCTCGCCTAGGTTGCCTGTACAAAGGGAAATTATACGCCCCATTCGAGATTATCAGAAAAGGTTCAAAAGGTAATTGGTGTGGTGCATTGATTTGTGATAAAAACAGTCAGGTAACTACTTGGGATGACGGGAGTTGTGGATCCACCACAACTAAACTACCCACAGTTGGCACACATCCCCCTACTGCAGCAACCGAACCTCCTTCAAATCCGTCTACCAACAGAAGACGCACTGTAGTTCAGACTTACCCACCAAAGGCTACCACACGCCTGATCACCATTCCACCTTCCACAATTCCACCATACATCACATTTCCCCATCTAGGCTGCGAGTACGAGGGGAGATTTTATGCCCCAGGTGATGACATTAGCAAAGGATCGGATGGCGAAGGGTGGTGTTATGGTTTATACTGTGACGACGAAGGAAATGTAATTCCATGGGATGATTGGAATTGTGGGACCACCACCCCTCCACAAACTACCCTACCATACACTACTCCACCTCCACGCCCGGGTTGCCACTACGAAGGAAAATTTTATCTTCCAGGGAAGGAGATCAGTAGAGGTTCAGATGGGGAAGGGTGGTGTTTTGGAGAGGTTTGTGATGAATCTGGTCAAGTGACCACTTGGGATGACTGGAGTTGTGGAACCACCACCCCCACAATTATAACCACAGCACCAACTAAAGCCCCTACAACATCGACGACAAATCCTCCCACACAAACAACTCATAAAACCTCATCAACAGAACAGAATACGCAATTCACAACATCTTCGACGGTGAACACTCTACCTACAACTAGCCCTAAAGAACCAACCTCTAGAAGCACCACACCTCTTCACACCACTCCAACATCAATTGGCTGGTGCTACTTTAATGGTCAATATTTCGTAAGGGGAGAAGTTATTTCGCGTGTTTATCATACCAGGAAATGGTGTTCGGGTTGGTATTGTAATGATGGTAAAATTGACCCCTGGAACGACTTCAATTGTGAAAATCCAAATGCGCCACAAGTGTCCACCACTAGCGCCCCCCAGTGTTATTTTAATGGAGTGTATTACAATGAGGGCGAGGTGGTCCCTGGTGGTGAGGGTAGTGGCGCTTGCGAAGGCTCCTATTGCAGTGGTGGGCAATTGATTCCCTTTGAAGGTGTAGACTGTGGTAGTAGTGCACAAACCAACTCATCAACCCAAGAGTTCAATGTTTCATCCACGAACACTGATTCGCTTGAAAAACAGTCTAGGGTACACACTACAAAAACCACTGAGGCACCCACAGTACCGTTTACTACAACCTCTACTGCAAGCCTTGTCGCCGCCCCCAGTCGTCAAGCTGAAGATTCGAACACAACAGCCGCACCTAAGCTGTGCTTCCACGAAGGAAAATATTATGAAGAAGGTGATATAATTTCCAGAGATTTTGACGCTGATGATTGGTGTTCAGGTTGGTACTGCAAAGAAGGTAGATTGATATCTCTGGACTGTGACGTTACAAGTTCTGTAGTTGAAGAAGATAGTCCCAAGCCAATCCCACCGAAAACGCTTAGTTCCGAACCATCTCGATGTTTTCACGAAGGTAGATATTATGAAGAAGGTGATTTGGCTACCATTGGGAATGATTGGTGTTCCGGGTTATTATGCCAGAGTGGTACAATGATTCAATTTGATGAATGTCTGATAAAGAATTTAACCCCTAGTGAAGGAATTAGCCCACCTACTTTAGAGTCAAACGTTTCTACTCCAACAACCGACGCAATGGAAAAACAGACACAATTATCTGCCACAGAAAAAACCACTAAAGCACCTGTGTCCACTCTTACACAAACCCGCACACCTAGAGGTACCACCTTACCAAGAAGTACTGCCTTACCCACCCCAGAAACGACAAAAAGAAGCGATACAACACCAGCACATACCACCGAGACCCTCACGGTCACACAAGGTAAAGATACCACTAAACCGCCAGAAATATCTCTTACCCAACCTTCCACCGCAAGCCCAATAACTAGTCCCACTCCTCAAACAGAAGCCACATCATCATCACCGGAGCCAAAACTGTGCTTCCACGAAGGAAAGTATTATGAAGAAGGTGACATAATTTCCCGAGATTTTGACGGTAACGATTGGTGCTCAGGTTGGTACTGCAAGGGAGGTCGATTGATATCTTTGGATTGCGGTGGTATTACGGGTCCTAAAACCGAAGCGGCATCTAGCTTGGAGCTGACTCCGCCGATTGGTCCTGAACCTTCCCGGTGTTTTCACGAAGGTAGATATTATGAAGAGGGAGATTTGGCTACAATTGGAAACGACTGGTGTTCTGGGTTGTTATGCAAGGATGGTGTAATGATTCAATGGGATGATTGCCCGATAAAGAAGTTGACCCCTAGTACAGAAGTTAACCAACCTACCCAAGAGTCAATTGTTTCTGTCACAATCACTGACTCAATGGAAAAACAAACCAAATTATCTACTACAGAAACCACTAAATCTACAGAACTCCCAAAAACAACTAAACCCACAGAGGAAAGGACCACAACAACGCTCCCTGATCCCACAACGACCCCTAAAGCCCCCACGAAACCACAAAAAACCACGGCTGGACAACCCATACGAACAACTAAACCTGAGAAACAGAAATGTTATTACAAGGGTAAACTTTACTCCCCAGGAGAAGTAACTCGAGGGGCTTTGAGAGACGGTCGGTGTTACGGGGTGATTTGTGACATCTCGGGGATAATTGTTCAATGGGTGACTCATACGTGTGCACCGACTGAGGCACCGACGGCCGAGATAACAGCTTCATTACCCGGGTGTGTTCATCGCGATAAGTACTATCCCCCGGGGAGAATAAGCCGTATATCGGATGGCAGTAAGTGGTGTATGGATGTCATGTGCACAGAGGAAGGTAAAATCGTCTCGCGCAGTGTTAACTGTGACCAATCAACTACTACGTTTACGACACCTTCGCCTACGAAAACCTCAGCTTCTGATCCTAATGAAGTTAAATGTCTTTACAATGGTATGTTTTATGTTTTTGTTTTTCATTCTTTCATTTATCTCGTATTTTATTCAAAGCGTCTTTTATTTAATGATTTGCTGCGAAATCCGGGCTAGCCCTCTATTCTCGCATTTTTTATACGTGCAAAACCAATAAAATATTCAAATTTGTATTTAAACGAGCGATTAAAAAATTGATGCAAATATTTGCTTTAACCCAGGGCTTTTGAACAACCGGCCCGAGCTTAATAAATCTGGAGCGCCGTACCTGGATAGCCAGTAAAGTTAATCGTGCTTTTGATATATATGTACAATTTTCAGTTTTGCGAACAGGATAGTTTACAGATCATTAATTACTTCCTTATAGGGTCATTAATTTTGTAAAAAGCCAGTTAACGTGTAACACTAGCCAATGGCAGAATTGCCCAGTCAGAATGATTTATTTTGACTTTAGAAAGAATTTGGCTGCGCAAGATGTAAATGCAAAATGCAAAATGTTTTACCCTTGTGTTTGATATATTTTAGGTGCGTTCCATTTCCCCGGCGTCATCGAAGAGGGGATCGACAAAAACCAATGGTGTTACAAAGTTGTTTGCCAAGACAACGGTCAGTTGTATTTGTGGGGCGATTGGAACTGCAAGTTTACATTTCGTTCTACCACCACATCCCCCCCTGACACGACCACCCCAGGGCCTGCAGTATGCACTTACAACGGAAAACCTTACCCGGTGGGGGAAATTACCCGTGGAGAAAACAAGTCAGGATGGTGTTTTGGCGTGACGTGTAGACCTGATGGACAAGTCGTATTGTGGGGCAGCTTTAAATGTGGGAAGATCTGACGATTAAATCTGACATTGAGCAAGTAGACAAAGATTTGATTTCAAACTATATGCGACAGATATTAATATCTAATTTATTGATGTGTGTATAAAATGCTGATGCAATATGCAATAACGAGCTTTGCAGAAAAGTATATATTAAGTTTATCTAGTTAAGGCCTAATATAAACTCGAATATTCAAGCGTTATTCGATAGCTCATCTCTCCGACATTTTGATAAAAATAAACAAGTCGGGGTGAAAAACATGGCTGCATGTATTTGCAGCCATCCTGAAAAAAGTTTCAGAATAAACTAAACCTTTGTATAGTCTAAAAGTCAAACATTAAAACGGTCAAGTTGAACGACATATCGTTTGGAACTTATAACATGAATTGACAACTTACTCAACCTTTGTCGATCGATTCCGCTCTCATCATATTTTCTTTTTGCCATCAATATCTTAAAAAAGTGAATAGTTATCATTTAGGGTCTGAACCATGCGAGTGAATCAACCCGTATTGCGCATCCCAGGTGTCAAACCAGTCAAACAGTCAAACTCAAGACGCACTCGCCGCCATCTTGCTTTTCTGGATTCAATGTTCTGATTGGCGAGATTTTCACTGACCTATATATAGTCCAGTGAAAGTATGTAAAAAATCCTAACAAAAACACAAATAGCAGCCGATTCAGTCAATTTCCTAGTTGAATGCGAAATAAACAATTACAATTACAAACACGGAAAACCATTAAGTAGTTGTTTTATGAAATTACATGCAACAAAAAGGCAGTGTTCCAAGTTTTATTTTAACAAGCGAATCAAATTTCCGTGTTTGGATGGCTTTATCCAAACACGGGCTTTAAGCAATCAGAACAATATTAACATACACGTTATTTTATAATACACGTTCACTGATATTGACGGACTGAAACTTTTCCACTGAAGCTTCTTTACATTAAGTTCCAAAAGACTTACCGCAGTCCTCGACATACGTTTCGTTGGCAGGCTCAACCTTTGCTCTTCTCATCTTCTGATGTACCCAAGTTTCGACGATAATCTTCTTCGTGTGGAAAAAGTCACGTGCCATGTTCCACAATTTGTGATCGTTTCGCTTAAATGCGTACATTGTCATAACATAAGCCGTTATGAACGCCGTGCACGTCTGGAAAAGAAGGTTGCAAAAAATGGAATTGGCACGAGCCAACCCGTAAATACTTGTACCAGGGGCCGCGGAATATCGTTAGGGGGGGGGGGGAGGAGGCAAATATTCATATGTTCACGTTCGACATTATTAGTTTCTTTTGAAATTGATTGCTTTTATACGGTTCGCTAACACGAATATATGAATATAGCCACTAGGCGAATTTATTCGCGTGTATAGATAAAAAGTGGGAAGCAATTCTACTTTTTTGCGTCGAATTTTTTCCTAAGCCAATCACATCACCGGATTTCAGATATCGCTTTGCGTCGCGCGAATAAATTCGCCCAGTGGGAAACGGGTGTCTTTTCACTTTTCTTAAATATGTATTTACGATGGTTTACAGGCGAAATTTTTCCTACAACCATACCTTACGTTAGTGCTAAATTTAGAGCTAACTTTTTCCAAATTTCTCCTGGGGCCAGTTGAAAAAGACTAGTTAACTTTTAACTGTAGTTAAGGACAGAATTGGCCAATCAGAGTCGTGCATTTCGGAGTTAATTAGGATTTAACTATGCAAAATGTAGTTAAAGCGTTTCATACAACCTGCCCCTGCTGCGAATTTCTAATTGATTTCTAATACAAAAGCCAGAGAAGCATGCCGGAATTCCGGAAGAAGGGCCGATACATTAACACCAGTCTAAGACTGAAACTTCACAATAAACCCACCGCTACAATAACCGTAGCTGGATACAGAGAGCCAAGAGGTAGTCCGTGAATTCGTATAATAAATTGACCGGTTAAGTCACAACTCAAACTGTGATCGTCGGTGTCTCTAGCAACGAAGAATAACAAAGAATATCTTTATTAAACAACGCACGAAAGATCTGAAACATCAAAGTTTAAGAACATCTTGGGTGGCCGCACCACATTTGATGCAGTGGCGTTCGGTAGAGGTTATTTCGGGGGGGGGGGGTGCATATTCATATATTCATGTTAACAGACCTGTAAAGACAATGGATTTGAAAAGAAATTAATCTTTCACAACATGAATATATGAATATGTGCCCCCTCCCCCAATTATCGTCTCCCGTACGCCACTGATTTTATGCTTACCTGTTCGAAAACTCAAGCTTGAAGTAAAATTCTGGCGAATGTGGAAACACTGGGGATATTTCTGAACACGGACTCTTCCTACCACATAACCATCTGAGGAAACGAATGCATGGTTTTAAATCGTCACGTATTTATATTCAATTAGCTGAAGCACCTAAGGTGTAAATGTCGACTCACTGAAGTCCATTATTAGAAATGTTAAAAGAAGGAATTGAGCCCAGGTTCTTGTCGCTTGGAGTCCATATTAGAGTTGAAGTAGACCTACAACGAAAACGATTAATCTTTTACTTTGGGCTAAGTTGTTCAAAGCCAAGTTTTTACAATTCTACTTAGGTGATCTCATGAATTTCACAACTGTCTTTAGAAATTCATTGTTTTCACAGTCAATGAACACTAAAATATTAACATAGCGGGACAAATCGTCAGGCTGCATGGCTACGCTACTGCAAATACGCCAACGCTTACCCATGTGTTTGAAAATTAAACAAAGCAATATCATTCGCACTGTAGTCTTCAATAGAGTAGATATCTTTTCCTCCACCAATGATCGTCAGGTGATATCTCCCAGTGAACCTTGACATATTGCCTGTCGACTCGTCCACGATATTAAACACTGGATGGAACGCTGAAATGGTGACAGAGAACAAATTCGTTCAGTTCAACAAAGCCTACATTCCATTGTATCTGAATGGAATAAATGTTCTCAGCGCTTGCTTTCGCTTTATACGTCAATTGTGCAACAAAGAGTGGAAACACCATGTTCCATCAGGTCTTACTGTGTTCAAATAAGAAGCAAGCGATTCCGTATTTCTTGTCGCAAAATTGGTTTTTCCCAGAAGCATTTATGGAAGCGTCAGAATCGAACTGAATCTTCATGCTTGGTGGACAACCAAGAAGTACTGTCATTGATTGAGTACCCTAACAAGTTTACACATGTGTCTTATTATACACTGAACGGGTACACAAAAAGCAGAAAATATATTTCGTAAAGGTCTGATAAAATAATAGCCAGATTTCCTACCCGTAAAACGCCTTTTTCTGTCTTCCCGACAAAACAAGTTTCGTCAGCTTGCCATGGCTGTTAAAAATGTTTAAGTTACCTTTAAATCGTCAGTTTTTTAATCACTCAGGATCTATAAATTGTCGCCAAGTCCGGAGAAAGTTTACCTGGACTTGGATCTGTACTGGACGAAGATCAATGCCCGGTGCTGTTTTCTTCTTTGAAAGACCACTGTCTTTTAAAGTAAACTATAGAGTGCATAGAAACATTCAAAATTACTTCCACGGTTCAACATAACTTTAAAAATTAACCCATCATAGCTACAATCAGTTATGATTTTTGGCACTTCACTCGATGTAGGTAAATTCTAATGGTTCTGAGAGTCTTAATTTCGAGTGGAATTATACACACTTCAAATTCAAGCCAGGAACGGTTGTTCGGAAAATGAATCAACTATAGGTCCTCCGGCAGGAATCGAACCTACGCTTTTGCAATGCCGGTGCAGTGCTCTTGCCTCAGTGGCTTTGGTCATTGTAACGAATGCTATTGAATTAACGAATTGCTAGCATGACTGCTAGCAATTATGGCGTCGCCCCAGCATAATCAAGTGACGGGGGGGGGGGCGTATAGCGAGACATACAAATTTACATATGCATGTTCAATGACCGTAAAAACAATCTCAATCAATTTGAAAAAAAATGAATAAGAATGCCTCTAACGAATATACGAATATGCGCCCCCCCCCCGTGCATCTATCGAGTTGTACAATTTTGAGTATTGTGTACTTACTTTGTATTGGACCGTTCCTTTGTGAGTCTGGACACTCCTTACAACAGAAATATTGAGTGATTCCAAGTCAGAGATTTTATATGACAGCTTCAGTTTGTCCAAAACCGACCAATACACACTTCCATCTAAATAAACGTTACATATATATAAGTATATACTTATCTATTATAATTATATATAGTATTAAACAGGAGATTTTTATGCCTTGGTCTCCTTATCCCGTTTTGAATTTGTATACGTATTTGTTATGTGCATAGTCGTTTTAACGACTTTTACGCAAAAAAAACCATGTTCCCGGTTCGCAAGTGATGCTTCGAATCACTATCTCGCGCCCATTTTGCGTAACTTCGCTCAATCAACACGTTCATAACTCCGAAAGATCTCCGAAAGTGGAAACATAAGGGAAAACGAATCAATCAAAACAGACGTGGGGGTCGTATAGTTGGACGTATAGATCGCGTAGTTAAGCAACATAGGATTGAATAATTTATCAATAAGCGGGTGGGGGCTGGGAAGAAATTATGCTCCATTCAAATTGAGAATATATAGAAGAATATAAATGCTATTTCTTCTTCTATACACACGACCAGCGGGCATAAAGGCCGGCCTCCACTTGCACGTACGAACGCGAAATCGCACGTACGGCTTGTGCGCTGACGGTCACATTAGGAGTAGACAATAGTTCTACTGTCATACGTACACAAAACATTAGCCCCGACGGCATTAGCGACCAGTTTTGAGTCACTGAGCATGCGCCAAATCAGCGGCACCGACAGTACACGCAAGTGGATGCCGGCTTTAAGCTACGTGTGCAGTATATTGATAATAGAGACCTTAAGTGTTTGTGTTTTAACTCCACTATCTTTAAGTGTGCGGTAATTTCGCTAAATTACAAACGTTCTACATAAAACTTGTGATGTTCAGCAGTAATTAATCTAAGAAAGCAATAGGCTATTTCTGATGTAGCTAGAAAGGCAGCAAATTCAGCTTTGCCTTATGTGTCTCAAATTCGCCGTAAAAAACTTAATGCTTGAACGACTGCATACACCCTCAGCCGTCCAAACTTTGTTAGCGGTTTGGCGTTTGCCGTAAACGTCAAACTGAAGGTCTCGAATATTACGTCAGTCTTGCAGTTATTGTATACACATTTTGCAAAATGTCTGTGAATCATGTCTATGAATTATTTACAGTCGATCTATTTCAACCGACATATTTAGTCTGCGTTGGTAAGTTAGGCCTAAATCATACGTCAATTTTGGTCGCTACTAATGCAATTGACCCAATAGATAATAAATACACCTCATTAAGCTTCATTATCATCGCATTATCTATTGTTTAAATTGCATTCGACGCCACGAAAATGCGACGCACAACCTAGGCCTTAGAGTGTTTATAACTTGTGTCCAGTTTTAAACGTCGTGCATTTTGCCCCAAAGTAAACATCAAAAACAAAGATGATGAGCTGAAAAATTTTATTTATTTATATCTCTGCGACCTGCCGGCAATTCCTAAGAAAAATAATTAGTTATCGAAAAACTAAATAAGATTTTGTGGAGTTCGATCTAGAGGTATCTACAACACCCGCGATTAGGGATCCATCGCGCTCCAACCAATATTGAAATTCAGCTAAATAAAATATGCGGTCATTATGCAATGAAATTTTAAACAGCTTAAACTTAGATATCTGCTCAATGCTCACTGTTTTCACCTGCTCAGAACCTGCGCTAGACAGAGAGAAAATACATTCGACGTTTTGAAATGAAAATGTTCATACGCTTAGAAGTTTTCGTTAGTATTCTATATATGTTTGGCAGGGTGGCAAGTCATGAGAATGAGGTGGTATTTCACAGCAGACGAGGGCGGTTTGGGGGGAGTCATGTCATAAAAATATCCAAGACAAGAAGCGAATTTGATTGCGGTTATGCGTGCGCCGATGAGCCTGAATGCGTGTCAGTTAACTTCAAAGTGAAAGGAGAGAACGAAGGTTTATGTGAACTTAATTCTCGAAGCCTCAAAGAATCACCCGAAGAAGTGCAAAGCGATGAAGAATATGTGTATCTTGAAGTTTTAACGCGGGTAAGAAACGATTCACATTTTCCATAGAAGATTAATAGGTTCTGGATCTCTTTTCCTATACCATTCATCTTCAAAGTGTCATATATGCGCATGAAAAATGTCAAACTTAGCACTAGCCTTCAAGCGAGGCAGTTAGTGCAAGCAGTTCGACTTAAGGGCCCTGAACACTTTGGCGAGGCCTTCAAAGCACATAGAGAAATTTTTTAAACATTCTTAAGCCCCGTGGGTCAAATCTTGTGCATATCTCCAATTGAGGATATAACTTTAGTCACTGTAAATTGCAATGAACCATTTCAAATATACATGATATAGGAAGAAACCTTTCTAAAATTGGCTATAATTAAATGGCAGTTTTAATGGATTAGCAAGTTGTTCTTTCGTGAGCTTTTCAAATATATTCATTTGGCATAATTCATATGGTCTTTGTTACTTTACTTTTATTAAGAGTTGCGATGAGAATGAGGAATTTTCAGAAGGTGAGCATTTGGGCTGCTTTGTAGCTATGCGAGGTCGAAGTTTTTTACAAACGACGACGATATAATCAACATGCATTAATTAACACTTATTCACTGCGAACGAAGGAAACATTATGTTTTGTGGACCCGAGACCTGTCGATACTTCACGAAGCGAAGCCGAGTGAAATATCGATGGTCGAGGGTCCTCAAAACATAATGTTTTCTGAGTTTTCAATAAATAAGTTTTTTATTATATACCACTTGTCAAAGAAAAACCAAACTACATGGTAAGCAACGAAATATCTATTCATAAAAGACATCATTTCAAATGGATAAAAGTTGTTATTTCCCATGAGATAACACGTTATTTCACTCTGCAGGGGGTCGCGCTGGCGACATCAAAATCTCGCCACTCTCGCGTGATTCGCTCTCGACCAATGAAACGCTACGAAAACAAAACTTTGACAAGTGGTATATAATAATAATATTTAACTATTTGTCAAAGCCATTAACGACCTAGAATGAAAACTACGTCTAAATGCTCAACGGCGGAGTGAATTGCCTAGCACCTGCATGCTTAAATTAGGCGTTCCACAGTCAGACGAGCCTAAATATCACTACAGGGAGTGTGACAGTTGTAGTAACAGGTGGCGTAGACTCAATTTGCCCTAGCTCGCAGAAGAGAATAATATTATTGTGAACCGTTGTAAATATTTGACCTACTGTAATTCCACCCCTTTAATGCTATCCTGCCTGGTGTATGTTTCCTCAAAAATATTCCTATCACCTTATTTAGAAACAAAAAAATGCAAAAAGATCCAGTTCAAATCATGCAAAGATGTCTTGAGTAAACACGAGTACGTATGTGAAAATGAAACTTCCGCCTCGGCATTTTTGTGTAATTATACATTTATTAAATAGAAAATCCGCCGACGGAATTTATCGTCTCAAGTCCAATACGTCAGGGGAATTTTATGACGTGTTCTGTCACATGACCGATATTGAAGCATGTGGTAAAGGAGGCTGGACACTAGTCATGAAGTTGGACGGGAATAAGGTTAGATTTCATTTATTTGGAAGAAAATCATTGAAGTAAAGTCACTTGACTTTAAGGAATTTTGAAATTATAAAATAACAATATTTTGCATGTACAGCAACACAATGGACTGCAGAACCAATCACAGTTATCAAACTTTGTGTAACAACAAACTGGTATCTTTGTCTTAAAATAGAATACATTTATCTATGGTTCTTCTCTGTGGACAAACAACGAGACACATGCGATACAAGATGGTCTGGAAGGACTGACAGAGAAAGAAAGCAAGTTGGCTTCGTACTGGAATACTCCGTTCACAAAGATTTGCCTGGGTATGTCGTATAACGGAGACAAAAGGTGGATGACCTTCAAATATACCGCAAGTTCGTTGTACAGTGTGTTAGCTGACGGACAATTTAGAGCAACGACCGCTAGCCGAACAGCATGGAAATCTCTCATCGCAGGCTCATCATTGCAGAGAAACTGCAATAAAGAGGGTTTTAATGTACTCCGTGTATATGACTATAAACTCCGTATTGGTATCGTTGCTAATGAACAAAATGATTGTAACTCGTGCGATTCATGGCTTGGATTTGGAACAACGGTCAATGGGAAGACTTGTGGCAATTTCGCCGTCCACTCACCGGACAACGGTGACAAAGATTTAGTGACATTTGCATATATTCTCGTTCAATAGTTACCTAAAATACTTTGCGTATTTCTTGAGTCTCGTCTCAATTCAGAAAATAATAGGCATTCGGATCACGACACGACAAAAAAGACTTGTTTAATTTGCAAAGTTTGTTTCGTAGATGGTAATCCATCTCCATCCTGTTAGGCGTGGATGTTGTGAAAGTTATGCTCTATTATATTCCAATCAATTAACTGTAAATATATTTAAATCAAATAATTAAAAATCAATTGTATATAACAGCCGTATATAACTTGCGGTCAGTTTAAACATCGCGTGCATTTTCAATTCTATATGTTAAATAGATATCAAAATTAAAAAAGAATTATAGATGATGAGCTTTATATAATCATTATTTATATTTCTTTATAATGGGGTTTCGACACGCATTTAAGAAATCTCCTGCCGGAAATGACTGTTTCTAGATCAAATTAATTGTTTTCTATAACTGCTTTGACCTGCGCTATTACAGAAACAGAAGGTAGTCGGTGTTCGACTCATACACAAGGATCTTCACTTATTCAGTCAGTAAGTATTTAAAAAAATGCTCATACGATTAGTTATTTTCGCTAGTATTGTACATGTGTTTGACAGAGTTGTAAGTCTTGAAAGTGAGGTTGTATTTCGGAGAAAACCTAAGCGGTTTTTGGGGAATCATGTCATAAAAATATCCAAGACAAGAAGCGAATTTGATTGTGGTTATGCGTGCGCCGATGAGCCTGAATGCGTGTCAGTTAACTTCAAAGTGAAAGGAGAAAATGAAGGTTTATGTGAGCTTAATTCTCGAAGCCTCAAAGAATCCCCCGAAGAAGTGCGAAGCGATGAAGAATATGTGTATCTTGAAGTTTTAACGCGGGTAAGAAACGATTCGCATTTTCTATAGAAGATTAATAGGTTCTGGATCTCTTTTCCTATATGTTATAAGCACGTCGAAAAATGCCAAATTTAGCACTAATTTACTAACTCGACTTTAACCCTGGTATTCACACGAGTGAAATAAACAGAAGCACAAGGAAAGACAAAAATCAAAACAGAGAAATGCAATGAAGCGTGCGACATAAGCATCGACATAAGTACAAACATAAACACAAGATTAGAGGTATAAGCGAAGAACAAAAGCTAGAACAATAATCATTGGAGATATAAACGGCTGGTTATATGATTAGTAAATAACAATAAACTTTTTCAGGAATAAACCTTTTTTAAAATGAGCATAATGAAATAGCAGCTCTAACAGCTTAGCAAGTGTAAAGTTATTCCTTCGTAGGGTTTTAAATATATTTATTAACCATTCATGTTGTGCTTGTTATATTTTCCTTTTATATTAAGAGTTGCAATGAGAATGAAGAATTTTCAGAAGGTAAGCAATTTTGAGTGCTGTGCATATATGTGTATAGTCAAAATGCTAACACACGCGAGTTATAAGACGTATATAGCTACACACGAAGTCTGAGAAAACGAGTTTTGCATTTACATACTCATGTCCAGGAAAAATATTTTCCTTGTTTCATAATTCAGTATGAGTTATTAGGAGAATTACGATATTGCTTCAGAGAATTTTACTAAAGCGACGATGATAATATAATCAATATATACATACATATTTATTAGTTTATACTAAAAAATGCATTATTGATGTATAATTATTTGACAAAACCATTAACGAGGCTGAAAATGTTTCAATACCCAGCGGTGGTTCCGTATATAGTAAATTACCCGGGTACATCACCCGAAGAGCGATTTACTGAAAAATGATGCAATAAATAAAGATTTCTCAAGAATGATTTCAAACTAAAATCCTAATGTAGCCAATTCTGAGCTGTTGTAATTTATTTGACGTACGCAAATTCGCCCTGCCAACAGTGGCGTAGCCAGCCTGACGATTTAGTCATGCTATGCAAATTTTATGTTATTATCATTATTCATTTCTTTAGAAATTCATTGTTTTCACAGTCAATGAACACCAAAATATTAGCATAGCATGACTAAATTGTCAGGCTGGCTACGCCACTGCCTGCCAATGATATCAAAAACTTAATGCTTAATTAACGTTTTCTCCAAAATTATTTATATCGTTTTATTTAGAAACAAAGAAATGCAAACAGTTTTTCAACTCATGCAAAGATGCTTTGACTAAACACGAGTACGTATAAAAAAAAAGCATTAAAACTGGTAACACTGTCTTTTTTGTGTAATTATGCGTTTAATATTTAGAAATTCCACCGACGGAATTTACCGTCTCAAGTCCAATACGTCAGGCGAATACTATGACGTGTTCTGTCACATGACCGATATTGAAACATGTGGTACCGGAGGCTGGACACTAGTCATGAAGTTGGACGGGAATAAGGTGAGACTTCATTCAGGCTCTTGAACGAATTTGATTGGTAGTATTGAAGAGCCAATCAAACTTTGTGTAAGAAGAGCGTCTGACGTTATTATGAGAAAGCTCTTTTGCAAGTCTGGTATCTTTGTCTTAGAATACATTTATTCATAACTCTCCCCTGTGGACGAACAACGAGACATACGCGATACAAGATGGTTTGGAAGGACTGACAGAGAAAGAAAGCAAGTTGGCTTCGTACTGGAATACTCTGTTCACAAAGATATGCCAGGGAATGAAATATAACGGAGAAACAAATTGGATAAACCTGAACTACAGCGCGAGTTCGCTGTTCAGTGTGATCGCAGACGGAAAATTCCGGGCAACAACCGCTGGCCGAGCTGCATGGAAATCGTTAATGGCAGGCTCATCACTGCAGTATAACTGCAACAAAGAGGGGTTCAATGTACCGTTGAATAAAAAAAATAGAAAAATTCGCCTTGGGATCGTTGCCAATAACCAGGAACACTGTGATTCGTGCGATTCTTGGCTTGGTCTAAGCATTCTTGATGATACGTACCACGAGGTCTGTGGCAATACGGCGATCTGTTGCTTTAATAGCGATAATGGGAACAAAACCATTAAAGCATTCGGATATATTCTAGTACACTAGTTTTTAGTTTACATGCACTGAAGTAGAAGCTAAGAAAACAGTCTTGGTAAGAATTTAAAAATAGAAAATTACGGTCATTAAAGATATATACATGCGTCCCTTGAAACTGAAATATTCTATCGAGTTTTTAATGAATATTTTAAAGAATAACCGCAAAATAAATGTCAAATATTATTATAATTGATAGTATGTATACACGCATCTCTAAAATAGCATGTTAATAGATTAGCCGTTTAATACATATGTACTTCCAAAATAAACAAAGAATAAAATTGCGTGCATAAAGTATGTGCGTGTGTGATACGACAATCAATATTATAGTTTTTCTTTCTGACATAAATTAGTCACTTTGTAATTCACAGGTATGTCGACTCCATTGAAAATCAATTGTAAACAGCCCCTAAGTCATTCAAATTTTGACAAAAGGTGATTTCAATAGTTTTAGGGGTTTTTTGGGAAACCTTAATTGTAGAGTGTATATAACTTGCGGTCAGTTTAAACATCGCGTGCATTTTAATTCTATCTCAAATAGCCATCAAAAACAATAAATGATGAGCTTTATATATACATTGACATGAGACATAGATATATATTGCTGATGCTTCTTCATCCTCATCCTTGAATTCTGAAGTGCAGTAAATTTAATTTTCTTTTTATTTATTGTTTACACTTTATGCAAATGCTAGACAAGTAGAAGATATTAAAACTGTCGTGCAGGGGGTAATTTTTTAAATATGATGTTTAGAGATTAAAATTAACTTAGAAATAAATTTTATAGCTCATGCTATATAATTAATTTTATAGCTCAGTGTAAAGTAATAGGATTTGAAAATCGAGTACGTCACACAAGAAATCGAGGCGAGACGTGAGACATAGTCCATCCAAGATGGCGTCAAAGTCTAAAATCCAATGGGCACGCAAAACCACGCGGGACACCGCGCGAGTCAGAATTAGAATGCCTTCTCCTTCGTGGAACGCAATAAGATCATAAACATAATTAAGCTTCATTATCATCGCATTATCTCTTGTTTGAATGGCATTCGAAGCGACGAAAATGCGACGTACAAGCTAGCACTTATATATATGTCTAGGTTAAAGACACGTCGCATTTTGATCGTGATTTGAGGCTTAATGAGGTTTATTATATCATTATTTATTGTTTGAATTGCATTAGACGCAACGAAAATGCGACGTATATATGCTAGCACTTAGGGCCTGTTCATATGAGACGGGCCAGCTCGGTTAAGTCAGCCTAGCTCGATTTTGCTGGCCCGCTTGATGTTTTCATATGAGTCCGTTAAAGGCGAGATCTCGCTTCGTTCAGGCGGGATCTCGCCAGAGCCGGGATGACCCGGTTCCATATGAATGCAATTTTACAATTACAGTGAAATAATATGTTAAGCGATATCTCGACACTGCCGAGCTAGCCTGCCTATAAATCGGGCTGGCCCGTCTCATATGAACGCTCATACGAACTCTCTTAGAGTCTTCATAACTTGTGGCCAGTTTTAAACATGGTTGCATTTTCTGTCCCAGAGTAAACATAAAAAACAATGGATGATAATCTAAAAGCTTTATTATTCCTATCTCTTTAATGAGGTATCGACACGCAGGTAAGAAACCTCCTGCCGGGAATCGCTAAGAATAAAGAGTTATTATTTATTAAAAAGCTAACTAAAAGACTTAGTGAGTTCGATCTAGAAGTATCTACAATACCTCCGACCAATATTGAAGTTGATATTAAACAGTTATATTGATAATAGTTTCTTCATGCTATCCGTGAATTCTGAAGTGCAGTAAATTTCCCATGACAATCCTTCTAACCCTATTGATAACAATCATACAAATGTTTAGACTTGGATATTAAAATTGGCGTGCAGAATCAATATTATGTCATAATTCTTAGCACGTAAAAAACAATTAGTTTAATCTACACATGCAGAACCTGCTGCATGCTGACTGTTTTCACCTGCTCAGAACCTGCGGTATGGACAAAAAAAGTCGAAGGTTCGAAATGAAAATGTTCGTACGCTTAGAAGTTTTCGCTAGTATTTTACATATGTTTGGCAGGGTGGCAAGTCTTGAGAATGAGGTGGTATTTCACAGCAAACGAGGGCGGTTTTTAGGCAATCATGTCATAAAAATATCCAAGACAAGAAGCGAATTTGATTGCGGTTATGAGTGCGCCGATGAGCCCGAATGTGTCTCAGTTAACTTCAAAGTGAAAGGAGAGAATTAAGGTTTATGTGAACTTAATTCTCGAAGCCTCAAAGAATCACCCGAAGAAGTGCGAAGCGATGAAGAATATGTGTATCTTGAAGTTTTAACGCGGGTAAGAAACGATTCACATTTTGCAGAAAACATTAAGCTTCTCGATCTTTTTACCTAAGAATCTTCTTCTAAGTGTCATACATGCACATGAAAAATTAACACTAGCCTTTGAGCACGACAATCGCCAAACTTAACACTAGCCTTTAAGCACGACAATCAGCTAGTGAAAGCAGTTCGACTTACGGGACCAGAACACTTTGGCGAGGCCTTCAAAGCACATAGAGAAATTTTTTAAACGTTCTTAAGCCCCGTGGGTCACATGTTGTGCATGTCTCCAATTGAGGATATAACTTTAGTCGCTATAAATTGCAATGAACCTTTTCAAATATACATGATATAGAAAGAAATCTTTCAAAATTGGCTATAATGAAATGCCAGTTTTAAGAGCTTATAGGAAGTTGTTCTTTCGTGAGCTTTTCTAATATATTCATTTACCATTCATGTGGTCTTTGTTACTTTACTTTTATTAAGAGTTGCGATGAGAATCAGGAATTTTCAGAAGGTGAGCATTTGGGCTGCTTTGTACCTATGCGAGGTCGAAGTTTTTTACAAACGACGACGATATAATCAACATGCATTTATAATAATATTTAACTATTTGTCAAAGCCATTAACGACCTAAAATGAAAATGACGTTTTAATGCTCAAAGGCGGAGTGAATTGCCTAGCATCTGCATGCTTAAATTAGGCGTTCCACAGTCAGACCAGCCTAAATATCACTACAGGAGTGTGACAGTTGTAGTAACAGGTGCGTAGACACGATTTGCCAGAGCCCGCAGAAGAGAATAATATTGTGAACTGTTGTAAATATTTGACCTACTGTAATTCCGCCCCTCTAATGCTATTAGTGGCGTAGCCAGCCCAACAATTTAATCATGCTATGCTAATATTTTGGTGTTCATCGACTGTGAAAACAATGAATTTCTAAAGAAATGAATAATGATAATAACATAAAATTTGCATAGCATGACTAAATTGTCAGGCTGGCCACGCCACTGAATGCTATCCTGCTTAGTGTATGTCTCCTCAAAAATATTCCTATCACCTTATTTAGAAACACAAAAATGCAAAGACTTCTTCAAATCATGCAAAGATATTCAGAGTAAATACGAGTACGTATGTGAAAATGAAACAAAAATTAACTTCAGCCTCGGCATTTTTTGTAATTATACATTTATGAAATAGAAATTCCGCCGACGGAATTTATCGTCTCAAGTCCAGCACGTCAGGCGAGTACTACGACGTGTTCTGTCACATGACCGATATTGAAACATGTGGTACAGGAGGCTGGACACTAGTCATGAAGTTGGACGGGAATAAGGTGAGATTTCATCCATTTGGAAGAAAATCATTTAAGTAAAGTCACTTGACTTTAAGGAATAATGAAATGATAAAATAACAATATTTTGTATACACAGCAACACAATAGACTGCAGAGCCATTCACAGTTATCAAACTTTGTGTAACAACAGTCTGGTATCTTTGTCTTAAAATAGAATACATTTATTTATAACTCTCCCCTGTGGACGAACAAGGAGACATACGCGATACAAGATGGTCTGGAAGGACTGACGGGGAACGAAAGCAAGTTGGCTTCGTACTGGAATACTCCGTTCACAAAAATTTGCCTGGGTATGTCGTATAACGGAGAAACAAAATGGATAAACCTGGACTACACCGCAAGTTCGCTGTACAGTGTGATCGCAGATGGAAAATTCCGGGAAACGACCGCTGGTCGGGCTGCATGGAAATCATTAATCGCAGGCTCATCACTGCAGTATAACTGCAACAAGGAGGGGTTCAATGTACCGGTAAATAGGCACAATAGAAAAATTCGCCTTGGGATCGTTGGCAATAACGAGAGGAACTGTGATTCATGCGATTCTTGGCTTGGTTTAAGCATTCTTGATGATACGTACCACGAGGTCTGTGGCAATACGGCAATCTGTTGCTATAGTGATAATGGGAACAAAAATATGAAAACATTCGGATATATTCTAGTACAATAGTTATTAGTTTACATGCACTGAAGTAGAAGCTAAGAAAACAGTCTTGGCAACAATTGAAAAAGAAAAAAGTTAAGATATATCATATACATGCACCTTTTTCAACTGAAATATCTATCCAGTTTTTTTTTAGTATTTTAAAGAATAAGCGCAATATAAATGTGGAATATATTATATTTGATCGTATGTATATATACTCACTGAATGTTACGCACCTCTTAAATAACATGTTAATAGATTGGCTGTTTAATACATACTTACTTTCACAGTAAACAATTAAAGAATAATAAAGTATGTGTGGTTGATACGACAATCAGTATTTTGGTTTTTCTTTCAGACATTTTTTGGCTTTTCGGACTATTTTTAATCGTAATATTCATTAAAAATATTGTGAATTTGTGATTGATATTAAAGCATTATAGTGAATAGTGGCTTTGTGAAAACAGCTAGTAGCAGGTCTAGTATAAGCAATAAGTCAAGCAAAAATGAAGCAATAAGTCAAGCAATAAAAATTGCATTCAAAGAGTATAAACTTGCTTAAAGATGTACATGTATGAATATTACATGAATTTTTAAATTTACAGTGTTGTTCTTAGCTGTTGGAAAATATATAATATCCACAGACAAGTCATGTGGTACTACTTATAGACAAGAGAGAGTGCTATTGCAACTAAAACCATCCACTAGACCGCGGTAAAGACGTTTTGCGGGTCGAATAAAGAACTTCAAATACGTTGCCATATTGGCCTTGTTTACATAGTTAATTAGCAATAACAATTATCAGGTGAAGAGCACGGCGTGCTGTACTCATAGTCGATATAATTTGTCAAATAGTTTATGAATTAATAATGAGTGTTTTAAAAAAATCGTAATCATCGGTTGTCAAAGCAATTTTGTAACACCAAGGCTCCACTTGTCTAAACAAGCCCGTTGCCGATTTGGAAAAAATGCCCACACGATTGGGCGTTTGCGCTCTGGCATTATGCTTTTTCGCCGAGGCAGTAAATTGTGAATACGACGTGATATTTTACCGAATGACGGGGCAGTATTTGGGAAATTATTCCATAAAAATGACGAAGGAAAAGAGTGAATTCGACTGCAGCTATTCCTGTGTAAATGAGCCCAAATGCATGTCGGTGAATTTCAAAGTGAAGGGAGAGGATAAAGGTCTGTGCGAGTTAAATTCTCGAACGCTCGATGAATTACAAACAGAAGCACAGAGCAATGCAGAATATGTGAATCTCGGTGTTATGAAGGTGAGAAACTATATCAATCTTCTCTCTGTAATTAATCAGTTTCGCAACTCAATGTATGTGCATAGTATAATTTGACGAGTTTTACATTAAAAAACATCTTTTTACGTCATTTAAGTTGTAATAAAAATTTGACGTTTGACTTTATGAGAATTTTAGAGAATGTTGAGCATTGCATTTAAGGCGATGTCGCTGTAACAGGTAATAAAATCTACTAGACGGAATACAGTTAAAAGTCAGTCTTTTTAATGAAATTTTATGAATATTAGAAATATTAATTAAAAAAAATCACCTATATTGCATTAATTAAATAAATTACTAATATGTGACGACATAACTAATGCATGTTTCATTAATAATAACTTTCCGAATATAACTACACTGGTTGTATAGCTAACTTTGAATCGCAATAGAATATTTAAAAAAAATTAATATAATATGCATGCACTATATAACACACATATAATATACATGCGTTATAGTCGAACTATTATCTTGCTAATTTACTTTACTAAAACATACACGTTTTGATTAGATGCTTAATTTCAACACTGCCGCACGTTTTGACGATGTGTTTATGTCCTCATGGTGATTTTACTTCTTAATTTGATTAAGAATTGCAAAGATGAAGATTTCTCAGCTGGTAAGTAAAACTTGCTATCAACTGATGCAATCCAGGTCAACTCGTTCTCTCGCGTCCACATGCAGACAGGAATGACAGATGTAAAAATATTGGACGGTGATTTGAAAGTTATTAAAATGACAGGTTTTGTTACCGATAGTCAACGAATTCATTGTGGCCTCCATAATCAGTTTCAAAAAGTAGTTATGAAAAATGGGAAATCTCATGGACTGACTGAGAAAGAAAGGAAGTTGGTTTATTCGTCCTAAACTATAAAAAAGTCTAAATTATGTCTTAATAATATCATTGACGTGCGTAAGCTTAAATTAATTTCACAACAAATTATAGACACAAAGAAATGTAGAGAAGTTGAGTTCTTCCATTCATGCAAAGATCTTTTAAGCAGACACGGGTACGTAATTATTGAAATCTTACAAAAGATTAATACACTCAGTGCTCAAACCTGAAATTATTATATAACAATTATCTATATCTAATCATGAATTTGTTATATAGGAATTCTACTGACGGAGTTTACAGTCTGAAGTCAGTCACTTCAGAGGAAGACTATGACGTGTACTGTCACATGACCGATATTGAAACGTGTGGTGGAGGAGGCTGGACACTAGTCATGAAGTTGGATGGAAATAAGGTAGCTAACCGAGACTTGGGGCATTATTAAAAGGTCCCTGATGCACAATGGTTTTTCCTCTTTATTAGGTTATAAATTATTATCTCGAAAGGTTATCAGGATGGTCAACGGAGAATTCGCATTACCAAAATCGTAATTTTAATCCTCGTTAGTAACAATATTTTTGATTTCTTCGTAGAATACATTCATTTTTGACTCCCCTTTGTGGACAAACAAGGAGACATACGCGATACAAGATGGTCTGGAAGGACTGGCGGAGAAAGAAAGCAAGTTGGCTTCGTACTGGAATACTCCGTTCACAAAGATATGCCTGGGTATGTCGTATAACGGAGACAAAAAATGGATGACCTTCGACTACAACGCAAGTTCGCTGTACGGCGTGATCGCGGACGGACAATTCAGGCCGACAACCGCTGGCCGAGGTAAATGGAAATCCCTGATCACGGGCTCGTCGCTACAATATAATTGTAATATGAATGGATTTAATGTACAGTTTAACAGTAAGGGCACTATGAGATTTGGAATTGTCGCTAACAATGATAACGGCTGCGAATCGTGCGATTCTTGGTTAGGAATTGGCACGTCTTTTCATTACAGCCACGATAGCTGGACCAAAGAAATGGTTTGTGGCAATTATGCAAATTGCTGTAATCCAGATAATGGAAGCAAATATTTAAAAACTTTTGGATTTATATTTGTGCAATAGTGAGATATAAATATTGGCGAGCGATAATTATGTTTATCAGAGCGGTTATGAGAGACCGTATAAACACAAACATATATACTTATTTGTTAAATGCAGTGAACTCTAATGAATACCTGAACAATGAGGAGGTATCGTTCCAGTTATTTATTAGTTCACTGGTTAAATGATACTTTGGTGTATTGCATGGAAATCAATTATTGCATAGTTCACTACAGTATTGAGTAATCACTACAATATAACTGAAAGAGAAACAGGTTCAATGCAACGCGATGTTAAAATTTTGATTTTGAAATTCGACTTTAGTTTAAAATTCAGTTTAGTTTTAGTAGTAAAAGTATTCATAATGCGGAAACTACATAGAGCGCATTTTGCTATTTACAGCTGTTTTTATATCTGACTATATCAACAAATAAATGCGTGCCTATATATTATTACAAGAAATTAAAATAAAAAATTGAAGAAAAAAAACGAAAAAGTGCGATCGTGCAAGTGTGTGTTGACCGGGGGCCGAAATCGTGTCTTGAACAAATCGCCTGTAAAACGTTTAAAACTTGTTCAGAAAATTTGGAGAAAGAAATTTAAAACCGACAAACAAGAAGTATATAAGTATTATATTGTGGCTAATATACGAAATTATTTTCAGCTGTTCGCATTATTTATAGAGTACCTGCGGTGCTATAATTCGCATGACAAGCGATTGTCAAATGGAAAGTGATGCTTGAAAATTGCCTTTATTTTATTTGAACAGGTTTTCTCGCTGATGAAAAAAATGTTCATGCGCTTGGCGATTTACGCTTTGATTTTACATCGCTTTAGCGACGTAGAATGTCGGGAAAATGAGGTGACATTTCAGAGAAAAATGGGATATCATTTGGGGAAGTATTTAGTAAAAACGTTGAAGGAAAACAGCGAATTTGACTGCAGCAACAGCTGTGTAAACGAGCCGGAATGCGCGTCGGTAAATTTCAAGGTAAAAGGAGAGGATGAAGGTTTATGTGAGCTTAACTCTCGTACACTTGATGAATTTCCAGAAGAAGCTCGACGTGATGTAGAATATGTGTATCTTCAAGTTCTTAGAAGGGTAAGAAACGATATCCTATTTTGTAAACTAACGCCATGCATATATAGTCAAGGGACACGGGTATATTTAATTAATCCATGGAGGTTTCCTCGCCCTGCGCTATGAGATGATTTATTGCACATCATTTAGGCTAAATCTAACAGCAATTGAACAGCGAAGATGGATTTAATACCTAAGCAATGCATTTTATACTGCAGTTCTAGCTCATGTTCTGAGCATCATGCACAGATATTTAAAATCTTTCAAAATTGCATTGTTGTGAAAAATAATTAGACTGTACAAAAATCAAAGAAATTAGCTACAGCTATTTCATTAAACGTGGACACTGACGATTCAATTAACGTTAAAATGTTGGGAGTATTTTCCTTAATATCAAATTAGTGATGGCCCCCTCTGAATGCATAAATGTTATTTTAAGATATTCTCAGAGGCTTCCAATGCGTTACATTCTTCAAGAAAATATAGTATTTACCCATAATTTTCATGTCAGTCGTTATCAACAATTAATCTTTAAATGAATTACCTGCATGTCTAAGTAATTTCATAATACGCGTTATTATAATCTATCTATTATTCATCCACATATCTATAAATTATGATGAAAAACCGTTTTAATTAAATATTTGCGCCAGTCTTTAGTTAGGTCTGGGTGCAGCCTACATTAAAAATACAAGCGATGAGAGTCTCTCGAATGCAACTTGCCTGCTTTTCTAGCGTGTCTATATTTACACATTTAAATACATTTGTTTCAAATATTTTTTAGAACAAATCCTCTCATATACCTTCTCTCCTTTTCATCTCATTTCACAGCCATTTTAGATTCCTCGCAGCCAATAAACTCAATTCTAGCTCGCTCTGAATGCTACCTTTCCCATTGTACAATCATTTTTGTGTGTGTTTTATCTCTTTTAATAAAGAATTGCAAAGACAATGAAGATTTTTCAGATGGTGGGTAATCTTGTGTTTTATGCATTCATGCAACGCGGATCAGGACAGAATTGGCCAATCAGATTTGTGTATTTCGGAGTTAACTAGCATGTAACAAAGCAATATGTAGTTAAGAGTTTTATGCAACCGGTGCGTACTTACACAGCTCAAAAGCCTTTGACATCACATTTGCCTATAGAAACCAGGAGGTGCCAAGAGTTCTTTCTCTCCTGCAAGGATATTTTAAGCAGACACAAGTACGTATCAGCGAATTCTTATAAAATACTCAATGTAAATTCTGTATTCTGTTAAATTCTCTATCATCCATGTCTACGCTATATCTGAAGTTGCACTTACCCAACTAGGAATTCCACTGACGGAATTTACAGGCTGAAGTCAGGCTCTTCGGGTGAATACTACGACGTGTATTGTCAGATGACAGATATTGGGGCCTGTGGCGCAGGGGGATGGACTCTTGCCATGAAATTAAACGGAACTAAGGTAGGATTTGGCGTATTCCAAGAAAGCTAGAAATCGAACAAAAATGACTGCCCTCCTTAAGTTAATTCAGAAATAGGTTGCTGGCATTGATCGCTGGAATTCATCAATGTGTGATTTTTCATACAGCTAAATTACAAGTCGATGATCCACGTTTTATACAGAAAATTCCATCCCTGCATGAAGAGTTGAGGAAGCAATCTAGCGTTTACACCACCTCATTCTTTACCAATTAAAAAGTAATCTTATTTCATTTTTTTGTTAGAATACATTTACCTATGACTCTCCCCTGTGGACGAACAACGAGACATACGCGATACAAGATGGTCTGGAAGGACTGACAGAGAAAGAAAGCAAGTTGGCTTCGTATTGGAATACTCCGTTCACAAAGATATGCATGGGTATGTCTTATAACGGAACGAGAAAATGGATGACCTTTAACTACGCTGCAAGTTCGCTGTACAGTGTGATCGCGGACGGACAATTTAGGCCAACTACTGCTGGCCGAGCTGCATGGAAATCCCTGATCGTGGAATCTTCACTACAATATAACTGCAACAGAGAGGGGTTTAATGTGCGGTTCAATGGTGAATCGGCAATGCGAATCGGAATTGTTAGTAATAATGAACGCGACTGCGCATCGTGTGATTCTTGGATTGGCATCAGCAGAGGTTCTTTTACGACTGACGGTACCTGGCACAGTAGAATGGTTTGTGGCAATCATGCAAGCCACCATAGTCACGATAATGGAATTAAAAACTCCGTCACGTTCGGATATATTTTTGTGCAGTAATAAATATAACGCATAAGTAATAAATATAACCCACAGTAATAAATATAACACATAATAACACATGTGCGATTAACCGGCGTGTTTGATTAACCAATCAGGAGGAAGGTATACGCGGCCAGGAGTTACTTATGAACTTATGCACCGTTTAAGCTAAACGCCTTTCGAACGACCGGTCCCAGTATTTTAGAAAGCCTTGGATAAAAAAGTCGAAGGGAAATTGCGAATTTGACTGTAGCTATAGGAGAGGATGAAGGTTTATGTGAGCTTAACTCTCGTACATTTGATGAATCACCCTAAGGGGCACAACGTGATGAAGATTATGTGTATCTCGAAATTCTTAGAAGGGTAAGAAACAGTACATACCCTCGCATCCAGGCCTGTAGTTAAGGGACAAGTTTTAATTGCACGAATGAATGAGAGGAAAAGACCAACTACGTTTGAATGGTTACATATTCGTGCAATAATTATAATAACGCACAATCGTAAAAATCACTCAAACAATTTAAGATGTTGATAGTTCTATGGATAAATACTAGTTTAATATTAGTTGTATATATAAGTTTATATAACCCTGTTTACCAATGCTGTAATACTTTTATTATTATTATTATTATTATTTCAGTGCCATTTAGCTATACTGGTGTGGTAGCTAATAATCAAATCATGCTTTTCATGGAAATCAGGCTAGCTCGTTTCTTTAATACTTCAGTATTATTAAATATTTACGTGGTGTACCTACAAGCTATATTACTATTCATTATCTATTGTTTGATTTACTTTCAACGCGCGATCAAAATGCGATGTACAACTTAGGCCTTATGCCTGTTTTCCACTAGCGATATTTTTCGCGCGAAGCGAATTTATTCCTTTGTATCTGAGCAATTCGTTCCAGATGGTTGCAGTTGATAGCTCTGAAACAAAAGTAAAATGTCGTTTCGCGCGAAAATTATCGCTAGTGGAAAACCGGCTTTACTTTCTTAAACATTGGCGGATCCAAGGGTGTGCAGAATAAATTTCTACAGCTTAAATTCGGAATCGCATTGGTAGATTTTAATGTAAAAATATTTCAAATCTATAAGCAATAGCGTTGTTTTTAAGAGGTTTTGAATTTAAAATTAAGCTGTGTAATTTATTCTGCACATTCCTAGATCCGCCACTAGCTGATCTTAAAATACGCAACAAATCCTATCATCTTACATATGCAGCCCTTATCTTATGCCTGGCGGCTCTCAGACAAAAAAATAATGCAAACAAAAATCAATAATATACTTTGAAACAAATAACATGCAACGCTAGTTTCTTAAAACAAGTACGATCGTACTATAGTGGACCAGCTAGGAACTGCGTGACCGAGTTTCTGAACTGCATTGTATTTACAACAATAGAGAGGACAATGTATTTCCAATCGTTTGCGTTTACTTATATATAGGCTGAATATTAATGATATGTATATATTATTTGCTGCAAATATAGTCAAGAATTGCTTGTAACTTGCTTCAAAGGTGAAAAGTAAAAATTCGAACTCCGTCAATCGATGCGGAATATTGCTTAGAATAATTGTGCCAAGTTTCATTCCGATCAAACAAGTAATGATAGAGCCTTAGGGTTTTTTTAAAGAGCGTCGCCCCCTAACAACAACAACAACAACATGCACGCAAAAAAATTGGATGCTTTGTCTGTTAGTTTTTTAGTTCAAAACAATTAAAAATGTTTGAATTTTACACATAAAAAGTGTATTTTTGTAAGTTTGTGGTAAATTTTAGTAAATGTATTGGAAGGTTCGGAAAAATTACGCACGCCAGCTTAATGAAGAGAAAATCCCTTTGAATTTTCTGAACTTTTAAAAGACATTAACGGATTAACGTACACAAGTGAAATTAAAAGGTAAATCTTCGTCTAGCTCAAGCTTTACGGTTGCCCTTCATTTTGTTTATATATATGTCTGCATGTGTGTTGAAAAACATTGAAAGTTAATGCGATCCGGAAGACGCAAGCTGAGATCAAAGAAGGAAGCGTCAGCATTATACGCCAATCATACGAAAGAAGATTTGTAAACAAATAATTTCGATTTATTGCGAATTTATTACACAGTATACATTAAAAAGATAAACATTTAGGAGATCGTCATGCACGCTACAATGAAAACATGTCTGCTCTTCTTCATCTTAGAAAGCGTTGCTCTGAGTGAAAGCACAAACGAGGCCGTGTTTCGCAGACGTGTCGAAACTTATTTGCCGAATTGCGTTTTTCGTACCAAAAGAGCAAGGAGCGAGTCCGAGTGTAGCATTTACTGCCTACGTCATTCGTCCTGTTTTTCGGCAAACTACAAATTTACTTCACCTACAGATGGAATCTGCGAGCTCAACAGCAAGACGATAAAAGACCTGCCAAATGAAGATAAACATAATCCTGACTACGTTTATCTTGAAAAGGTGAGCAGAATGAGATTATAGTGAAGGAAAGTTGGCAACTTGACGTTGTTAATATTATCTCTGAGGGGGAAGAATGAAAATAGATCAAATTAAAACGGTTCATTTATGAACTTTTTATCAAAGTACATATACTAGGGCGACAAAAATCAGTGCATTGAAAGAGATGGGGAGTGTTTTTGTTATTGAATAAAGACGGTATATTTTCCGTCAGAATACATCTTCATTACTATGACTATGTTTGATGATCGAAAAATATATTTTTGTAATTTCATATATAATGTACACAATACAGGTGGTACTCGCAAATTTACATAATTTATTTATTTTCTCGTCTGACTGTCCCTGTCCATTTAAAAATATACACTGTTTGTCACGCGCCTTTCACACTAATGGATACTTAATTAATCTCGTCTACCGAGGTACCCGTACCGTACCAAAAATAACACAATTATATATTTGAAGACCGCAAGTTAGCTGGGAACTAAACCATTTTTCTTTAAATCATCGTCAGCTGATTTGATAAGGTGACGTCACGTAATGCCAACTATTTTAAGCCAGAATCCTGCTTGTAAAAAATCACTGATGCATTAAGGAAGAGCGAAACTCGGTTTCCAGTACATAATTGACTGACAAAATAATAGAGGTTTAAAGGGCCTTAATTTCGAGCGGAATTAAATGATAATTATTTACCTAAAACGAATGAAGTGCCAAAAATCATAATTGACAAAATAATAGCCTTTTGGGAAAACAGCGAACGACGTATTCAAAAGATAAAATCATATTTTGTCAAACGAACTATGAAGGAAATAATAACTCAGTTCTGCTGAGATTCAGATTTCTTATTCCCCAATATATCAGACTACAATTTAAAATAAATCTAATATTATCGTATTGTTTAAAGGTCTGGTCAAATGAAGAGAACGAGTTTTCACCTGGTGAGTTTCGTGTAATGTAAAATGATATCAGTTACAACCGAGGAAAAATATTTAGTTACGGTATATTTTGAATTATCATAGACACAAAAGAACAAGCTTCTTCCCCATCTTGCAAGGAACTGTTTCTTAAGCATGAGTGAGTTGAACTTTTATCAAATATATCCTAAGAATTAGCTTCATTTACCAATTACTTTCATCTGATTATTTTGTATTATTTTAACTTATCGCAAGCGCTTGTATCACGTGCTATATGTATAAACATTCTGCTTTACTTCCCTTTTTTAGATCATTGCCTGATGGTGTCCACACTCTACAGCAAAATTCCTCTTCGGCACCATATAAGGCATATTGTCACATGACAGATATACCAGGATGTGGGGGTGGGGGCTGGACACTAGTGATAAAGCTCGATGGGAATAAGGTTAGATCAAAAAAGTTTCTTTTTAACCACGCACAACTACATGCCTGGGATGCTACGATCGCCCTAATTCCAGCTTTTGTAGTCTTATGTTTAGTTTTTCTCGCTGAACAGCTAGAAGCGCTTCATATTGTAATCATGATGCATAAAGTATCTATGTATTTTCTTAGGATACATTCACCTACAATTCCCAACTGTGGACGAACAAGGAGACATACGGTATACAAGATGGTTTGGAAGGACTGGCAAAGAAAGAAAGCAAGTTAGATTCTTACTGGAAAACACCGCTCACTAAGGTTTGCCTCGGCATGTCGTATAACGGAAACAGAAAATGGATGAGCTTCAACTACACTGCCAATTCGCTGTACAGCGCGATAGCTGACGGCACATTTAGGGCAACTACCGCTGGCAGAGCTGCATGGAAATCTCTGGTCACGGACTCGTCACTACAAAGGAACTGCAACAGGGAAGGGTTTAATGTTTTTTCGAGAATGCGAATTGGATTATTTGCCAATCAAGAGAACGATTGTCACTCGTGCGACTCTTGGATTGGTTTTGGAACATTAATCAGTGGAAAGACTTGTGCTAATTATGCTTTCAACCACTCCCCTGACAACGGAAACAAAGACCTAGTGACATTCGGTTACATTCTTGTTCAATAATAAACTTCAAAGGACGTCTTACATTAAAGATCTAAGACTAAGTTCAGATAACTAACTTCGTATAAATTCTTGACACATGTCTGAAGAATGTTTAAGGTAAGGGAGCCTCGGAAGGAAGCTGAAATTTTAGTTGTAAATTTGCAGAAGTATACAATCAAATAATTAACTAATTAGGCTATTGATTCATCATCAAGGAATCCGTTGTCTGCACGAGTTTGCATAAAACTACATTGGACAGAACCAAAACCTTGCATGAATGTGCTTTAAGATCGAGACATTCCGGCTTCCGCCGACCAATGTTGAAGAAAATAATATAACGGCTTTAGCTTAATATGGCGAATATATCAAGAGATTTTTATAGCTGGTAGCTACACTTTCATCTTAACGGTAATTTAATTAATCTAAATGTATACATACAAGCGTACCGTGTACGATACAAATAAATTGTAGAACAAATGTATTTTCACTTCATTGGCATTTGAACGTAAATATATTTTCGCCGGCTGGAGATTGAAAAATACTACGGTATATCATTTTCCAATGATTAAAAACCATTGATTATATCTTAGATGTGTCGGAAATGATTAAATTTGATTAATTCGCAAAATATTCTCTCCTTGCATGTAAGGTATTGTTGCATGACAGATTATACAGGAAACAGTTTAAAATCCAAGTTATAAAAGCATGTAATTAATATTAATGCTGCTATATATTGTCGCATGGCAGATGCTTACAGGAAATAGTTTAAAATTCAATTTTAACGCAATAAATATTTATATTCCTATAATTATTAAAGACAAGCATTTATTATCTATCTAATAAACATGCAAGTTTCATTATTACAATTACGTACGTCAAAACATCATGTATATTGAATCAAAGCATATTTAGCAGCAATAGTGTTTGTAAACCACAATGAAGGAGGCATGCTTGCTTTTCCTCCTGTTAAGGAGCGCTATTCTGGGCGAATTCACAGACGAAGCTGTGTTTCGTAGGAGTGTTGGAAGTCACTTGGCGAATCACGTTTTTCGGACTGAAAAAGCAAAAAGTTATTCCGAATGTGGCATGTATTGCCTGCGTCATTCGTCGTGTTCCTCAGTGAATTACAAGATTGGCGGAGACGCCAAAGGTCGGTGCGAACTCAACCGAAAAACGACGAAAACGAGGAATGAAAAAGCGCATAACCCCGAATACATCTATCTTGAAAAGGTAAGAAAAACCAACGAATCTTTAACTTTAATCCTTAACCTAGCTTGATTATAAAATAGGGAAAAACATTAGGTCAACGTGAAATTTAAGGTTTCTCATCGGAATACTATAGTTTCTAATGCGATCACAATCTAATGCATTCATTCGATTGGATGAAAATTCTTTTGAAAGTTATTAAAATAGACTTTATTTGTGACAATAAATAATGTCAATCTTTTGCAACGAAAAACATTAAACACTTTTAATTTCGTACTCAATATTAAACATTTAATGTGGGCGATAAGCCAAATATAAAAAATAATTTTCCCGTCAATTTGGCCCTGTACGTTTATAGAAAATGGCATATTGCCCAACGACATTTAACTCTATATTGCAAATTGATATTTAAGTAAGATTTATTACCGTGAAATATTGTCGCGAGAGAAGTTAGACGAGTTATCCAATAGAAACTATATATCTTTGAGATCGCAAATCGCCTTGAATTTTATCTGTATTACTAATTTATTATTGTTTAAGGTGAGGACAGGACATGAAGTAATGCCTTCAGGTAAGTTTCGGTTGATCCCAAAGGATGGTGTGGTCAAAACAATGGGAAGTTCTCTAAGCTGAAGTAAAAACTAAAATCTGTGACACATTTCGACCAATTTGAAATAAGCGCCGCGACAGCAGTTCTCTTTTTAAAAATACGAGAAACGAAAGGAGAAACGAAAGGAGAAACGAAAGGAGAAGTGCAAGTGAACGTGGGCGAATTTTGTTCAGAATCATGGTTCACATTTCGAGGGATATTAGCGTTCTTTTTATATATTTCATTTTAATTACTTTTTAATTAAAGTAGTCAGTGTGATAGATATTCAAACACGCTGTTTTCAATTACAGAAGCGAAGCATATTTATCCCCCATCTTGCAAAGAACTACTTCACAAGAATACGTAAGTTGAAAATAAACCTAATCATAGGTGTAAAACGCACTAATGTGTCATCAATAATATCTGTGAAATGGACAATATATATTATTGCATTGAAGATCATTGCCTAATGGTGTCTACACTCTACAGCAAAATATCTCTTCGTCACCATATAAGGTATATTGTCATATGAAATATATCCCAGGATGCGGAGGTGCAGGTTGGACACTAGTGATGAAGCTCGACGGAAAGATGGTTAGATTCTTACACTGTTTCAATGTAGCACTGGTTTTACAAAATCACAAATACCACCAACAACACCGCTATTCTCATTTTTCTCTTAGGAAACATTTAAATATAGTTCTTCCTTTTGGACGAACAACGAGACATACGCGATACAAGATGGTTTGGAAGGACTGACTGAGAAAGAAAGCAAGTTGGCTTCGTACTGGAATACACCGTTCACAAAGATATGCCTGGGTATGTCTTATAACGGAGACAGAGAATGGATGAGCTTCGACTACACCGCAAGTTCGCTGTACGGCGCGATCGCAGACGGCCAATTCAGGGCAACCACCGCCGGCAGAGCTGCATGGAAATCTCTGATCGCAGAGTCCTCGCTACAGTTGAACTGCAACGAAGAAGGGTTTAATGTACTTTTAAGAATGCGAATTGGAATCTTCGCCAATAACGAAAACGAATGTTATTCGTGTGATTCTTGGCTCGGCTTTGGAACACAGGTCACTGGAAAGACTTGTGGAAATTTTGCTGTCCACTCACCCGATAACGGTTATAAAGATTTAGCGACATTTGGATATATTCTGGTTCAACCATGAATTTACAAGGAGAGGCCGTGAAAATGTCTCATTTGAAGGCGTCGTAAGAATGACAACGCTGTCTTGGGACCACAAATTATGCATAGCTATTGTCTCGCGTTTGGTGTTTCTTTGTTTTACAAGCGCGTCGTCGATCCGGGGTGGGGAAAACTACGAAAAATTCATCGTAAAGCGGCTCTTGCAAACTCTTTTTACCACATAAACAATCTCTCAATTCTCGTGGCGCACTTTGTAAGTTTACTATTAATAGTCTACCTGTTCAACTATTGCGCAAAATATAGCTACATTAAATTTTGTATGCACGGCACTGTGGATTGAAATTAGATTTTCCAGACAATGGCATAGAAAGTTGATGTATAGCTACTAAGGCTGGTTTACCCACTTAAGTTCCTACCCACTTAAATGCAAGTAAAAATTATTGATTGACAGGCAAATTAATTAGAAATTTCAAAAGGCCTTGAGACAGACTCATCTATCCTAAAATTCTTAGATTATATGCAGTAATAATCACTTATTTTTTTTAAAATGCTATTAATCGCCAAGTATCACTCAAACCTAAAAGGAAACCGCCTTCAGAAGCAGAGTGCGTGTGCATCCATCACTTTGTCTCCAATTATTGTAGACATAATCCTTTTACAGAAAACCTTAATCAATTAAATTGTCATAGAACTAAATTGCATGTCAGCCAGATATATAAGATAACCAATCAGTTGTAAAAGGCTGCATACAGCCTCCTAAATAATTAAGTGGTATATTTGACATTAAAATGATCGCATTTCTTTCATCCAGTTTAAAATGTACGCTCTACTTAAAGCATGTCTGCTATGTATAACAATGCTTGCGCTAAGCGAATGCACAGACGAAGCTATGTTTCGCAAACATGTTGGAAAGTACTTGGCGAATAATGTTTTTCGAACAGAAAAAGCGCAAAGCGAGTCTGAATGTAGCATGTATTGCCTACGCCATCGGTCGTGTTTGTCCGTGAATTATAAGACTGCTGGAAAACATAAAGGCAAATGTGAGCTGAACAGCAAAGTTGCAAAAGATCTATCGTCGAAAGAGAACGGACATTATTCTGAATATGTCCATCTTGAAAAGGTAGGAATAGTAATTTTACACTGTTAAATTTATGTGTTTCCATTAATCTTTATCTCAGGGCTTGTATTTTTGATGGGACAAAATCATAAAATTTTTTTTGAATTTTTTTCATTGACTTTCCAAGTAATCGCAAATACTTGCATGCATGCAGGCAGATGGCAAATAAAATTCTCAGCGCTATGCGTTATGGGCGTTTCTCGATTAAAAGCATTACACAAGCAAAGGCAAATTTGTGCTTAACGGCTTTTTAATTCAAGTGCACCGATGGGATATTCCACAAACGTTGGTAGGATGAGTTTGCATGATGTTGAAAAAGTTTCGTTGAAGAAAATGCGCTGCTTTTCACAATGACTTATATACCCCTATAGCTGTCATATATAGGAGTATAACAAGGAATATTTGAAGAAATGTACAAAAGACTACAATAGCTACATCGATCCCTTACTTCAAAGTTATAACGTAGCCTGTACGTGCACTTCAGGGATATTACATAACGGAATTAAATTTCTACTGAACTAATTTAATTGGTTTCAATTAAAGTTTGACAGCGAGGCATTTTGCGTGTGAACAGTTTGAAATGACATGAAGTTCGAATTCCAGCAGAACGTATATAATATATACGATGCAATAAGGGGAACACAATCTATTTGTGTATGGTCGTTCTATAATCGGGAAAAGAAAGAAATTCGTAAGAAACGTACGTCACAAAATGCACATTAATTGAACACAAACGGTTTTTACGTTATAGTATACAATGTACACGTGTACAGGTGGTACACGCAAATATACATAATTATCATCTCGTCAGGCTGTCCCTGTCCATTTAAAAATATACATTGTTTGACACGCCTTTTTCGCACTAATGGATATTTATTTAAGCTCGTCTACCGAGGTACCGGTACAAAAAATAACACAATTATATATTTGAAGACCGCAAGTTAGCTTGCCACTAAACAATTTTTTTTTAAATCATCGTCTGCTGATCTGATAAAGTGCCTCACATTTTAAACCAGAATCCTGCTCTTAAAAAGTCATTAATTTACAAGAGCGAAACTTGATCTCGAGTACATAATTGAATGACAAAATAATAGCCTTTTGGGAAAACAGCGAACGACGTATCAAAAAGATGAAATCATATTTTGTCAAAAGAAATATGAAGGAAATAATAACTCAGTTCTGATGAGATTTAGGTTTCTAATTCGCTAATAGTATCAGACTACAATTTAAAATAAATCTATTATCGTATTGTTTAAAGGTCTGGTCAAATCAAGAAAAGCAGTTTTCACCTGGTGAGTTTCGTGTGATGTAAAATGATATCAGTTACAACCGAGGAAAAATATGTAGTTACGGTATATTTTGAATTATCATAGACACAAAAGAACAAGTTTCTTCCCCATCTTGCAAGGAACTGTTTCTTAAGAATAAGTAAGTTGAACTTTTATCTAATATATCCTAAGAATTAGCTTCATTTACCAATTACTTTCATCTGATTATTTTGTAATATTTCATATTATCGTAAGATTAGCGTTTGTATCACGTGCTATATGTATAAACATTCTGCTTTACTTTCCCTTTTTTAGATCATTGCCTGATGGTGTCCACACTCTACAGCAAAATTCCTCTTCGTCACCATATAAGGCATATTGTCACATGACAGATATACCAGGATGTGGGGGTGGGGGCTGGACACTAGTGATAAAGTTCGATGGGAATAAGGTTAGATCAAATAATTTTCTTTTTAACCATGCACAACTACATGCCTGGGATGCTACGATCGCCCTAATTCCAGCTTTTGTAGTCTTGTGCTTAGTTGTTCTTGGTGAACAGACAGAAGCGCTTCATATTGTAATTATGATGTAAAAAGTATCTATGTATTTTCTTAGAATACATTCATTTATAATTCCCAACTGTGGACGAACAAGGAGACATACGCGATGCAAGATGGTTTGGAAGGACTGACAAAGAAAGAAAGCAAGTTGGCTTCGTACTGGAAAACACCGTTCACAAAGGTTTGCCTGGGTATGTCGTATAACGGAAACAGAAAATGGATGACCTTCGACTACACCGCACGTTCGCTGTACAGTGTGATCGCAGACGGCCAATTCAGGGCAACGACCGCTGGCAGAGCTGCATGGAAATCCCTGATCGCGGAGTCTTCACTGCAGTTGAACTGCAACAAGGAAGGGTTTAATGTACTCCAAAGAAGTAAAATCCGTATTGGTATCGTTGCAAATGAACAAAATGATTGTAACTCGTGCGATTCATGGCTTGGATTTGGAACAGCGATCAATGGGAAGACTTCTGGCAATGTCGCCGCCTACTCAACGGACAACGGTGACAAAGATTTAGCGACATTTGCATATTTTCTCGTTCAATAGTTACCTAAAATACTTTGCGTATTTCTTGAGTCTGGTCTCAATTCAGAAAATACTAGGCACTCGGATTACGACACGACAAAAAAAATACGTAGCTTGTATAATTTGCAAAGGTTGTTTCGAAGATGGTAATCCATCTCCATCGCGCTGTCAGTCTATTCTATTATTAAGGCGAATTGGTTTTTAGTTGTCGAACGATATCCTTTTCGTAACATATGAAAGAAAAATTAGCAAATATCGACGTCTCCTCCAAAATCATGGTGCAATTGATATTTAATGGATAATAGGCTATTCAACAAGCCCGTTGTTTGACAAAGCATCCAACGTTCTCGTCATGTTCAACGTTTGTCATCTATGCGACGTGCTATTGTTCTAAATAGTAGTGAGTATGGGATATACAACGGCAACGGCAAAATATATTCACCTAATACTGCGGTATATTCGAAGAAAAAAAGGAGTTAGTATCGACTTGATTTGCCTCTTCAAGTTTCTTCTTCCTCTGAAACAGTTATTAACTGGTATAAATATGGTCGATCAGCAAAATTGTTTCTAACACTCCAAACAACATCGAACCCATTAACTGTTGCCGCGTTGTCTTGTACCGTGAAATTGGTGTAAGTCACGATGCCGTTTCACCAACTACGGCAGTGTGCAACGTTAAAGGCCACGTAATTTACTTATTTTTTTGTCTTGATCAATGTCTTAAAGGATCGGTGTTGAAGTAAAAACTAAAATCTGAGACACATTTCGAACAATTTCAAATTAGCGCCCTGGAATATTGGTCGACAGCAGTTCTGTTTTTAAGAATATTGCATGCAAATTTGTCCCTTCTTTCATTACCACGATTGGACGTAGACTTTCGCAAGACGTATTAGAAACAGGACAGACCCCAGCGGTACTCATTATATATATACTTGTGTCATGAGGGAAGGACCTGGAGACGTCTCTAATGGTTTGCACGCAGGATTAGCTTTTCAAAAAATTCATCATAAGCCGGCTCTTGTGTACTCTTTTTACCACATGCATAAACAATTTCCCAATTCCCATGGTGCACTTTGTAAGTTTACTATTAATAGTTTATCTGTTGAACTAATGCGCAAAATATAACTATATTTATATGCACGACACTCGTGATTGAACTTAGATTTTCCTGTCAGTGGGATGGAAAGTTGATGTATAGCTACTAAGGCTAGTTTACCCACTTAATTTCTTATACTCGCTTAAATGCAAGTAAAAATTATTTATTGACAGCCGAATTAATTAGAAATTTTAAAAGGCCTTGAGGCAGACTCATCCCCACTATCTTAAAATTCTTAGATTATATGCAGTAATAATCACTTAAAATGCTATTAATCGCCAATTATTATTCAAACCTGAAAGGCAACCATCAGAAGCAGAGCGCGTTTGTATCGATCATTTCGTTTTAAACTATTGTAAACATCAATAATTTTACAGAAAACCTTAATCAATTAAACTCTCATATATAACTACCATGTCATAATTTTTGTAAGGCGTGCAGCCTCGTAAATAATTAAGTGATATACAGGGTGTATAAAAAAGAAGATCTTTAGAAATTAAGCTAAGTTAATTTAAATGCCCCGTCACTACTCTAAGCCTTCGGATGCGTAAAATATTGTCAGATTTGTGCATATATTACATAACTTTGTCACAAGCACAAAAGCCATTACAGTTGGTTTGACATTACAGTCGGATTCAAGTTTTTCAACAAACATTACACGTTCGAGTTCCGAACCATATTTGGAAATTGACAAGTGGGCGGGGAAATTGCCAATTACGTTAGGAAGTTCAAAACAAACTTCCGGACTTCGACTTATAATTTGGAAGTTAATTTTTTGTAAACAACTTGCAAGTTGCAAAACAAGTTAACTATGAATAACCCGACATCAAGACCAAGCGGTCCCGATTAATATCAGAAAAGTAATAGTAAATTTGTTCATAATAATCCATCCGTTGTGATAATACGGTGACAGACGCAGTTTTTTATGACATCTTCGTTAGAACTGACGAAATGAATTTCCAAATTTCAAGTCGAAGTTCGGGAGTTTGTTTGGAACATGCTAACGTAATTGGCGATTTCCCCGCCCACTTGTCAATTTCCAAATATGGTTCGGAACTCGAGCGTGTAAAGTTTGTTGAAAGCGACTGTTAAATGATCGAGAACACAGCTTAAAATGTACGCACTACTTAAAGTATGTCTGCTATGTATAACAATGCTTGCGCTGAGCGAATGCACAGACGAAGCTATGTTTCGCAAGCGTGTTGGAAAGTACTTGCCGAATAATGTTTTTCGGACAGAAAAAGCGCAAAGCGAGTCAGGATGTGGCATGTATTGCCTACGCCATCGGTCGTGTTTGTCCGTGAATTATAAGACTGCTGGAGTTCATAAAGGCAAATGTGAGCTGAACAGTGACGTGTTAAAAGATCTGTCATCGAAAGAGAACGCACATTATTCTGAATATGTTTATCTTGAAAAGGTAGGAAAATTTTACACTGTTAAATTTATGTACCTTCATTAATCTTTATCTCATGGCGTGTATTTTCGATTGGAAAATCAATGACATATTTGTACATAGTTCTCACAAGATAGGATAGAAATATTAGTATAACAAGGCCTTTTTTGAAGATATGTAGCTACAAAAACTGTACAATATATTTATCTCTCACTTCAAAGTTACAATGTCGCCTATACGTGCACGTCAGGGAGTTTTTTCAGGGCTTCTTAAATAATTAGAATATAATAATCAGTTTGTAGTTGCACCATGGACGTATATTCACTAACGCAATTAAAGCATCCGGTCGATCAGTTTACTCGGGCCTTCATCGTCAATCTCCATATTTCTCCCGTCTCGAATTTCCGACTGCATGACTGTAAAACGAGGTTTTAGAAAATTGATTTATAAATCTATAGCTTTGGGATGTTCTGTTGATTCGATTAATGGAATTTTTCCAAATTTGTCTGTAACTACGCAGAAATTATAGATGTAACTATAATTCCTCTCCACTTCAAATATTACAGGTAAGAGTTTCTTTTCGCGACTTGGAGGCGCTGCGCAGGTGCTTTGCAGGTCTCGTGTTTCATCTGCGTTGAATTCTTTAGACGGGTATTTTTTGCTCGTATACATGTTTTCTGCTTTAGCACATTTTAGAAGTTTTTTTTTATTTCTTACAGTGTCATTTAAGGGTCCAAAGGGTATTGAAAAAAACCTTATGATCTGTCACTATGCTTCAATTTTACAGATCAACAGCGATTCAGCGTGCGTCATCTATATACCTTTCTAATATTATATCAATATACAAACAAATCACAAAAGGATATCTCATATTGGCATATTTACCCATATAGCTGTCATATATAGGAGTATAACCAGGAATTTTTGAAGAAATGTACAAAAGACAATAATAGCTATATCCATCCCTTACTTCAAAGTTATAATGTAACCTGTACGTGCACTTCAGGGATATTACACAATGGAATTAAATTTCTACTTAACTACTTTAATTGATTTGAATTGAAGTTTGACAGCGAGGCGTTTAGCGTGTGAACATTTGAAATGACATGAAGTTCGAATTAAAACAGAACGTATATAGTATATACGATGCAATAAGGGGAACACAATCTATTTGTGTATGGTCGTTTGATGATGGGGAAAAGAAAGAAATTCGTAAAAAACGTACGTCACAAAATGCACATTAATTGACAACAAACGGTTTTTACGTTATAATATATAATGTACACATGAAAAGGTGTAACACGCAAATTTACATAATTATTATCTCGTCAGGCTGTCCCTGTCCATTTAAAAATATACATTATTTGACACGCCTTTTTCGCACTAATGGATATTTATTTAAGCTAGTCTACCGAGGTACGGGTACAAAAATAACACAATTATATATTTGAAGACCGCAAGTTAGATTGCCACTAAACCATTTTTCTTTAAATCATCGTCTGCTGATTTATTTCTGATAAAGTGAATCACGTAATGCCGACTTATTTTAAGCCAGAATCCTCCTATTAAAAAATCATTAACAAGAGCGAAACTCGATCTCCAGAACATAATTGACTGACAAAATAATAGCCTTTTGGGAAAACAGCGAACAACGTAATCATATTTTGTCAAACGAAATATGAAGGAAATAATAACTCAGTTCTGATAACATTTAGGTTTCTGATCCGCTAATATATCAGACTACAATTTAAAATGAATCTATTATCGTATTGTTTAAAGGTCTGGTCAAATCAAGAGAACGAGTTTTCACCTGGTGAGTTACGTATAATGTAATATGATATCAGTTACAACCGAGGAAAAATATGTAGTTATGGTATATTTTGAATTATCATAGACACAAAAGAACAAGTTTCTTCCCCATCTTGCAAGGAACTGTTTCTTAAGAATAAGTAAGTTGAACCTTTATCTAATGTAACCTAAGAATTAGCTTCATTTACCAATTACTTTCATCTGATAATTTTGTATTATTTTAGATTATCGCAAGTTTAGCGTTTGTATCACGTGCTATATTTATAAACATTCTGCTTTACTTTCCCTTTTTTAGATCATTGCCTGATGGTGTCCACACTCTACATCAAAATTCCTCTTCGCCACCATATAAGGCATATTGTCACATGACAAATATACCAGGATGTGGGGGTGGGGGCTGGACACTAGTGATGAAGCTCGATGGGAATAAGGTTAGATCAAATAATTTTCTTTTAACCAGATCTAGATTTCTAGGATATTACGATCGCCCTAATTCCAGCGTTTGTAGTCTTGTTCAGTTTTCTCGCTGAACAGCCAGAAGCGCTTCATATTGTAATTATGATGCATAAAGTATCTACGTATTTTCTTAGAATACATTCATTTACAATTCCCAACTGTGGACGAACAACGAGACATACGCGATACAAGATGGTTTAGAAGGACTGACAAAGAAAGAAAGCAAGTTGGCTTCGTATTGGAATACTCCGTTCACAAAGATATGCCTGGGTATGTCTTATAACGGAAACAGAAAATGGATGAGCTTCGACTACACCGCAAGTTCGCTGTACAGTATGATCGCAGATGGTCAATTCAGGGCAACGCCCGCTGGCCGAACTGCATGGTTATCCTTGATTGCAGATTTTTCGTTACAACCAAACTGCAACGTGGAGGGCTTTAATGTTAGGGAATATCGCGAGTTGCGAATTGGATTCGTTGGCAACAATGAAAACGACTGTCGCACCTGCGATACTTGGATTGGAATGGGCATTGCTCATGCGGGAATGATTTGTTCTGCTAGCGGCACGATTGGCGGTGGGCAATGGCAAATATTAAAGACTTTTGGGTATATTCTTGTTCAGTAACAATCGTAATGTTATAACAGTCCGGTCACTTACACTGGACCATAATCCTATTAAACTGAGTTAAAAACTAGGAAAATTCACCAATATTGCTGTTAAAAGCATCCTGCAATTAGTGAAATTCGAAAGTTTACTTGCGAAATATCGAAAAACCTAATTTTGCAGTTTAATTTTGGCAAATCTTATATTAACAAGATGCCTGTTCTGTTGTTAACTTCGGCGTACCGTGCACGTTCTGGTCTTCAATATAAGGGAACATAAACAATACAGTTCATACTCATTTAGATGGCTTGCCAACCTACTAATCGCATCATGCGAGCGAAATCGAATCGCGCAACGGAAAATTAGCCAAAGCTGTGCACCACAACTCTTGGGAGACAAAACTGTGACGTACATAAATACAGGTAAAAGGAAACCGCCATCAGAAGGAGAGTGCGTGTGCATCCATTACTTTGTTTTAAATTATTGTAATTTGTAAACATAAATCCTTTTACCGAAAACTTTAATCAATTAAACTGTCAAATAACTAAATTGCATGTCACTGATGTCAGCCACATAAATAAAAGAACCAATCAATTGTGAAACGCAGCCAAGTAAATAATTTAGTGGTATATACGATATTTGATATTTGATTTGATAATTTCTTTAACCCAGTTTAACATGTACGCTCTACTTAAAGCATGTCTGCTATGTACAACAATGCCTGCGCTGAGCAAATGCACAGACGAGGCTGTGTTTCGCAAGCGTGTTGGAAAGAAAGTACTTGGCGAATAATGTTTTTCGGACAGAAAAAGCGCAAAGCGAGTCAGAATGTGGCATGTATTGCCTACGCCATCGGTCGTGTTTGTCCGTGAATTATAAGATTGCTGGAAAACATAAAGGCAAATGTGAGCTGAACAACAAAGTTGCAAAAGATCTGTCGTCGAAAGAGAACGGACATTATTCTGAATATGTCCATCTTGAAAAGGTAGGAATAGTAATTTTACACTGTTAAATTTATGTACTTTTATGCATGGCTTGTATTTCCGAATTGACAAAATAATTGTTTCCAATTAGTCAACGCACATAGTACTTGCATGCAGGCAGCAGATGGCTTATAAAATACTCAGCGCTGCAAGATTATTTCATCACAATGTGTATTTTTCAGTTAAAAGCATTACACAATGAAATCAAATTTGTGCTTGATGGCTTTTTAATTAAAGTGCGCCGATGGGATATTTGACAAACGTTGTTAGGATGAGTTTGTATGATATTGAAAACGTTTGGTTTTAGCAATGCCATAAGATATAGAATATAGGAATATTATGTAGAATTTTTTAAGTAATGTACAGAAGACTACAATATATTCATTCCTCACTTCGAGGGATGAACGTAGCCTGTGCGTGCACGTCAGGGATTTTTTTTCAGGCTGCGAGAATCCTGACAGCTGCATGTACATTCATTAACGCAATTAAAGCATCCGGTCGATCAGTTTACCCGAGCTTTCATTCCGGCCCGCAATCTCCATCTATTTCTCTTCTCAAATTTACGACTGACGGTCAAAAGAGGTTTCAGAAAATTGACGATGGGACGTTCATTTGATTCGATAAATGGAATTTCCGAAATTTGTCTGTTATACGACGCAGAAATTATAGCTAATTCCTACTCTCCACTTAAAAGAGTCCTCTTAATTTCAGCGCGCTATTGCAGTATAAATAGCTTTTTAATAAATTCTCATTTACGTATGAAAGGAGACAATCGTTATTGAAATATTATATATTATATTGAAATTGATATATAGTAATTATGTTATACATATGCACGTATATTAAAATGGGCATTTTCTTTACCGCCAAGCAAAATGTACGCCTTACTAAAAGTCTGTCTACTATTTATCACCTTGAAAAATCCTGCGCTAAGTAAATGCATGGACGAAGCTGTGTTTAGGAAACATGTTGGAATCTATCTGGCGAACTACGTTTTTCGGACAGAAAAAGCGAAAAGCGAGTCAGAATGTGGCATGTATTGCCTGCGTTGCCTGGCGTGTTTGTCAGCGAATTATAAGACTGCTGGAGTTCGTCAAGGCGAATGTGAGTTGAACAGTAATGTTGCGAAAGATCCTTCGACGAAGAAAAATAAACTTTTCTCTGAATATGTTCATCTTGAAAAGGTAGGAATAGCCGGCGAAACGATAGACAGTCCGTATATCATTTATGTATAAGTTATCCTTGGTATTAATTAACAAAAATGAAAATATCAAAGTTAATACAGCTAAACTTCCACTGACTTAAGATATACTTTCGATCAGGAGAAATTATGAAAACTATAAATAAACTTCGATTTAAAACCTATATTTACATATTTTCATGCATGTGGCAATATGCAATTTTCAGTATCCTACATAAATATATTCCCCATCGCGTATGTGGCCTATGTTGCATGTCTGTTAAAATAGTAGCCTACATAATGGAATAAAATTTATACTTTAATTCGTTTTAATTAAAGATAACGAAGCATTTAGCGTGTGAACATTTGAAATGACATGAAGTTCGAATTAAAATAAAACGTATATATAATAATAATATATACGATGCAATAAGGGGAACACAATCTATTTGCAAAGAAATTCGTAAGAAATGTATCGTACTAAATAAATATATCCTGCCCTGCATAGTGATATTCTTGGGCATAAAAAGGATTCTTCCTCTGATAGTGCATGGGAACCCTGATGACTGCAAGCAGGTGTATTCGATGTTTTTTGCTCCGGCGCCAGCGACGGAGCTGAAAATTCGCCTCGGTTTTTTTTATTTTTCGTCGTTGCAAGTGCATGCATGTGTAATGGCGCGAAATATACTATGCGGGAGAGTTCGTCACACTAACTCTCCTGACAAAGGCCCTCAGGTCGAAATATCGAGAAGTGTTTCGTCTATTTTAGGCAGTTGTTATACCACATTTGATTCTAATTTGACAATAAATGGCTTTTAACGGGCACATCTAAAAAATCCATTGCATCGTTTTCCAGGTTTGGTTAAAAGAAGAAAAAACGAATTCAGCAGGTATTTTGATCGTAAATTATCCCAAAAAAATGGATTTTAAATATAGATTGAATAACTATGTGCCATCTTGGATTATCAATTTTAGAAAAAAACACCCTTTCTTCATCTTGCAAGGAGTTATTTTTAAAGAATAGGTAAGAACCATGATCTATGCCTTTGAAAAATTCTAATAAAAAATGATAAATCAACTAAAAGTTCTTAGTATCTTGATAAAGATGTATTATCCTTGTATTTAGGCCACTGCCTGACGCCACCTACACTTTGCAGAAGAATTTTCAGTCTCCGTCGTATAAAGTGTTCTGTCACATGACAGATATCTCAGGATGTGGGGGTGGGGGTTGGACACTAGTCATGAAGGCTGATGGGAAAAAGGTTAAATTTTACTTAAAAAGTCTAGCGCTTCTGATTATTTTTCCCGAAAATTTTGGGTTTTAACACGAAATTTTTATTTTGCAGGATACATTTATCTATGGTTCTTCCCTGTGGACAAACAACGAGACATACGCGATACAAGATGGTCTGGAAGGACTGACAGAGAAAGAAAGCAAGTTGGCTTCGTACTGGAATACTCCGTTCACAAAGATATGCCTGGGTATGTTGTATAACGGAGACAGAAAATGGATGCGCTTAAACTACAACGCAAGTTCGCTGTACGGCGCGATCGCAGACGGCCAATTCAGGGCAACGACCGCCGGCAGAGCTGCATGGAAATCCCTGATCGCGGAGTCCTCACTACAGTTGAACTGCAACAAGGAAGGGTTTAATGTACTCCGTGTAACCAACAATAAAATCCGTATTGGTATCGTTGCAAATGAACAAAATAATTGTAACTCGTGCGATTCGTGGCTTGGATTTGGAACAACGATCAATGGGAAGACTTGTGGTAATTTCGCCGTCCACTCACCGGATAACGGTGACAAAGATTTAGTGACATTTGCATATATTCTCGTTCAATAGTTATCTAAAATACTTTGCGTATTTCTTGAGTCTCGTCTCAATTCAGAAAATACCAGGCACTCGGATTACGACACGACAAAGAAATACGTAGCTAACTTGTGTAATTTGCAGTTGTTTTGGCGGTTTTAATGTTTCCTGTCAGCTCTTATATATCATTCATGTTAGAAATCAAACGAGAAATCAGTTTTAAGAATATTGCATGCAAATTTGTCCCTTCTTTCATTACCACGATTGGACGTAGACTTTCGCAAGACGTATTAGAAACAGGACAGACCCCAGCGGTACTCATTATATATATACTTGTGTCATGAGGGAAAGACCTGGAGACGTCTCCTATGGTTTGCACGCAGGATTAGCTTTTCGAAAAATTCATCATAAGCCGGCTCTTGTGCACTCTTTTTACCACATGCATAAACAATTTTCCAATTCCCATGGTGCACTTTGTAAGTTTACTATTAATAGTTTACCTGTTCAACTATTGCGCAAAATATAACTATATTTATATTGACGACACTCGTGATTGAACTTAGATTTTCCTGTCAGTGGGATGGAAAGTTGATGTACATAGCTACTAATTTCTTACTCGCTCAAATGCAAGTAAATATTATTTATTGACAGCCGAATTAATTAGAAATTTTAAAAGGCCTTGAGGCAGACTCATCCCCACTATCCTAAAATTCTTAGATTATATGCAGTAATAATCACTTAAAATGTTATTAATCGCCAATTATTATTCAAACCTGAAAGGCAACCATCAGAAGCAGAGCGCGTGTGTATCGATCATTTTGTTTTAAACTATTGTAAACATCAATCATTTTACAGAAAACCTTAATCAATTAAACTGTCATATATAACTACGTAGCATGTCAGAATTTTTGTAAGGCGTGCAGCCTCGTAAATAATTAAGTGATATACAGGGTGTATAAAAAAGAAGATCATTTAGAAATTAAACTAAGTTAATTTAAATGCCCCGTCACTACTCTAAGCCTTCGGATGCGTAAAATATTGTCAGCTTTGTGCATATATTACATAACTTTGTCACAAGCACAAAAGCCATTACAGTTGGTTTGACATTACATTCGGATTCAAGTTTTCAACAAGCTTTACACGTTCGAGTTCCGAACCATATTTGGAAATTGACAAGTGGGCGGGGAAATTGCCAATTACGTTAGGAAGTTCAAAATAAACTTCCGGACTTCGACTTGAAATTTGGAAGTTCATTTTTTGTAAACAACTTGCAAGTTGCAAAACAAGTTAACTATGAATACCCGACATCAAGACCAAGCGGTCTCGATTAATATCAGAAAAGTAATAGTAAATCTCTTAATAATAATCCATCCGTTGTGATAATACGGCGACAGACGCAGTTTTTTATGACATCTTCGCTAGAACTGACGAAATGAATTTCCGAATTCAAGTCGAAGTTCGGGAGTTTGTTTTGAACATCCTAACGTAATTGGCGATTTCTCCGCCCACTTGTCAATTTCCAAATATGGTTCGGAACTCGAACGTGTAAAGTTTGTTGAAAGCGACTGTTAAATGATCGAGAACATAGCTTAAAATGTACACACTACTTAAAGCATGTCTGCTATGTATAACAATGCTTGCGCTGAGCGAATGCACAGACGAAGCTATGTTTCGCAAGCGTGTTGGAAAGTACTTGGCGAATAATGTTTTTCGGACAGAAAAAGCACAAAGCGAGTCAGAATGTGGCATGTATTGCCTACGCTATCGGTCGTGTTTGTCCGTGAATTATAAGACTGCTGGAGTTCATAAAGGCAAATGTGAGCTGAACAGTGAAGTGTTAAAAGATCTGTCATCGAAAGAGAACGCACATTATTCTGAATATGTTTATCTTGAGAAGGTAGGGAAAATTTTACACTGTTAATTAAATTCATGTACTTTTATCAATCTTTATCTCATGGCGTGTATTTTCGATTGGAAAAACAATGGCATGTTTGTACATAGTTCTCACAAGATAGGATAGAAATATTAGTATAACAAGGCCTTTTTTGAAGATATGTAGCTACAAAAACTGTACAATATATTCATCTCTCACTTCAAAGTTAAAACGTCGTCTATACGTGCACATCAGGGAGTTTTTCAGGCTGCGGCTTTTAAAATTAGATAATTAGAATATAAATAATCAGCTTGTAGTTGCACCATGGACGTATATTCACTAACGCAATTAAAGCATCCGGTCGATCAGTTTACTCGGGCCTTCATCGTCAATCTCCATATTTCTCCCGTCTCGAATTTCCGACTGCATGACTGTAAAACGAGGTTTTAGAAAATTGATTTATAAATCTATAGCTTTGGGATGTTCTGTTGATTCGATTAATGGAAATTTTCCAAATTTTCCTGTAACTACGCAGAAATTATAGATGTAACTATAATTCCTCTCCACTTCAAATATTACAGGTAAGAGTTTCTTTTCGCGACTTGGAGGCGCTGCGCAGGTGCTTTGCAGGTCTCGTGTTTCATCTGCGTTGAATTCTTTAGACGGGTATTTTTTGCTCGTATACATGTTTTCTGCTTTAGCACATTTTAGAAGTTTTTTTCATTTCTTACAGTGTCATTTAAGGGTCCAAAGGGTATTGAAAAAAACCTTATGATCTGTCACTATGCTTCAATTTTACAGATCAACAGCGATTCAGCGTGCGTCATCTATATACCTTTCTAATATTATATCAATATACACACAAATCCCAAAAGGATACCTCACTTAATTTCAGCGCGCTATTGTAATAGCTAACACGCAAATTTACATAATTATTATCTCGTCAGGCTCTCTTTGTCCATCTAAAAATATACATTGTTTGACACGCCTTTTTCGCACTAATGGATATTTATTTAAGCTCGTCTACCGAGGTACGGGTAAAAAAAATAACACAATTATATATTTGAAGACCGCAAGATAGCTTGCCACTACACCATTTTTCTTTAAATCATCGTCTACTGATCTGATAAAGTGACTCACGTAATGCCAACTTATTTTAAACCAGAATCCTGCTCTTAAAAAATCATTAACAAGAGCGAAACTCGGTCTTCAGTACATAATTGAATGACAAAATAATAGCCTTTTGGGAAAACAGCGAACGACGTATCCAAAAGATGAAATCATATTTTGTCAAACGAAATATGAAGGAAATAATAACTCAGTTCTGATGAAATTTAGGTTTCTGATTTCCCAATATATCAGACTACAATTTAAAATAAATCTATTATTATCGCATTGTTTAAAGGTCTGGTCAAATCAAGAGAACGAGTTTTCACCTGGTGAGTTTCGTGTAACTGGTGAGTTCGTGTAATGTAAAATGATATCAGTTACAACCGAGGAAAGATATGTAGTTACGGTATATTTTGAATTATCATAGACACAAAAGAGCAAGTTTCTTCCCCATCTTGCAAGGAACTGTTTCTTAAGCATGAGTAAGTTGAACTTTTATCTAATAATATATCCTAAGAGTTATAGCTTCATTTACCAATTACTTTCGTCTGATTACCTTGTATTATTTTAAATTGTCGCAAGTTTAGCGTTTGTATCTCGTGCTCTATGTATAAAAATCCTGCTTTACTTTCACTTTTTTAGATCATTGCCTGATGGTATCCACACTCTACAGCAAAATTTCTCTTCGTCACCATATAAGGCATATTGTCACATGACAGATATCCCAGGATGTGGGGGAGGAGGCTGGACACTAGTGATGAAGCTCGATGGAAATAAGGTTAGATCAAATAATTTTCTTTTTAACTAGAACTAGATTTCTAAGTCGCCCTAATTCCAGCTTTTGTAGTCTTGTGTTTAGTTTTTCTCGCTGAACAGCCAGAAGCGCTTGATATTGTAATTATGATGTATAAGGTATCTATGTATTTTCTTAGAATACATTCATTTATGATTCTAAACTGTGGACGAGCAAGGAGACATACGCGATACAAGATGGTTTGGAAGGACTGGCAAAGAAAGAAAGCAAGTTAGATTCTTACTGGAAAACACCGTTCACAAAGGTTTGCCTCGGCATGTCGTATAACGGAAACAGAAAATGGATGAGCTTCGACTACACCGCCAATTCGCTGTACAGTGCGATAGCTGACGGCACATTTAGGGCAACTACCGCTGGCAGAGCAGCATGGAAATCGCTGGTCAGGGACTCGTCACTACAAAGGAACTGCAACAAGGAAGGGTTTAATGTCTTTTCGAGAATGCGAATTGGATTATTTGCCAATCAAGAAAACGATTGTTACTCGTGCGACTCTTGGATTGGTTTTGGAACACAGTACAGTGGAAAGACTTGTGCTAATTATGCTTACCACCACTCTCCTGATAACGGAAACAAAGACCTAGTGACATTCGGATACATTCTTGTTTATTAATAACCTTCAAAAGGAAGCCTTACACTAAAGATCTAAGACTAAGTTCAGATATGATATATTATAGTTATACGTAGCTTCGTATAAATTCTTGACACATGCCTGAAGGATGTGTGAGGAACTCCTGCGTGCCGCGCACGTGCCAGTCTTCAATATAAAGCTTCTGAACATAAACAATACAGCTCGTACGCATTTAACTTAGATGTCTTGCGAATCTAAATGTTGTTCGATCGCGACATTCAGAAGCACATCGTACTTTAAAAAGTATAGAAGTTCAATTGTTGTCTTACACTTTGTCTTACACTTTGCTTTTGGAATTCGCGCTTATATTAAATCTTCAATCCTGTGAAAGCGCCCCGGAATTGGTCGACAGCAGTTTTGTTTTTAAGAATATTGCGTGCAAATTTGTTTCAAAGCGATCCCTTCTTTCATTACCACGATTGGCTTAGAGTTTCGCAAGACGTATTAGAAACACGACAGACCCCAGCAGTACTAATGATATATACTTGTGTCATGAGTGAAGGACCTGGAGACGTCTCCTATGGCTTGCACGCAGAATTAGCTTTTCGAAAAATTCATCATAAACCGACTTTTGTGTACTCTTTTTATTTACTACATAAAGCAATTTCCTAATTCTCGTGGCGCACTTTGTAAATTTACTATTAAAAGTTTACCTGTTGAACTAATGCGCAAAATATAGCGATATTTATATGCACGATACTGTTGATTGAACTTAAATTTTCCTGTCAATGGGATAGAAAGTTAATGTATAGCTAGTAAGGCTAGCTTACCCACTTAATTTCTTACCGGCTTATTGACAGCCGAATTAATTAGAAATTTTAAAAGGCCTTGAGGCAGACTCATCCCCACTATCTTAAAATTCTTAGATTATATGCAGTAATAATCACTTAAAATGCTATTTATCACCAAATATCATTCAAACCTAAAAGGAAACCGCCTTCAGAAGCAAGGTGCGTGTGCATCGATCACTTTGTTTTAAATTATTGTAGACATAAATCCCTTTACAGAAAACCTTAATCAATTAAATTGTCATATAACTAAATTGCATGTCAGCCAGATATATAAGATAACCAATCAGTTGTGAAAGGCTGCATACAGCCTCCTAAATAATTAAGTGGTATACTTGACATTAAAATGATCGCATTTCTTTCATCCAGTTTAAAATGTACGCTCTAATGTACGCTCTTAAAGCATGTCTGCTATGTATAACAATGCCTGCGCTGAGCGAATGCACAGACGAAGCTATGTTTCGCAAGCGTGTTGGAAAGTACTTGGCGAATAATGTTTTTCGAACAGAAAAAGCGCAAAGCGAGTCTGAATGTGGCATGTATTGCCTACGCCATCGGTCGTGTTTGTCCGTGAATTATAAGATTGCTGGAAAACATAAAGGCAAATGTGAGCTGAACAGTGAAGTGTTAAAAGATCTATCGTCGAAAGAGAACGGACATTATTCTGAATATGTCCATCTTGAAAAGGTAGAAATAGTGATTTTATACTGTTAAATTTATGTGCTTCCATTAATCTTTATCTCATGGCTTGTATTTTCGATTGGACAAAATCATAATTTTTTTTATTATTTTTTCATTGACTTTCCAAGTAATCGCGAATACTGCAGTAGATGGCATATAAAATTCTCAGCCCTATACATGATAGGCGTTTCTCGATTAAAAGCATTACACAATGAAGGCAAATTAATTAATGGCTTTCTAATTAAAGTGCGCCGATGGGATATTTGCCAAACGTTGGTAGGATGAGTTTGCATGATATTGAAAACGTTTTATTTAAGAAAATACGCTGCTTTTCACAATGACATATTTACACATATAGCTGTCATATATAGGAGTATAAAAAGGAATTTTTGAAGAAATGTACAAAAGACTACAATAGCTATATCCATCCCTTACTTTAAAGTTATAACGTAGCCTGTACGTGCACTTCAGGGATATTACATAATGGAATTAAATTTCTACTTAACTACTTTAATTGGTTTTAATTGATAACAAACGGTTTTTGCGTTATAATATATAATGTACACAAGTACAGGTGTAACACGCAAATTTACATAATTATTATCTCGCCAGGCTTTCCGTTTCCATTTAAAAACATATTGTTTGTCACGCCTTTTTCGCACTACCGGTACAAAAAATAACACAACTATATATATTTGAAGACCGCAAGTTAGCTTGCCACTAAACCATTTTTCTTTAAATCATCGTCTGCTGATCTTATAAAGTGACTCACGTAATGCCAACTTATTTTAAGCCAGAATCCTGCTCTTAAAAAATCATTATTAACAAGAGCAAAACTCGATCTCCAGAACATAATTGACTGACAAAATAATAGCCTTTTGTGGGAAAACAGCGAACGACGTATCCAAAAGATGAAATCATATTTTGTCAAACGAAATATGAAGGAAATAATAGCTCAGTTCTGATGAGATTTAGGTTTCTGATACGCTAATAAGTCAGACTACAATTTAAAATAAATCTATTATCGTATTGTTTAAAGGTCTGGTCAAATCAAGAGAACGAGTTTTCACCTGGTGAGTTTCGTGTAATTTGAAATGATATCAGTTACAACCGAGGGAAAATATATAGTTACGGTATATTTTGAATTATCATAGACACAAAAGAACAAGTTTCTTCCCCATCTTGCAAGAAACTGTTTCTTAAGAATAAGTAAGTTGAACTTTTATCTAATATATCCTAAGAATTAGCTTCATTTACCAATTACTTTCATCTGATTACTTTGTATAATTTCAAACTATCGCGCTTGTATCACATGCTATATGTATAAACATCCTGCTTTACTTCCCTTTTTTAGATCATTGCCTAATGGTGTCCACACTTTACAGCAAAATTCCTCTTCGTCACCATATAAGGTCTATTGTCACATGACAGATATACCAGGATGTGGGGGTGGAGGCTGGACACTAGTGATGAAGCTCGACGGGAATAAGGTTAGATAAGATAATTTTCTTTTTAACTAGATCTAGATTTCTAGGATATTACGAACACCCAAATTCCAGCGTTTGTAGTCTTGTGTTTAGTTTTCTAGCTGAACAGCCAGAAACCCTTCACATTGTAATTATGATGTATAAAGTATGTATTTTCTTAGAATACATTCATTTATAATTCCAAACTGTGGACGAACAAGGAGACATACGCCATACAAGATGGTTTGGAAGGACTGGCAAAGAAAGAAAGCAAGTTAGATTCTTACTGCAAAACACCGTTCACAAAGATATGCCTGGGTATGTCGTATAACGGAGACAAAAGGTGGATGACCTTCAAATATACCGCAAGTTCGTTGTACAGTGTGTTAGCCGACGGACAATTTAGAGCAACGACCGCTGGCCGAACAGCATGGAAATCTCTGATCGCAGGCTCATCATTGCAGAGAAACTGCAATAAAGAGGGTTTTAATGTACTCCGTGTATATGACTATAAACTCCGTATTGGTATCGTTGCTAATGAACAAAATGATTGTAACTCGTGTGATTCTTGGCTTGGATTTGGAACAGCGATCAATGGGAAGACTTGCGGCAATTTCGCCGCCCACTCACCGGATAACGGTTACAAAGATTTAGTGACATTTGCATATATTCTGGTTCAATAGTTACCTAAAATACTTTGCGTGTTTCACGAGTCTCGTCTCAATTCAGAAAATACCAGGCACTCGGATTACGACACGATTAAATACGTAGCTTGTGTAATTTGCAAAGATTGTTTCGAAGATGGTAATCCATCTCCATCGCGCTGTCAGGCGATTAACGCGATGATATTCTATTATTAAGGCGAATTGGTTTTTAGTTGTCGAACGATATCCTTTTCGTAACATATGAAAGAAAAATTAGCAAATATTGACGTCTCCAAAATCGTGGTGTAATTGATACTAGTGCATGATAGGCTATTCAACATGCACGAGCATTGACAAAGTATCAAACTCTCGTCGTGTTTAACGTTTGTCATCTATGCGACGTGCTATTGTTCTAAATAGTAGTGAGTTTGGGATATACAACGGCAACAGCAACCGCAACCGGCAAAATATATTCACCTAACATTGTGGTATTCGAAGAAAATACGAGTTAGTATCGCTTTATCTTCAAGTTTCCTCTTTCTCTTAAACAGTTATTAATTATTATAAATATGGTCGATCAGTAAAATTGCTTCTAACACTCCAAACAACATCGAACACATTAACTGTTGCCGTGTTGTCTTGCACCGTGAAATTGGTGTAAGTCACGATGCCGTTTCACCAACTCCGGCGGTGTGCAACGTTACAGGCCACGTAATTTACACTTTCTTAATTTTGTCTTAAAGGATCAATGCCTTTGTTGATAAGGACGTTGCGGTTCCCAAACTCACAAGTGACTTTGAGGTATTGAGAAGTCTTTTTGAAACAGAACAATCACATGCTATTGTTAATATGATAACACGACTGCCAGAATTGTGTTATTTACTTATTTTATTACCTCAAAGTCCATTTTACGCTTTATTGAATCTCGTAACCTGGTTCATGTGAACAGCCCCTTTGAGAAAATAGTAAAATCTATCTTAATATTCATGCATCGTATATAAGCAGGATAACTCATTATTAGATCCGATATAGCTGTTATGCCTAGTCTCCATTCATCCGTTAGCTGTCGTTACATGTCTTTCCGTGTCTTTGGAATAATCGTGAAAGACCGATAACGGTTGAGAGAAACAGAAAACGACAGTGTCGCTCGAATAGAACAAATCCTATCTCAACGACATAAAAAGACAGGAAACGACATGATTCTTCCCATAATTCGTTATCGGTCTTTCACGATTATTCCAAAGACACGGAAAGACATGCATGTAACGACAGCTAACGACTGGATGGAAACAAGGCATTAATCATGCATGCGTTTGCTTTTAAAATCGTTTTCTACAAGCGCAAGCCGCAAAGTTGAAGCCTTCCCTGCAGCTAATCTAATTTCTTATTCAAGTAAATATTATTTACATAAGCCATGTTACATAATTTTGGTTTGCATGTTTAGATTGTTTTGGCGGTTTTAATGTTTCCTGTCAGCTCATATATATCACTCATGTTAGAAATCAAACGAGAAATCCGGTTATCTTAATTATATAATATTGCTTTTATTATTAAATTGTCAGCGATAAATTAAAAAAATTTAATATTGGAAGGCAGCCTGTTGTATAAAAAAGTTCATTAAACGCGATGTGTATTATATAAAAATTCCTGTCAAAACGCATCATTCATTAAAATGTACAGCTTGCTAAAAGCGTGTCTTTTATTTACCACCTTACAAAAGGCGAAGTTGTGTGAATGCACAAGCGAAGCTGTGTTTCGCAAACATGTTGGAAAATACTTGGCGGGTAAAGTTTTACGGACAGAGAAAGCCCAAAGCGAGTCAGAATGTGGCATGTATTGCCTACGCCATCGGTCGTGTTTGTCCGTGAATTATAAGACTGCGGGAGTTCACAAAGGAAAATGCGAGCTCAACAACGCTGTGGTAAAAGATCTATCGAAAAAAAAGCGTTACTCTGACGACGTGTATCTCGAAAAGGTAAGAATGGTTAAAACTCTTTCTTGTATCAGCTTCATTGTTAAATGCATAATTTTGAACATAATGTAATATTACATTCACTCATGTTGCAAATCCACAAAGAACTATAGCTATATATTTTACAGCCAGTGTGGAATCCGTTCTTCCTCAAATAATATTGTGTGTTTTCAATTCGATTTTCTTTTACATATCAGATAGCGAAATTGTTAATTTAAAAAAGGGAAGAATATTAGGCCTTGTTTAGCGAATTGTTTCTTATAATGTTCCCTCGTAAACAGAAGTGATTTTCAACATTACGATCATAAAAACACGAGTATAGTAACAAGAAGGAAGCGAGGAAGAAGCTATCAAATTTAAATTGCATGAAAGTACAGAAAGTATGTTGATTTTTCGGCGTCACAATAACCTCAATCTTCACAATCTTTATAATGTTTCTCGTTGACAAACCTGATTAAACGCTGATTAATCACACGGTTTTGACTTTCGACAAATTACGTCCTATTTGAATATATATAATATTTTATTGTTTTCAAGGTATGGCTGGACGACAAAAAAGAGGAACAAAGCGCCTTTGCTCCATCTTGCAAGGAAATGTTTGTCAGGGATGGGTGAGTGTAAAAATTATCTTGGAAGACAAAAGTTGAATATAATTGATAAATTTTTAGGCTTTCATTTCAAAGAAATTTGGTGTAAATGTATCTATATAGATCATTGCCTGACGGTGTCTACACTTTGCAGAAGAATCAATCCTCACCACCATATAAGGTATATTGTCACATGACAGATATCCCAGGATGTGGAGGTGGAGGTTGGACACTAGTGATGAAACTTGATGGAAAAAAGGTTGGAAGTGCCTATATCATGGTTGCGGATTTTGAATATATAAAAAAGTTTACGGTATTTTAAAAAACTTTACAATACATTTTGTTATTGAAAAAATTTGACTTGATGGATTAATGTTACCGGACATCACGTCAAATCGGGAATTTCGTGCAACTGAAACAAAAGAAAACCTATCTGCAATTCCCCATTAGACGTCATGTCCGGTAACTTTAAAGGCTAATAAATCCATCGCGAATTTTTTTTTTAATTAAAAATGTATTGCAAAGTTTTTTAAAATACCTTAAACTTTTGATGTATTCAAAATCTGCAACCATGATATCGTCACTTTAATCGTGACATGCATAGTGCATGCGTATCAACTTGTAATGAAAGTAGTCAATATATGTAATGAAAATATTCTACAAGTTTTACAATTTTTAACAGAACTTTCAACTTTCTATAGAGTACATTTATCTATGGTTCTCCCCTGTGGACGAACAAGGAGACACACGCGATACAAGATGGTCTGGAAGGACTGACAGAGAAAGAAAGCAAGTTGGCTTCGTATTGGAATACTCCGTTCACAAAGACATGCCTGGGCATGTCGCACAACGGAGACAGAAAATGGATGACCTTCGACTACACCGCAAGTTCGCTGTACAGTGTGATCGCAGATGGCCAATTTAGGGCAACGCCCGCTGGCCGAACTGCATGGTTATCCTGGATTGCAGACTTTTCGGTACAACCAAACTGTAACGTGGAGGGCTTTAATGTTAGGGAAAATATTGAATTGCGAATTGGACTCGTTGGCAACAATGAAAATGACTGTCGCACCTGCGATACTTGGATTGGAATGGGCACTACTCATAATAGAATGGTTTGTTCTGCAAATGGCTGGATTCGCGGTGGAGGACGGCAAACGTTGAAAACCTTTGGGTATATTCTTGTTCAGTAACACTCTTATAATGTCATAACAGTCCGGTAACTTACACTGGACCATAACCCTATTAAACTAAGTTAAAAACTAGGAGAATTGCCAATATTGCTGGTAAAAGCAACCTAAAGTTAGTGAAATTTGAAGGTTTACTTGCGAAATATCGAAAAACCTAATTTTGCCGTTTAATTTTGGCAAATTTCATTAATTTCAGGCGTTGAATAGCGTGATATCATGCAAGGTCGAATACTGTTAATTGTTGTCTAGTTCTTGCGTCCAAAAAAAATTAAAAACACCGCCTCAATGTGTTTAATATCGCACTGCACTTCCTTCAATAAAGTGTCGGAATATCGAAAAGAATTTCATTCGGAATTCGAAAGGTTATAATTATATAATCTTAAAATGTTCTCGCCGGGTCATAGCTACGAATATTAATGTTGTCATCTTTAAGGTTTCGATGAAGCAAGAAAAAGTCGTCCCACAAGGTTAAATTTGTTTAAATTAAAATATTTGAAGCTATCGAAACTTTCAGAATTTGCTTGAGTGTATATGCACAAAACAATAGCTTGGAAACGAGGCGGGAAATGAGATCCGTGTAGTTTATGGGATGGCTATGGGATGAACAAACTCAGCAAGTGTCTATTGCATCCGAAATGAGGCCGCAAGGTTGAGCCGGTTTTCCACTAGCGATATTTTTCGCGCGAAGCGACATTTTACTTTTGTTTCAGAGCTCTCAACTGCAGCCATCTGGAACAAATTGCTCAAATACAAAGGAATAAAGTCGCTTCGCGCGAAAAATATCGCTATTGGAAAACCAGCTTTAGGCTTTAAATTTGAGTTTTTATAATTTCAGAAACAAAACAAACCACCTCAATCATGCACGGAAAGTGTAAGTTAAAAAGCTATATGATAACACATGTCAAGAAAGTGTAAGTTAAAGAGCTATATGATAACACATGACGTCAAGAAAGTGTAAGTTAAAAAAAGCTATATGATAACACATGTCAAGAAAGTGTAAGTTAAAAAGCTATATGATAACACATGACGTCAAGAAAGTGTAAGTTAAAGAGCTATATGATAACACATGTCAAGAAAGTGTAAGTTAAAAAGCTATATGATAACACATGACGTCAAGAAAGTGTAAGTTAAAAAGCTATATGATAACACATGACGTCAAGAAAGTGTAAGTTAAAAAGCTATATGGTAACACATGACGTCAAGAAAGTGTAAGTTAAAAAGCTATATGATAACACATATCAAGAAAGTGTAAGTTAAAAAGCTATATGATAACACATGACGTCAAGAAAGTGTAAGTTAAAAAGCTATACGATAACACATGACGTCAAGAAAGTGTAAGTTAAAAAGCTATATGATAACACATGACGTCAAGAAAGTGTAAGTTAAAAAGCTATATGATAACACATGACGTCAAGAAAGTGTAAGTTAAAAAGCTATATGATAACACATGACGTCAAGAAAGTGTAAGTTAAAAAGCTATATGATAACACATGACGTCAAGAAAGTGTAAGTTAAAAAGCTATACGATAACACATGACGTCAAGAAAGTGTAAGTTAAAAAGCTATATGATAACACATGACGTCAAGAAAGTGTAAGTTAAAAAGCTATACGATAACACATGACGTCAAGAAAGTGTAAGTTAAAAAGCTATATGATAACACATGACGTCAAGAAAGTGTAAGTTAAAAAGCTATATGATAACACATGACGTCAAGAAAGTGTAAGTTAAAAAGCTATATGATAACACATGACGTCAAGAAAGTGTAAGTTAAAAAGCTATATGATAACACATGACGTCAAGAAAGTGTAAGTTAAAAAGCTATATGATAACACATGTCAAGAAAGTGTAAGTTAAAAAGCTATATGATAACACATGTCAAGAAAGTGTAAGTTAAAAAGCTATATGATAACACATGACGTCAAGAAAGTGTAAGTTAAAAAGCTATATGATAACACATGACGTCAAGAAAGTGTAAGTTAAAAAGCTATACGATAACACATGACGTCAAGAAAGTGTAAGATAAAAAGCTATATGATAACACATTGACATTTACATAACGCAACTGCCTAGGCAACTCAAGTAATCCTTTGATTTAAAGATTAAGATGACATTAAGATTAATATAATAATGATAAATAAAAATAGGCCATTTATCTTGATTTAGATTTAGATAATTTAACTATGAAAATACGCAATGACTTAATGGATTCCTTATGTAATGTTGCATTTATAACTGTGTGCTGTTTTTCAAACGTTATCCAGTATGCACTATTACAGAAGTGCCTTTTCATGTCCCTAACATGAATTGTCCCTATAATTACATCGGAATTACTCCGACGCCACCCCCCTCTTCCATGTCGATGTTCGTTTTCATTTAAGAAATAAGGAAAGAGCGCGCGGAATGTATGGTATCGAAACACGCAAGTGTATGTTTGAAGATTTACAAAGAATCATCTACTAGCCAAGACGCTTTATTTTCTTATAATATAGTGTAATAATGTTTATCAAAATATCAATGTCTCATGTGGTCTTTATATATTATCATTGACGTTGCTCAGCAACAAGAATCTTGAGTTATAGCTGTTTTTTTTTCAGTATAATAAAAATGGGTGTCAGTAAAGTGGGCCAAAAATTAATCAATACAATAAGAAAAACATTTTGGTGACATTGGAACTCACCGATTTTTTTATTACGAATTTTAGTGAAATTTCAGAGATATAATACTTAAAACATGCAGGTGGTTTGAGAGTGCATTTTTCATCGTTAATAGTAAACATCACCTGGCGATATTACTAATGCGATAATGGATTGCACGACTTAAATATCGCATGTCATAGCAGGTACATGCAGTTGTCGCAGAAATGTACGCCGTACACTTGATTTATGTGTCGATCTTCCTCCTAATTGAGGTAGTAGCCAGCGAACGCTTAAATGAAACAGTCTTTCGCCGACATGTTGGAAAGTACTTGGAAAATCATATTTTCCGCACTGAAAAAGCGGAGAGTGAATTCGAGTGCGTTCTTCATTGTTTCAAGGAAACGGGATGCGCGTCAGTAAACTATAAAACCTCCGGAATTGATAAAGGACTTTGTGAACTAAACAACATGACGATGAACGATTCACTGGATGAGGCAGTCTATAATCTTGAGTATACTCATTTAGAAATCGTAAGTAGACAACAGAATAAGTAGAATCTTTTAAAGTCCTCCAAACACTGAATATAGAACTTTCTTATTAACACAACGTGTCATTGATGGCAGAGTGGTAAGCAGCAAGCTTCGAAGCGCGGTGAACGCTCATGGGTTTATTCATTTGTTACTCGTGAATCAGCCACGAGTCACGAGTGACAGATATCTCAAAAATCTTCGTCATTCTGCCAAACAGAAAGCTCTAATATGCGCCGGATTTAATCTTGATGAACAATTCTATCTGCACCCATTCAAGGCCGAGAATATAGCGCAATAATTTAGGGGGTGCATATATTCATATATTCTGTTCAGCCGGAAGGATTTGTGAAACGCATATATGTACGTAGAAAAGAAACTCCCTTGGGCAGACCGAATAATTATATGAACATGCACCCCCGACTATATGTATCGCATCTAGTTTCGGCCCTGCACCTGTTGCACGCATTACAAGTTCATAAAAAAAGACGAAAACGAGCTCTATCAAAGGAGGGAATGAAGAGATGCCATTCCAATTATCACATCAAAAATACTTTGTTTCTACGATGAAACAGCTATACTAGAGAGTAAAAAGATTTTGTGTCAGGGTTGTTATTTACGTACGTAGTTACATACGTATCTACCTGCAATTTCGAAGTAGAAAACGAGCTGGGAAAAAAGTACTACTATATAACAACAATTCTGTTTGTCGATTGCTAGTGCAAATTAAAAAGTTTTAATAAAATAATTTAGTTCGACTGATGCAGCCAAAATTTATAAAAACAAGTATAAACATGATAAAAATTTCAAAAATTTCTTTTAAAAGTCATGTTCACCGCGATGCAGGTGGAATAAGTATCTCGGCCTCCTCTTCATTTTTACATCATTTGCATGGCTTAAGCAATGTCAGGTGGCGCCATTTTAAGTAATTTAACTTATTTTTTACGGATTTTTTTACGTTTTAGTTGATTTGTCGATTATGTCCTTTAATTGTCGTGTCAATCAATCAATAATTGATCAATCAATCACTAATCAATTCATTTTTATATTTTTTCCAGTTTTGGGCCGCGCCTGCGCCAGTATTTTCATCAGGTACGTGCATGGGGTAAAATACGAACTTCCTCTCCCTTTCACTGCTTTGGAATTTTATTGTTCCATATTTGCCCCGGATTTTATTGAGATTAGCATCACTTTACCAAACTTATTTATATATCAGTGTTGACCTTTATGATTGTCATACCACAATACAAATGTCTTACAACCGATTGTCGACATGGCAAAGAATGTAAGGGCTTTGTTTTCCTTTTATAGCGACAAAATATTTTCCATCTTGCAAGGTCTTGCACCTGCATAGACCGTGAGTTATATTTGAATCTAACATCGCTTTGTTCTTTTTATATTTGTTGTTGAAAGAAACTGTTTTAGAAATTAATAATTTCCATCAGAAGATGTGATACTCGACATGTATTTTTCCCCAGGTTATTGCCGAATGGTGTCTACAGTCTTCGCCTAAACAGTTCTACAGCACCATACAAGGTTTATTGTCACATGACAGATATCCAAGGTTGTGGAGGTGGAGGTTGGACACTAGCCTTAAAAGTTGATGGGAAAAAGGCAGGTTTTTTATAAATTAATCGTCAAAATAACTCAGACTCTCATAAAACCGGTGCTACACCATGCAACCTTCTTCGCAACTTGCAATGAAATTCTACTTTTAAGGCATCTAAAGTTGACAACATTTATTCCAATCGATAACGTTTTCTGAGCATATCGAACTCTCTTTACAAATGAACATCCCACAAAATTAGAGTTGCATTGCAAGTTGCAAGCAAAGTTTCATAGTGTATAACAGCGCTAAGTTATATAGGTCAGATGCATGTATTTCAAATTGTCAGTTGTAAGGGAACAGCTGCGCTGTTTAATTTGAAAGGAGCCGGGGTACGTTTTATCAATTGATTTAAATAGTAACAATTCTATCAAGTAAGTGTTTGTATATAGTGATACTTGTGTCAAGGGAACTTTAAATAAAAACACTATTGAATAGACTTGACTCTCAAGAGATTGCACGTCAATCTCTGCTAAAGACTTTTACTGCATGTAATCGTTTGTTAATCCTAACTATAATACGCTGGAATAATTTTTTCATTTCATCACTTTGTATAGTCGACGTTCTACTATGAATCATCTCACTGGACGAACAAGGAAAGTTATGCAGTTGAAGATGGACTTGAAGGACTAACAGAGAAAGAAAGTAAACTGGCCTCTTATTGGAACACTCCTTTTAAGAAAATATGTCTTGGTATGACCGTTAATGGTGACAGAAGATGGATGATGTTGGATTATGAAGCCAGTTCGCTGCACAGTTTGATCGCAGGCAACCAGTTCCAACGCACCTCCGCTGGAAAGAACGCCTGGATGTCTATGATTGTTGGCTCACTTTTACAGGCAAATTGCAACCGTGAGGGTTTTATGATACGTAATGCTTTTCATATTTACTCATTCGATGCCCGTCTCGGATTTTTGGCTAATAACGAAGGCGATTGTTTGAGCAGTGATTCCTGGGTGGGTTTTGGTGCAAAGTACACGGGTTGTGAAACGGTAAACCTCGCCTGTGGTAACCGCGTTGTATGCGGATCATCTCAACTAGTAAATATTCCAGCATTTGGATATATGTTGGTGCAGTAATTGAATCTCTTATTTGAACATCAACAGGAGTTTGGCAATAATACGTATAACTTGAACAAGCTATAGACTTGACATTGCTCAGATATAGATATTGTGTAATTGACAATTGTAGTCTGTTTTAAGAAACATCATTTACATTTGGTAGTGTACTTAAGGGGGGGGGGGGGTGGTTTATTCATATATCAAGTTCTGCCCGGCGGATTTCCAGTACAGCCTATTGCACATATATCCTCGTTTTCTTAACGCATCTAGTTTTGTGAGCAAATTTAGAAAATATGGTTCCCACCTGCAGTAGTGTACCTTCGCAAAAGCGCAATTTGTGTGATTTTATTACCACGCGTATAGCTATTATTATAAGATACACTCGAACATAAAATCCATCTCCTCGCAACTGCGGGTAATATATAAATAAATATATATATGTATATATTCATTGATATGGATTGTTCGCTTAATTATATGTAAATAGGAATTTAGATTGCATGCATGTATTTCGCACAAAGCACTTTGTGCAATATTGAAAATATTTCTTTACTATAATTCAAAACCTTTAAGAAAATTCTTATGGGTTTTTAGAGTACGTATGCAATATAAAAGTTCTATATTTAATTTTGTTTAGAAAGGTTCTTTTCATGACTGTGAAGTTTTGAAAAAAGGTGCCAATATACGTTGACAACTATATTATACGGCTGACTATTATTATTTTTTATTAAAATATAACAATAATTTTTGGGAAAATCAGCCTGAAATATACGATGTAAAAAACATATGAATCATATAAGTATCTAACCAAAGGAAGCATTTAGTAAAGAGATACAAAAAAGTTTCTGATGATACAACTTAAAGGGCTTCGATCGCCAGGAGAAAAAAATGCTGAGAGAAATATATTAATAATTCTGGAGCAATATGGAAACATGCACCTGCTTGGGCATGCAAATATGCATATTATTTGGATATAGCTAAAAGCGGTCGGGAGATGCTCATAATTTCAATCATTTCAATTTAATTCGTATATCTGATAATGTCGTTTTTATCCAGTTTCTGCTTGTGCATATTTTTGACAGCAGTCCACGAGGGTGAAAGCTCATTTCAAGCCTCGTATCGCAAGCATAAAGGAAGATATTTGGCGAATCATGTTTTCCGGAAGGAGGAGGCAAAATACGAGCACGATTGTGCCACTTATTGTATTAGGGATGAACTATGCGCATCGGTAAATTACAAAGTATCCGGGGAAAGCAAAGGTTTATGTGAGCTCAACAGTAAACCGCTTCACGATGACACCAAAAAAGAAACATATAATGTGGAGTTTAACCATCTTGCAATTGTGAAGAAGGTAAAAGAATATAATAAACCTATATATATCTATATATCGTCATCTTATACGCGCTTTGTCGTTATCTTAACGGTTTGTCGTAAGTTCTGAAGAAGAAAATGAAATTGCTTTAAAGAAGATCATCTTGTATAGGGATTCGTAAAAAAAATATATCTAATCCGTGAACCTTTCACTCTTGCTGCATGTACATGTTTTGACCACAGAAAAGTTACTATAGGATTCAAGCATTATCATATAAAACATAGGAGAAACTACTTTAAAAGAAAACCTACACTAAGGGATGATCTTACACAAAAACATAGATTACTGACAAAAACGACGGGTTATTTAATTGTTTTTGTCTTATACCCAGCTGGAAAGCTTACTTCAAATGTTTGTCGCTGTTAAATTTTAATATTGTTTACATGCTCTTTTATTTTCTTTACATTAAAATAAGAAATGCGGGAAACTCAATTGATGCAATTCGCGTGTATATTTATTACACTCGTAATGTATATGTTACATACAAAATATTAAACGGGTTATATTTCCCATGCACGCAATTATCAAAGATTTGGGGACATGGAACGACTTTTTGAAGCGCTGTTAAATTAAAACATTTAATGATTAGTTTAACTCTTGCACTTAGCATATATGTATATATATAGAAATACACCCATGGCCATGCAGCAACCCCTCGTTATTTCAAACCAAGTACACAATTTCCTGAGCTAACCTGACCTAAACGTATATTATTAGGAAATGACACAAAACTCAGGGTATAATTATATTAATTTTTATCAAATCTGGCTTTATTCTTAGGATTGCCCTGAAGTCGGACAAGTGTTTTCAACAGGTATGCTTTATAAATAACAATACATCTTTATAAAAAAGCGTTGCAGTAGTGTATTCTTAAATAAGCAGAAAGTAATAAATCATGTTGAATAATGGAAATCCCTTTGAATTTGATTTCGAATGACAAAAATTCAAGAAAATTGACAAATATATGCATTTTAGAAACTAAACTTTGCACTCGAAGTCCATCGTGCAACGAATTACTTCTTCAAAACGGGTAAGTGGGAATTTTTGTCTTTGAACTTTTACATTGTCTTTACTCTCGTACTTTTAAGGAAGTTAATGGACGACTTGTGCTTTAGACTAATTTCTTACCTCGGCGATAAAAAGGACATTTCTGAAAGAGCTTACTAAAATTAGAAAAACCGTCAGGTTTGGCTGCGAGTTGTTGTAAATCACGGAAAATATAGCTATGCGAAGTTGACGAATTTTGTATACTTTTGTATTACGGCCGGAAGTTTGTAACTAATTTAGTTACACATTTCTGCGCGTAATACAAAAGTATAAAAAATTTGGCAACTTTGCATGGCTATGTTTTCCGTATTTTACAAAATTTGCTGCCAGACTAGCTTTGCACTTGCAGTATTTTAATTAAGATCTTTCTATAGCAGTGATAATTTATTTCCTTCTATAAAATAAACTAACATTATACGATTATGATCCTTCGGATGACATTCGTGATCTATTTCTAATTTCTTTCACTTCGTTCAGCCGCATAATTAAATCAAAATGTTTCATTTAGACGATTGCCTGACGGTAGATACACCATGCAGTTGAATACTTCTGAGTCGCCCTATACAGCATATTGTCACATGTCCGACATCTCCAACTGTGGGGGCGGTGGTTGGACACTAGTCTTAAAAGTCGATGGAGTTCAGGTGAGATTGAAGTTATTAAGATTGTGTAGGAAATAAGTGACACAATAAACAATGTTTCTCGTTCTATCTTTATAACACCTTTATAATTTTAACCTACTGCAGATCAAAGTGAATTTATTTGCAGAAGAAACATTGAAAATGATTGGAATGAAAGCTTTAAATTTCGACTCAAAACGTACAATTGTGCGTAACAGCATCATTTTACACCAGCATGCCCTTAATAATTGTTCTTGTTGTTGTTAAAAACAGAGTACATTCACCTATGAATCACCTTACTGGACGAACAAGGAAAGTTATGCAGTTGAAGATGGACTTGAAGGACTAACAGAGAAGGAAAGTAAACTGGCCTCTTATTGGAACACTCCTTTTAAGAAAATATGTCTTGGTATGACCGTTAATGGCGACAGAAGATGGATGGTGTTAAATTACGAAGCAAGCTCGCTGTACAGTGTGATCGCAGGCAACCAGTTCCAACGCACCTCCGCCGGAAAAGACTCATGGAAATCGCTCATCGCAGGTTCATTGTTACAGAAAAATTGTAATACTGAGGGTTTTAACGTGAATTTCCAATCCCACGACTCTTCATTGAAGACGCATGTCAGATTCGGTTTCGTCGCAAACAATGAGCACGATTGTCTATCTTGTGACTCTTGGGTTGGTTTTGGTGTAAATTTCGTTGGTTGTGACACGAGCGAATCTAAATCTTGTGGTAATCGTGCAGTATGCGCAGCAGATAAAGTTGTCGACATTCAAGCATTTGGGTACATTTTGGTGCAATGAATGAAACAACTGTTTAACATAGAAACTTATGGATAATATGCATGGTTTACACTGTTGTGGTAGCACCTGAGTTTTTCATTATTTGAATGCAAGAATTTGTATAACAATATTCGGATGAAATTATTCAGTGTTAATTACTTAACCTCTTTGAAATATTACACCCTTATATATATATTATAACCTTTAAAACGTAGGACTACATTATAAATGTCTGGCGCAATTCGTCTTGGCTATCATCGCATAATTATAGTAATTCATTAATGAATTAAATGCTGGATACTCGCTTTCGTAACTTACAGAGAGTTGATGTAAGTTAACAGTATTTTTGAACAATATATATAAGTATTTTTGCATAAATTAGGCTGCTTATAGTTTGGTTTATTTTAGAGTTGATTTTTCGATGATATGTTTGTATAGTGTTTCAGCCAAGGTTGTTATCTTCAAAAGAAATTATTCACACTAATATATTGTCGCATATTTATAACTTTTACAGTTTCATAAGTAAATAGACGCAATAGACGCAATTTAGGGCATGTTTACATGAAGCAAGTTATCCTGGCTAGGCGAGGTGAAAACTGAATATAAAGCGAAAGACTAATAAGGTTAAGCCTTTGATGTGATGCGCTTTTTACCCCCGCCAAGCCACGGGATGACTCGCGCTCCATGCAAACAGGCCCTTAGACGCGTACACTGGAGTTAAACTTCAATTAAAACTTAATTTTACAAAGGTGAACAGTTGAAGAAAATTAATAACACTTGCGACACGGTATGAAGTGTTTAAGATGCGCTCGTATATACGCGATTAAACATAGGATGTCTCTTACCCAGCTTGAACCCTGGACAAACAACGAGGCAATACCGTGGAAATAAACTCTCCCTCCCCAGGCAGAACCTGCATGCGTGGGGGTAATTGAACTTGTCATAGAGCGGTTCTCAACAAGGAGCAAATTTTCAATCGATCGAAATTTTTGAACTAACTTGATTTTTCAGTAAAGGTGTTTTATCCATGCAGAGCCTTTCGGAGCTTTTATTTGTGGGATAGAACCAAAAGCGTTTGCACAGCACTGTCCTGAGGGATATAGTATGTCCTGAGGGATATAGAAACTATATATTCCCACTAATATATTGTCGTATATTTACAGTTTCATGAGCAAATAAACGCAAGGTATGATTATAACCTGCGCGCAAGTGGTTAAAACTTTAATTAAAACTACATTTTAACGTTAACGGTTGAAGAAAATTAATAACATTTGCGGCACAGGATGAAGTGTTTATATATGAGATGCGCTCATATAGGGGCATATGCGATTAAGTAGGATGTTTTTAACCCAGCTTGAACCCTGTACAAACAACGAAGCAAAGCCGTGGAAATAAACTCTCCCTCCCCACGTAGAACCTGAGGGTAATTTTTTTTGAAAATGGAACTTGTCATATAGAGCGGCTCTCAACAAAGAGCAAATTTTCAATCGATCGAAATTTTTTAACCAACTTTATTTTCTTTTAATTGTAGCCTATAAAAAGAATATAATCCTTTCGAAATGCCCTAAGTACAGAGTGAAATATAGATATTAAAAATGCCAACATGCGAACAACAGGCTCATACATTTGTGAGCTTTAAAAGGCTTCCGTATTTCTTGTCTATACCTATCAACAAATGGTAATATGTATAATATGTATATTAATATATGTATATATACAAAGATGGTAGATTGTATTTCAACAAATTTGCACGAAATTATGCCAGAGTTACTGCCAACAAACAGCGAATCATAGTGCCAAAGTCATTTGAAAGAAGAGGCATTTAACACTTCATTAGGATATAACATAATTTTTTGATCATATAAACTCATAAATTGTTAGTTTTATAGTTAAAAAGAGGTAAGAAAGGTCACAGTGGCTTCTGCGCGTGCGCAAGTGTAGGGACTCCGCCGGAAGTTGGTATATCAAATGTTTTTAATTTTAATGTCAACCTTTGCAAAATATTGACGAGGTTTGAAATTTCTTTCGAAGAAATTCATATTTAATGAGTGTTTTGATATTTGATAAAGCGCTCTTCAAATTTCACTTTTTATGTTATTATTGATCTCAATCGATAAGATATTTTTCTTCAAAATTCCGCCAATGTGACAGTACGTTGCGGTTATCTAAATGAGAGGTTTTTAGAAATTTGAACATCGGGCCTAATGATTTAAAGTGCGATAAAAGACATGTAAATACTCCTAAGTATGAAATGTTAAGTAATTATTGTCAACCGCAGATTCATAAAGATTATTTTTATTCGTTTTAATACCAGGTAATAAAGGAATAAAAACTAATTACTATGTTTGCTTATTTGTAAGTCGATATGAGAGGAAGGCTTAGCTTTTCCAATGCCTGTAAAAGTGCTGAAATTCCCTACATCAAAATTAGCAGCATATATTTCAAGTTGTATGTATAATATCATAGCTTATGCGAGAAATATTTACATAAGGTTCAGCATGAGCGTGCTGTATTAACGCTGCCTATTTTCGTGTATCGTATTATATTGTCGTAATTGGAAAGGCTCAAAAGTAATTATAATGTCAATCCAGCTGCTCCTGTCGGGACATGTCACAAAAACAAAGTCAACAATAGCAGAAATGGCTGGCTTCGCGAAGGCTTTTTTGGCGCTGATCTTTCTATCGATACTAAAGGGCGCACGATGCCTAGACGAAGCTGTATTTCGCAAAATGAGAGGGAAATACCTACCAAATTATGTATTCAAGACAGTAAAGGCGAACAATGAACTACACTGTAGTAATTATTGTTCGATGGACGGATCGTGCGCGTCGGCAAATTTCAAAACGTCCGGGAAGGGTCGAGGTTTGTGCGAGCTAAACAGCAAAACAGTGGAAATAGGAGGAGAAAGCAATCCGGAATTCAACTATCTTGAAATAGTAACGAGAGTAAGATGATAGATTTGAAATTTTTAGAAGCATCATCGAAAATTCGATGCAATATATGAATTGATCAGCTCCCCTACACCTAAATTTTTTTCTCTGTATTCTATACACATTAACGCGATAGTAAAACAGTCTCCAAAGGGAAACATTGGGCTCAATTGAACTGCACATATCTTTGATATAAGTGTGTCATGTGCCAAAATTATATATAATTTCTTTATAAGCGTTCCTATGTAGGGTAATCGCCTTGTTTAAATTGCAACTATAGCTTGCGCGTATGGTGATTAATACATCGCGTGTACATGAAGTGAATTATTTAGTATATATTCTTACGTTATTTTAGAGTTGCAGAGGCGATAAGTCTCAATTCTTTTCGGAAGGTGAGTGGCTTAAATAGTGAATTTTTGTCGATTCTTTGTCAAGAGATGAATCATTCTATAGTTGAATTCACTATTACAGCAACCAAGACTTGTAAATTACACCAAAGTTGCAAAGACTTGTTAGAAAGAGATGGGTATGTATGTTGACGTATAGTAAATATTTTATTAATATTCACACGACTCTCCCTTTTATACTATTATATACCTACTTTTCATCAGAACTGTCGACATATTCTTTAAACCATATGCCTTTTTTATATCAGAGGACGGTTCGAAAGCTATGCTACTTCGACCTCTAGACATTTTCCTCAGTGCTATATTTCTTGTGTTTATTTTCTTCCTTTTTTAATTGATTCTGTAGTAGGTAGTTATATTTACTTAGTCAAAAATAATGTGAAATAAAATTATGTTATGTTATCTTATGTTATTTTGTTTTAGTATTATATATTAAATTCAAGGACAATAATGACTTTATTTTCAAGATTATATGATCGCACCTTATAACCACTAAAATCATTAAAATTTTAGATCACTTTCTGACGGTGTTTACACGTTACAAGCAAATGACTCGCTCGAAAAATACCCAGTGTACTGTCAAATGGCTGATACAGCTGGATGTGGAAAGGGAGGCTGGACACTAGTGATGAAGGTGGATGGCAACAAGGTACGCTCCAACACCTTTTCAAAATTTACCTCACACGCCTATGCTTTGTTAAACGAGAGCGAAGTTTCTTGGTCAAAAGATACAACAATCGATATTTTTGTAAGATTTAATGGGCTTAACAAGTGAATCACAGGTTTACATTACAATGTCTGACAACATGTAATGTTTTTAACACCCCAGAATGATTTCAACTACAGTTCTTCCTACTGGACGAACAAGAAAACTTTTGCAGTCGAAGATGGTTTGGAAGGCTTGTCAGAGAAGCAAACAAAAATGGCTTCCTACTGGAACACACCGTTTACCAGAATCTGCCTTGGAATGAAGGTCAACGATGTCACAAACTGGATAACGATTGACAAGAAAGCTAGGTCGCTGTTCGATGTGATCGCTGGCGGAGCAACAACTAGGACAACCGCTGGAAAGGAAACGTGGAAATCGCTGATCGCGGGCTCATCGCTGCAAAACAACTGCAATGATGAAGGGTTTAACCTGAGATGTCAAATTAACGAACTTTACATGCGTGTTCGAATTGGATTAGTTGCGAATAATGAAGTCACCTGTGATACCTGTGACTCGTATATTGGACTTGGTGTTTCGTATCTGGGCTGTGGTATTCAATCTACAATAACATGCGGCAACTTGGCAGTGTGTCACAGCTCTTCCCATTATAATGCTGACACCTACATCTGGGCATTCGGTTATATACTCGTCCAGTAGCAGGTCCTATAGTGTAAAGAACTAGGAAGCTAGAATCGTAGGAGACTCTAGTATGTTCCGTGTACTTTTTATATAGAGATGATTTTGAGGTATTGAAATGGCCAAACAAGCACATGCTCAGCCGGCATAACTACACCATTAACAAAATGATGTTAGATATCTATTTCAATACCTCAAAGTTATTTTAGGCATCGTGAAAGTTTGTCATCGCGGGTATAACCGGGATTATATATAAAAAGTTCTTATATAGAGAGAGAGCTCCATAGATTTCCATATGAGCTCCACCAATCTTAAAATTTGCAATTATCTTACCCCTTACGACAACAATAACTATTATCTTACGACAACAATAATTATTATCTTACGACAACAATTGTCTCAACCAATCCTGCATGTTCGAATAAAATTATGACAAATACCTCACAAAAAAATATTATAATTATTACGGGTGTAATTATGATCAAAGCCACTTTCATCTAAACAGCCAATCATAGTGCACAACGAAATAGCCTTTTCCACGAACAGGTCATACAGTAATTGCCGATTTGGATCAAGCGAAATTAACAAACTATAGGGCTACACCTTGAGACGTGTTTCACATCGTCTATCTTAAACTAGTGTCCTTTTTAGCGCGCGCATTTTGTGTTTTATTCTTCTACTTATTTTTAATCCAGGCTCAAAGTCAGTAGGTGTTTTAGAAAGAAATGAGCGAAGATACAGGTACTTGTCGAATAAGGTGATCAACAAAACAGACAAAATTCGATTTTCAATGCGGTTTACTCTGTACTCGATTATTATCATGTCGAATACATTATAAAATTTAGTCGCCACGTCAGGATGCAGAATATTTAAGAAGTCTGGAAGCCAAGTAAAAATAGTGCAATTATTTCTTTTTGTACCCATGGCTAATTTCGATCATAATGATAACATATCGTCTATCAGGCAATGCAGAACGCAGGCACCAAATACTTATACGAATATGGCAGTCTGTGATATATAGTATGGCGCCTGCAAAACAGGCAAAAGTAATATTTAGTACTAAATCACTCGCCCTCCGCTTGTGTTTCGCGCGCTTTTCTTAATTCTCGCAACATTCCTGCGTTTTTGGATCAGGCCGTCTAAACACGGAAACCATAAAGTAATTGTTTATTGCAGCAAACCTAATTATCATCCTGCATGACCAGTATGGATCGTGTTATTATGAAAATGTTGGAACATCGTTTGATCAAGAAGGATGGCCATGCACACTGTTCTCAGCCAGGGCATTACATCGCTGGACTCTATCGTGGTTTTGGTAACTCGCTGGACAATATCGACAAATTCCGATGCTGTCAGATGGCTGCATGACAGCACGAGATAGTGAACTGATAAGATATATAGAACTTGAGACGTTGGTCAAACATTAGTTGTGCATGTGTGTCTATTCCCTCTGTGATGTAAGCTAAAAGTCTAGAGTAAAATGTATCTTTTTTTGCTTTTTTCCATCGAAAAAGTATTTGCATGCAGCTCTTATTATAATAGAATGGCAACTATTTCTAAAAATTGAGTAGATTTTTCGGACGCCCGCGTGGTATTATGTAAGAGAATTTTAATAATTATATAGATTATAATGGCTATATATAGAATGGTATAAACCGATATATTGCCATATGATTTATAGACTGACACGCCGATATTGTGTGGGTTATCTCGTTAATAATATTTTTGGTTAATTTGTGAATTTGAAAACGCAAAAATTTTTATCCGTTAAAATGTTTATCAGTGTCCACACGTAAACACAAAAACGATCCGAAAACGATAAAGTTATTTGATCCTGCAAATAGACCTTCATGCTTTCCACCCGCGTGTCACAGGTTGGATGTCGAATTCAAAGCAAAAATCTACCAAATCCAAAGTAAAAAACAAGAATGAGGACTTTGTTTTGACAGACGATGAGCCCGAACTCATAAATATTGTTGTTGAGTATTTATTTAAATGCATGTCGTGTATAAGAAATTGTAGCATTTGTGTATAACCATGCTCCGAGATTTTCACTTTGGATGCGAAATTTTTTTCACCACAAAAGTTACAATATATATATATACAATATATATATATATATATATATATATATATATATATATATATATATATATATATATACAATATATATATATATATATACATATTGCATATATAATGAGATATGTAGATACTCAGTAGGTCTAAGATCTAAAGGGAAAAAAAAGTATTATTGTGGTGTAAATCGAAAGGGTATATAAACGTATACGGACATGTTTCTCTTGTAAAATACTTCTGCAAAAGCTAAAAGAATTGGCCAAGATTTTACTCATCATGGAAATAACCTAAATAAGGCTTATTTCACGCTAATATAGCAATACAAAGTTGAGCATAAGCCACCAGACTTGAAACAAGCCTCATTACAGTAATAATATGCCTCATAAATTTATCCGGTGTCCTAGTTCTATGACAAGAACACTTGTTCGAAATCAAGTATATTTGAACAAGTGTACTTGTCATGGAAAAAATTGTCAAAGTTGGGCGTACAGACGAACAATTAAAACTTGTCACATAAAAACTTGTCATAGAAAACTTGCTCGTCTGTAAGAGGCTTTATGTGTTACATGCGTGAGATCAAATGCCTAAATATTTTCAAAATACAGTTCTGCTATAACTCAGTGGCGTAGCCAGCCTGACGATTTAGTCATGCTATGCAAATTTTATGTTATTATCATTATTTATTTCTTTAGAAATTTAGTGTTTTCACAGTCGATGAACACCAAAATATTAGCATAGCATGACTAAATTGTCAGGCTGGCTACGCCACTGCTATAACTGTATGTGTAGAATGGGTTCGTACGCGTTAGGAAATATAACTGTAAGCAAACTCTATCCAAGACTTGTCACATATATTGCTATGTGAATATAGGTTGAGAATATTATAAACATTTGGCAGAGTGCACAATACTCGCAATGGACACTCAGAGCTCAGAGCATATTAAATGAAATAATATGACTTAAAATTTTCTAGCCAAAGCTTTAAATATAACAATTTGACTTCGCATATTATTTCCCCATTATTTACCGGATGCAAAAAAGTATATTTAGCACCTGCAATATAATTATAATTTGTACCGACAGGAACTTGATACATGAACGTAATCGCTAACGCAATTAACTTTAAAGTTCTTAGTATATTCAAAATGTACACCTGTTTATAGACTAATTCATCATATTAAACCCTAAAGTAGACCTTATAATTGGTTTTATTTCATTTGAATGATGACATGGATTTTTTTTATTCCCGAATAAAATTTTAATTAAAGCATTCAAAAGCTTAAATACCACCTTACAATGGATGACTTGTGCTTTAGACCAACTTTTGGTCGCAGTAACTAGAGGAAAATAAATCACCCCAGCTAGAAAGATCTTACTTAAATTAGTGCAAATGCAAAGTGTGGCTGCGAAATTTTGTAAAATACGGAAAATGTAGCCATGCGAAGTTGGCAAATTTTGTATACTTTTGTACTACGTGGGGAAATGTGTTTGTAACTAATTTAGTTACAAACTTCCGGTCGTAATACAAAAGTATACAAAAATCGACAACTTCGCATGGGTATATTTTCCGTATTTTGCAACAATTTGCAGTCAAACTTGGCAGTTTTACTAATTTTAAGAAGTTCTTTCAGAAAATGTCCTTTTTATTGCCGAGGTAAGAAAGTAGTCTAAAGCGCGAGTCGTTCATTCACTCAACGGAAAAAAACCTACTTAATTATTGGTCATGCATGCAGGTGGGACCATACTTAATTATCATGATCACGACCGTATTTTCGATGCGCGCAACATATAAGTATCAGATGTCCGTAAGTATACACCATATAGCATATCTGCCAGATATCAAAGGATATATACTAAAACGTTTGCTCTAATTTCGAAAAAAAGAGCACATTAAACGGAAGTGTATGAGAAAATGTCGCCTATCCAACAGACGAGAAAATATCACGAGAAGGCTCAAAAGGTCGTACTGATCATGAAAACTCTGCGTTTGCCTTCCGTCTTTTTAAAATTCGGTCTCCTGTTGCTGATATTTTTTAATCTTCATACATTTGGAGATGGGTTGGACTTTTGCTTCGATGGATCAAAGGAAGGTAGGGTCTGAAATGTTTTTTAGAGCGCACCAATACACTCGTACTTTTATTATGCCTGTGAACTGAACAATCGCAATATATAGTTACACATCAGTATTATTTTTTCAACGACATTTATGATGAGAAAAATGCTCTTCAATACGTACTCAGTAAAGCCTTTCCTATCATTAAAAACTCTCGCTCGGTTGATAAGAATCTTTAAACGAAAAAAATAATATTAAAAGCCTTCATTGGTTATTAAATTATTATTATATTATTATTATTAAAAGCCGATATTGTTTATTATATTATATATTACTATCATTATATAATCATGAAGTTATTTCTTCATAAAAAAAACTCTCCAGAAAAAAATGGTAAATAGCAAAGATAAAAAACCTATTCATATGAGTTTTAAGTGAGACAGTTTTACAGATGTTTAAAAAATAATTCGCTATAGACCTACGATAAAAAGCTATTAATAATAAAATGTAAAAATACAATTAATACCGCATGTATATTTAAAAAATAATTCGCTATAGACCTACGATAAAAAGCTATTGATAATAAAATGCAAAAATATAATTAATACCGCATGTATTATTACATAAAAGACATTAACGATAAAACTATATAATCCTTGATTTCTTGTTTATTAAGGACATTCAGGCATTTATGTATTAAAGGGTTTCTATATGGTTTAAACGTTTCAGCTTCCATTCTCTTTCTTACGGCAAAGTTTGTGCATTTGTTTTAAGGTTATCGTTTAAACGGTAAACCTATTGAAAATATTCACGCCAACTCCGGAGCGGAATGCGCTTTAGAATGTGCAAAAATGGAAGGATGTAGATCCATCAACTTTAAAAAAACTTGCGGAGAAATGGAAAACTGTGAGTTACTCGCCGACGTTGACACGGAAACACCAGCAGTAAATTTAACCAAAGATGAAGATTTTGATTATTACAAAATGCTGGATTGTAACGGGGTAAGTGCTTGAAATTCGATGTCATCGATGACCGCGCGATTAGTTAATGCATGTTTTCACGTTGATCATTTAAGTATAAAATAAGCCATTAAAGAGGACGCTAAATGCACTTTGCTGCTGGTACGAAATCACGATGCTATAAAAATATTTCAAATCTTCAAAAGCAAAGAGATTATTTTGGGCGTGACATATTGTTGTAGCTACTTCAAATTTACAATTAACGTTTT